TCCATGTACTTGTCACTCAGCTTCAGCAATCAAACTCAGAGCCAGCCTTGCTTCCTCTCTATCCTCACCCCGGCTCCCTCTCTTTCAACACTGAAGTATTTTGAGCAACTCCCAGACATATTATTTCATCACTTTTTCCATGTGTTTTTAAAGAAAATACCATTTTCACTTTAAAAAGATTAATAATCTCTTAATATTACCAAATAGCCAATTAATGTTGAGATTTCCTTGATTGTCTCATTTGAAAAGTTTTTTAAGTCCAGACAAGGTACACACATTGCAGGCATTGATATGTCTCTTTTTAAAAACTTTTTATTCTGAAATAATTTTATACATGGAGGAAAGATGCAAAAATAATGCAGAGATTTCCCATACAGCCTTTACCCAGCTTCCTCTATTGTTATCATCTTACAAACCGTAGTACACTTGTCAGAGCCAGGAAATTAACACTGATAATACTATTATCTACAGACTGTATTTGAATTTTGCCAGTTTTCCCGTTGATGCCCCCTTTCTGGTCCAGGATCCAATCCAGCATCCACATTGCCTTTGACTCTCATGTTTCTTTAGTCTCGTCTAATCAGGGCACTTGCTCAGGCTTTGTCCTTCATGACCTTGACTCCTTTGAAGAATACTGCTCAGTTATTTTGTAAATGTCCCTCAGTTTGGGCTTGTCTGATGTTTCTCTCATGATTAGATTGAAGTTGAACATTTTTGGCAAGAATAGCACAGACGTGATGTGCTCTTCTCAGTGTGTCATATCTGGAGGTGCGTAACGTCAAACTGTCTTATTACTGGTGAGGTTAGTGTTGGTCACTTGGTTAAGGTGGGAGGAGTCTCCTGGGTTTTTCTACAGTAAAGTTACAATTTTTTCCATTTGTGGTTAAGTATTTTGTGGGGAGATACTTTGAGACTATGTAAATATCTTGTTTTTCATTATATTTTCAGGGATCTTAGTATCCACTGATGATTCTTAACTGTAACAGGTATTTCTGTTGTGTTTGCCTAATGGTGATTTTTCTATTGCCATGATTCCTTCTATACTTATTAGTTGTAATTCTACTGTAAAGAAGAGCTGTCGCTTCTCCTGCATGTATATTTAGTTATTTGTTTATATCCGTATGGAGTCATGGATATTTGTTTTAGTCTATAGGTTGTAAGCCATTACTATCGTGATTTATTTTATTGCTCAGACTGTCCCAGATTTGGCCATTGGGAGCTCCTTCAGATTGATTCCTGTGCCTTTTCAACGTGCCCCATCATTTTTTGAGCACTTCCTTACTTGCTAGGATCAAAGTTTTCCTGGATGCATCTTGTATTTTCCCTACCCCAGTCCTGGAATCAACCATTTCTCCAAGGATCCTTGATTTCTTTTATTGGAGAATGGTATTTAGAAACCAAGATCCAAATGACAGGTGTCCTCATTGCTCCTGGGGTGTCATCACTTCTAGGCCATGTCAGTGGACAGAGCTTGGAAATATATGTATCCATACTGACACATGCATACACACATCTCTATTTATTTCTGTGTCCAGCTCTGTGTGTGAGAGAGTGTATGTGTATACAGTATACATATTAAGAAAGTTAGGGAAGACTAGAATGAAGTCTCTGGACTCACTATGAATTCATGAGTTCACACCAACATTCCCTAACTTTCCTAATTATTATTTAGTCTACAGGTTCTCCCTCCCTTTTTTACCTTGTAATTTATTTGTTGAAAAAGTTGGGTCCTTTGTCCTTTACAGTTTTTCACGTTCTGAATCTTACAGATTGTATTTCTGTAATGTCATTTAACTTGTTCTCTGCTGACTGCCGACTCTATTTGTAATAAATTGGTAGTTAGATAAGATACATGGTCAAATTCAGGTTTAATTTTTTGGCAAGATTACATTGTAGGTGGTCATTTGTACTTCCCATAGGAGGTCCATAATATTTGTTAGCCCCTGTTTTTGTGATATTACTAGCCGTTGAAAATGGGATGGTTTAATCTCATCATTCCCTCTTCTTTTTTTTTTTAATTTTTTTTTTTTAAGGTATGACTGTTTGGTGAGGACGATTGGCCCTGAGCTAACATCTGTTGCCAATCTTCCCGTTTTTCTTCCCTCCCTGAAGCCCCAGTGCACAGTTGTATATTCTAGTTGTATGTCCTGCTAGTTCTTCTGGGTGGGACGCTGCCTCAGCATGGCTTGATGAGCAGTGTGTAGGTCTGTGCCCAGGATCTGAACTAGCAAACCCTGGGCCGCTAAAGCAGCGTGTGTGAACTTAACTGCTACACCACCTGGCCAGCCCCTTCTTCTTCATATATAGCTGAATACCTCTATAAAACAATTCTTATTTTTCACCATCTATTTAGTTACCCTGGGGTGGAGTTCATACAGGAAAGACAAAATAAGAATTTACTAGAATTCCCCAAAGGTGACTCTATTAGTTTCCTTTTGCTGCTGTAAAAGTTACCACGAACTTGGTGGCTTAACAACACAAATTTATTTTATAGTTTTGGAAGTCAGGAGTCTGAAATGGATCCTACTGGGCCAAAATCTAGGTGTCAGCAGGGCTGCATTCCTTCTAAAGGCTTTAGGGGAAAATCCATTTCCTTGCCTTTTCCAGCTTCTAGAGGCTACCTGCGTTTCTAGACCTGTGGCCCCCTCCCATCTGCAAAGCAAGCAATAGCTCGTGGAGTCCTTTTTGTGCTTCCCTCTTCTACTTTTAAGGATCTTTGTGATTATATTGGACCTACCTGGTTAATCTCTGTATTTTGAAGTCAGCGGATTGGCACCTTACATTCCATCGGCAACCTCTGTTCCCCTTTGCCATGTGATTTAGCACATTCACCGATTCTGGGGACTAGGATGTGAACATCTCTGGGGGACATTATTCTGCAAAGGTTTTTTAAAAAAATATCATTATGAACTCAGATTTTTAACATTTTTTATGTATTTTGATTCGTTATTGTCCTTGATGTTCTAACTGTCCTGTCTTTGGACAGTGGAAAAGCTTCTTCAAGTCGATTCCTGAGTTCTTTGGACATGAACAGAAAGCTTCCTTCCTTTCTGACACAAGTTGTCTGGGCTCATAATGTACATTCCTTCCCCAGGTCTGGAATCGTCCATTCCTGTAAGGCAAACTGCAGTGTGCATCAGATTCACCTGGAGGGCTTGTTAACACACAGATTGATGGCCCTACCTGCCTTCTGAGTTTCTGATTTAATAGGTCTGGGGTGGGGCCCAGTCATGTGCTTTTGCAGTTCCTAGGTGATGCTGATGATGCTGTTCTGGGGACTACACTTTGAGAAACACTGCTCTAAAGAACCCTGGATTTTTTGGCTAGGAAATGGTATTTAGAGACTACAGTCTGGACTCTAGGGAGGACGTTGATTCTAGGCTTTTTCAGTAAAAGGAAGGAAATAACAGAAAATGTCAGTTCAGATTGATACTTCCAATTCACATTTAGAATTACGTATTTTAACTTCTTTTATATTTGTTTTCTCTTAGGCTTAAAGTCTTGGTTCTTATGATATTAATAATTATTTAATAAATATACGTATACACACACGGTTTAGAATAACAATCCAAATACTATTTCTTAGACCATGATTACTAAAAACAGTTTAAGATTTTGTGCATCAGTCACTTTGTCCTTGTAGAAAGATCCCACTGGGATGTACAAATTACTCTGCTTTTAAATTATTGAAATAATTCCTCTCTGGTTAACCAGTCAACTCAATATACAGATTCATTTTTTTTGTGTGTCTGCTTTCAATTTATGAGATATTATTTTATTTTTAAAATAATTATCTAAACATTTAAATGGCTTCAACATCATATCTGTAAAATTAGTTCTGTTCTCTCCTTCTACACTGTTCTTTTTCCTTATAGGCAACCATTTCGTTTATTTTATGGTTAAATAAATGACAGTATGCTATACATACTCTTTTTCTCCTGGGCACCCCCCCCCACCTCCGTCCCCGCACCTGAGCAATGCAATTGTCCCTTGGTATCCGTGGGGGATTGGTTCCAGGACTCCCTGTGGATACTAGAATCCACTGATGCTCAAGTCCCTTATACATGTTAAATGGCTGGTACAGTGAACACAGTTGGCCCTCCGCATCTGCAAAATGTGGATCCACGGTTGGTTGGATCCATGCCTGAGAAACCCAGGGACACGGAGGGGCTGACTGTATATTCTGAAGATTACTACTTTATGGCAATATGTTTGTGGAGTCCTCATTCCTTTTCCTTTAAAGCTTCAGAGTGCTCCATTGTGAGAGTGTACCATAATTTCTTCCTCTCTTGGTGGACGTTTGGGTTTCTAGCCTTTTGCTATTATGAGTCGTGCTTCAATATTACAAATAGTATCTATTTTGAGGTAGTTATAATCACACCATTTACTCTTTTTCTGTTTTTTACGTTAACATCATAACATGAGCATTTTCCATGTTATTGCAAATATCATTATTTAATATAATGTCATTTTTTTCTGATTGTGAAAGTCATGCAAACTTATTTAGAGATTTTTAGAAACTCAGAAAAATAAAAAAATAGTTGAAAATCACCCATAATCCCTCTCCTTAGGTATGCTAGGTTATATATTAGGTTACTATTTTGATGTGTTCCCTCAAAGCTTTAACAATATTTTGTATAATCATTTAGAAAACAATCAGCATCATATTTCGTAGTGTCCTTGTTTCTTTTTACTCATAATTGTGTTTTTTTATACTATACTCTTTTTATAATTAATTCTCTCTTGTTGGATATTTAGTTTCTTTCTGGTTTTTCAGTATTGTAAATAATATTGTGATAAACATCCGTGCAGAAAGCTTTCCCCAAATTTTAGAATATTCTTGAAGTTGGGTTTGATGAGACTTTAAATGAGAAGGATGTACACATTTGGTAAATGCATCTATTAGGTTGTTCTCTTACAGCAGTAAGGTAAACAGGTGAGGGGTTGTCCCCTTGAAATTTTTGTCAAGTAAGTTCCATTTATCCTCTTTCTTCTGGCAGGACCTTAGAAATGAGGTGGAGAAATTACGCAACGAAGTGAATGAGAGGGAGAAAGCACTGGAGAATCATGACGAGAGTCTTCTGAGTGCAAGTAGTCACAACTTGCCCCGTCGGGACCCGGCGATGAGGCGGGCTGCAGAAAGTGCCGGCCGCACGGACTTGTTTCAGGTCCCGTCACTCTTTTGTCTTCTGTATTTAAATCTTTTGACTTGGCGTAGGTTTTTTTTTTTTTTTAACTCTTTTGCAGGAACGTTTATTTAACAATAAGGCTGGCAAAAATGCTTATAGTCTTCATTCTTTATGTCATTTGGACCTCAGCCACCAGGAAGGGAAGTCTGGAGAAACAGAAGCTCATAGAAGGGAAGGAACTTACTTTGGGTCATGTGACCAGTAAACGGCAGAGATGGTTCAGGCCGAGGCCTGTTTTGCTCAGGGCCCAGCTGGCCTCACTGAGGAACTTTGCTAGGATACCTGCTGCTCCTTGTTCATGCAATGCCCTTTCTCTCCTCTCTGCTTTTCCTCTAAGTGTTTCCTTTCATCTCGGAATAGCCTTCTAGTCTGATCGTGTAGTGGGTTTTGGATTCAGCTCAGACTTAGAGTAACCATGATGGATTCAACATGAGGGTGTTTAACTCTGCTTCCTCCTGAAGCCTTGTTAAGATGAGGGTGAAGGGGTGAGAAGGTGTAAACCCACAGGACTAGGAGGATGGAGGTGGTGCCACAGCAGGGTGCTGTTCGGATGGTAAGTGGATGGGCACGTGGTAACTATGTAGGATCCGCTTTCTCCACTCTGCTACTTGCCTTTGGGACGAAAAGCCAACAGGAAGCAAGCTGATTTATCCTACAGAATCCAGAAAGGTCCAGCAGTGGAGGGACCTGTTGTCTCTTAAACAGGAGATTTGGCTGGAATGCTGGGCAGTTGATCTTGTTTTCTTCACTAGCAGGAGATGGGAGTTTACTCTCTAATGACCTTAAACCAGAGAAGCCCCGGCCTGGGGGTCACCAGCTGCAACTGAAAGCAGGAGTGGGTCTCGTGAATGAAAACGAAGAGGGAGAGTGGAAGGGTGCATGCCCAGCTGTGAGTCCTCGGAGGGGAGACAAGACTGACAAATGCTGACAGCTGGGGTCCTCCCACAAAACGGCCACGTCCCCACCTGTTCATCTCAGAGTGAGGCCACCATTGGTAGGCCCTTTCCACACTCAGAGCTTCTGAGCACCTTTACCCTTAAAAGAGGTGGAAGGCCTGAGTTCCTCCAACAGGGAAAAAATGTCTAAGAAGAAAGACAACGGCCAAGACAGACAGAATAGATCTACACAGAGGAACTAGAAACAGGGAAGATGAGAAGAAAACTAGGCAGCTTTTCAAAGAACTCACCACCACGCCATCTTTAGATAAGAAATAAGGTCAGGCTCTGATAAACAAAGTATTTTGGAAAAGAAGAATGACCTATTAGAAATTGAAAGTATGATTACAGATATAAAAAGTTTAATAGAAGAGTTAGAAGATGGAAGATAAATTGAGTACGTCTTGCAGACAATAGAATTAAATGAACAAACAAAAAGATGGGAAAATGGGAGGGAAAAGATAAGAAAATTAGAGGCTTGATTCAGGACCTCCAATATATGACTAACAGGAGTTCCAGAAAGATAGAGCAGGCAAAGCAGAGGGAAGGAAAATTTCAAAGTAATAGAAAATTTTCCAGAATGGAAGAACAGATATCGCTACATTGCAACAGCCTGCTCTGTGTCTAGCAAACTGAATGAAGAAAGACCCATACCCCAAGGCATGTTGTGAAATTTCAAAACACAGGGATAAAGAGAGGATCTGAGAGGCTTCCAGAGAGAGCAAAATATAGGTCACATACAAAGGACCCGGACTCGAAATGACATCAGAATTCTCAGCAACATTTAAAGCCAGAAGACAGGAGAGCAGTGCTTTCAGATTTTTGAGGAAAGTGGTTTCCACTCCAGCATTCTGTACCCAGCCACCGTGTCAGCAAGAGTGAGGGCGGGTAAAGGCGTTTTCAGACGTTCGGTGTCTAAAATCATCTGCCTCCTGTGTACTCTTTGCAGGAAACGCTGGGAGGATGATTCCATACAAATGGGGAAATAACCAAAAGAGAGAGAGAGGGCTGGGATCCACAAAGTAGGGAGTAGTCTGGGACGTGCAGGGAAGTCTAGGCTAAGTCCAGGCTAAGGCCGGGCCACCTCTGTAGGAGCCCAGATTCGGGCCGTTGAGGGAGGGTTAACGTGGGATTTCTCCAACAAACTGAAATGGAACCCATCATTTAGCTCATGCGTCTGACTCCATCTCGAGGAATTTTCCAGTTATTTTGGAGAGTTTGGAGAGAAATTTACATTAAGTACATAATTTAGTTTTATGAACTAAGTAAACAAATAGAACAAAGCAGTTGTTACTAATTCCAAGAAAAGCAAAGAATTGAACATAAAAGGAAGTGGAATCATGGAATACTAGAGCCATGAACAGTATTTGGGTGGCCATAAAAATGTAAATGCAGAATAGTCATTTAACTAAAATTGTGATGTAAGTGTCAGGAAAAATGTTGGGGCCCGGATGATGTAAGAGAGAAATCCTTAAACTTCTCTGATAGGAGCCAGTAGATTAAATCTAACCTTAATGGGGCCGGCCTGCGGCCGAGTGGTTAAGTTAGTGCGCTCTGCTTCGGCGGCCCAGGGTTTCACCGGTTTGGATCCTGGGCGCAGACATGGCACCGCTCATCAAGCCATGCTGAGGTGGCATCCCACATGCCACAACTAGAAGGACCGAAAACTAGAACATACAACTATATACTGGGGGGCTTTGGGGAGAAGAAGAAGAAAAGAAAAATCTAACCTTGAGAAATCAAGAAATGTAAGAGTAGGAATACAGATAGAAATATGGAAGTAAATAGCAGAAGAAATAGCTAATGAGTTGAAAGTTGTTTTTTTCTGGGAGTGGGACTCAGAGGTGAGAAGGAGAGAGGTCGGGCCTGTAGTTTTCCATGTTAGCCTTACAGTACTATTTGATGGTTAAACAATGTGTGTATAATTGGACTTTTAAAAAATAAAAATGAAAAGTATAATTCAAGTGCAAGTGTTTATGGCAATTCTAGAAATTCCATGTTGGTTATTTGATTCCTAGTTCTTCCTGTTACAGTTGAGTGGATTTTTACCAAGAATTGCCTCTGCTTCTTTCTTGTTTGTGTTCACGTAATTTCCTGTGAAAGTTTGACGTGATGAATTAATTCTGGTAGGTGCTTAGGAGTAAGATGTGGTTCACGCCCTTCAATTCCGACAGAGAGTGGACAGAATCCTAGTTCAAGAGTTATCAGGTTTTTTAATAGTTAGGAATAGATTCCATGTTTGAACTTGGCCAAAAACCAGCCCTGTGTGTTGTTGGATGTCACATCTTCTGAAGGGGTCAGTGAGGGGACAGTATTGTGCATCATCATGACCGAGCCTTTCCTATGTGACCAGAGGCGAGAGCAATATTTGCAGTCTCGCCTTTTTCTTCCTGGTATGGACGGTTCAAGTTTTGTTAAATTTGTAGTCTTTCAAGAGACACTAGACTTTGTTGGATTGCAATCCAGAACTACCCGCTAATCACCACAGTAACCCCATAGGATAGGAAACAGATCTAGCAATCACACCTTGGCCAAAGGGGACCCAGGATTGGAACCCGGTCCCATGGGGCCGGAGCCTGGGCTTTGTCCTCCATACCCTCCGGGAGACCGTCACGGTGGTGAGATGCCTGAAGGCTTGTAACGGCTGGCACCATCCTTGCCTAAGCCGTGTCGGCGTGCTGCTCTTCTGCTGGTGTAATAACACAAATGGAGCTGCATGACAGTTTTGTAATTGCCTAATATTTTGGGAGGCTAGAAATTATTTAGAGCACATGAGTGTTGTGGAGAAAAAAGAAAATATCTCCCATAAAGAGTTTGGGACAATCTCTTAATATCAGTGTCTTGATGAAAACTTCCTTGTGATTTGTTTGGTTTCCTTAGAAATTCAATGAGAAAGACTTGGAAGCGACACAGCAGAAGGGTTACTTAATGACTGCGGAGGATCTTGAGTTCATGAGTGAAGAATTGGTAACGGAAAAGTGCTCTTCTCGGCAGTCACCAGGCAGCAAAATCATCTTCTCTGAGGTGAGCTTCACTGAAATTGGACGTTCAGATGCGAATTCATATTCTCCTCTGATACATGTTCGATAACTCCTTTGATCTCGAGATCCTCCAGTGCCTGCTTACTGGTGGCGGAGCTTACAGCAGGTAGGAGGAGGGGTTCTTGGTCTGCATTTGTGTTTGCATTTGAAACTGAGAAATCACAGCTCCTTAAAAGATGAGCCTCATATTTGCTCTCCCAGAGTTCACCTCTCCAGAACTCTGTAATCTCAAGTGTTAAGAAAGTTTTTCTGTTCAAATGCACACAAAAAAATGGCACAGCAGGCCCTTCCTGATCTGTCCCCAAGTATCTCCCATCCTCATTTTCTTTCGTTCCCCGTCATCTCTAACAACAGTTAACTTGTTGCAGGTTCCTGAAAATGCTATGTTTGTATCTCTCTGTGCCTTTGCACATGCCGTTCCATCTGCTTGGAATGCCTTTTTCCTCCTTGTTTACCCAGTGACTCCTGAACATCCCTAAAGGTGCTACTCTAGTGTCACCTTCTCTGTGGCACCTTCCCTGACCCTGCTCAGTGGTGACGTCTCCTGTTCTCTCTGATGCACAGCACTTTGCACGCCCATCCATCAAAGCGCTTACTCCTTGTGTTGACACTGTAGGCTCCACCTTTCTGCTTCCCCTCTCTCGAGCTCCTGTGCACCATGGGAAGTCACCTTGGGTAGGAACTGGCATTCATGTCTGAATCCCAGCGCCTAGCCCAGTACCTGCTAATCTGTTGAGTGAATAAATGATTGTATTGGATTGTGGAAGATGCATGTAGATTGTTTTGACCCCCCCAGCTCGCATATATTGCAACTAGGCAGCCACATATGGGAAAGGAAAGTTCACTGTAGTCCAAGTTGTTTTTTTCTTAAACCTGGCTTTAATTAAGTTCATACATTCAGAAGACAGAGAACTCTTACACAAATTAGTTCTCTGATGAATGGCTCTGATCATGACTTGTGGTTTTGTGAAGGGTGATTCTCAAAATAATTTACAACTGGTGCAACACGGGCACGGTCATCAGAACAGACTCCGGGGCTAGAGCTGGAGTGGGGTCCTGGAGGCCAGCTCTTGTGCCAGGCACCAACCCTGTAGTTACTGGATCTTGGAGGAGTGTAGACGTATTTCCGTGTTATAGCGACCAGTGCCTGCCATTGCATATCAGCCCCGGCTGAGAGGGCATCATTGCCTGAATGCTGGGAGCTCGCTCTTGACTCTGACCATTGTGGTTTTGCATTTTGCTGCTGCTTTTGAATCAGAGTGTCTGCATGGACAGTGGAGCCCTTGGGCGGGGCTAGAAGTCTGGAGGCCTGGATTTCTCTCCTGGCTCTGTTGCTTCACTTGAGTGACCTTGGGCAAGTCCACTAGCAAAATCTCAGAGGGCTAATATTTTATGAGTCTAACTTGCGTATAGTTGCTTGACTTTGACCAAATTTTGTGGGGTGTTAGGATGCACACTAAGCTGTAATAAGGCACAGCCTGTTTTGAAACCAGTAGCGGCCTATCAGGTGTTTTAGATGGACACATCTTCATGAACTTGAATACACTTTGTTAAACTGTATTTTTTTATTCATGTTTTAGTCATGTAAAAAGTGTCTAAATGTTGAACAGAATGTTTATGAATTTATTAAACAGGCTGAGTATTTTAAAATTTAATCTCACCGGTTTGCTCATCTGCACCACTTCCTTTTTAGTTTTTTTGCACTGGGCAACGTCTGTACTTCACAGAGCCCCAAATATAAAATTATTTCATTTTTAGTTATGTTTAGATCCTGGAGATGTGTAAATTACTTTGCACAGTATCCAAGTATTTTAGCAAAGGTTTTGATTCTGCTCTGCAAGACTAGTTGAAAATTGTGGGTAAAGAATTATAAATTAGCATTTAGCAATTGTAAATTTCTAGGTGTCAGTTTAAAGAAATCCCAACTGTTGCAGCCTACAGTTTTCCCCTCTTGAGACCCCTTGAGAAAGGTATACTTTTCAGATTGTAGTTCAAATGTGGGTTTCTTCTGCTATGCCCCTGGCCATTTTGTGTTGATGTAGGGTTTATCCTTTGCCCATTCCTACAAAGGACCCGAGGCTATGATGATGTCTCCATTGACTGGCCAGTCTGTTTTCCTTCTCCTCATTGTGTGATCCTGAGAATTAATGCTGGATGATCAGGGAATTGAAGAACAGAGAGTAAAACACACTGACCATATTTAACTTGCTGCAGCTAGAGATTTATAGCTTGGCTGTTGACATGGTTGGGACATTGCTGCTGAATTTCTCGAGTATTGAAATAAATGTCTTTGTTGCAGAGTTGTGACATAGCTACTGAAATAGACACCATTTATCTACCAGGCCACTAAATTGCTGTGATTACCAAGGAGTGAGCGATTAAGCTTTCTCCTTACGTATCTGCTGCCTCTTGAGATTGTGGCTTTCACATTACATGTGTTTCCTTCAAGTCATTAAGGAAACTATGGTAGAGTAGAAAAGGCCCCAGCTTTGGTGTTGAAATGTCAGTTCTGCTACTTCTTACCTCTGTGACCTTGGGCAAGTCACTTAATCTCTCTGAAACTCAACTTCCTGATCTGTAAAATGAGGAATTACATGCCTTCCCTCCTGAGAGGATTAGAAATAATGTAAGTGTATTAGTTAAGGTTCTTTTTTTTTTATTGCGGTAACATTGGTTTATAACATTACATAAATTTCAGGTGTACATCATTACATTGTGATTTCCGTGTAAATTGCATCATGTTCACCACCCAAAGACTAGTTACAATCCATCACCACACACATGTGCTTCCCCTTTGACCCTCCTCCTTCCCCCCTTCCCCTCTGGTAACCACCAATCTGATCTCTGTCTCTATGTGATTGTTATTGTTTTTACCTTCTATTTATGAGTGAGATCATATGGTATTTGACTTTCTTTAAGGTTCTTTTGGTTGCAAGCTATAGAATCCAACAGTGAGTAGTTTGAGCAAAGCAACAACAATGAAAGGGAATATTTATTGGGAACATAGCGGAGTCTCAGAGATGCCAAGGGAGAGCTGAGTAGCTGTGCCTTGGGGCTGGTGAAACCGTGGCAGTGCCATGGACAGCAGAAGTTGTAGACTCTAGCACTCTCTCTCATATCCAACAGCTCCTAGACTTCTGGTGTCTCAGTTTAAATCTCTGAATTCCAGGAGAATCGTACTGGCTTAGTGTGGGCCCAGATGCTGGCTCACAGAGGAGGGAGGGGTCTTCCAGGGACTGGCCAGGTCTCAGATGAGGCAGGGGAATGGTGGTGAGCTGGGTGGTCCTTCCGAGGTTGTGGAGAGCGTACTGCAGCGTTGGACACGCAGTAGAAGTGTGGCGGTCATAAGTCTTCCCTGGGATGAGCGGGCTCCCGTCTGGGATGTTTCTTGTTGGAGGGGCAGGGTGGAGGGTGGCGGGGGTGGTTGCTCCTGCTGAACTGGTGCTTCTCCTTACTCCTCTCTGGGCAGCCTGGCCTTCTGCCTTTGTGCTGAGGAGACCCACTGGTTTGTCAGCTCTGCTGAGGGAGCCAAATGACTTCACTCTAATGGGGCATGATTCAACGCAGGGGAATAGGTGATTGATGAAATGGGACCCAAATGGCTCCGAAGAGTTCATTTATTTAACATGGGTGAGCAATTTGCTTCTAGGAAGACGTTGACTCACTCTGACTTCCATTATGCAAAATATCCACAGGAATCTCTGCTCTTAAGATTCATATCCATCCCTATGTTCCCTCTTGCTTATTTAATCATCAGCTCAGCAAGTATTTGTGGTGGCATTTGATCTGTGCCAGGCACTGTGCTTGGCTCAGGATGCTGCTGCCCACAAGGAGCCCTCAGACCCACGGACAGGTGGTTAGGATGCTAGCTCTCGGGTGCAGGGGGCCTGTGATGCTGGGGGGGCTGGAAGAGGGCATTTCTTTCAGTCAGCGAAGGCTTCCAGGTGAGAGTTTGGCCTGAGCAGATCCTATGAGGTGCTCTGGAGTGTGTCAGTGGAGGGGGGTGACCGAGGGAAAGTGGTGTCCAAAGAGGAGGGAGGATTTCTCCCTGGAGCTCAGGGTGGGGTTTCCCCATTCCCCAGAGTTGGAAGGAAAGGGCAGTTGTGGTCAGCTGGCAGGTGGAGAGTCGGGGCTGAGGAGAACAGTGACCTGCATAACCTGGTGAAGCTTTGGAATAGCTGCCGGAAAGAAGAAGAGAGGGGAACTGAGCCGGGCATCCAGGCCCTGACATCGCATGGGTCATCCTCTAGGGCTTAAAGCCTGGCCCAGAGCGAGCCAGTTAAGGTACAGGGTCCCCAGGTCCAGACTTGTTTCACTGGGCGCATTCATTCCACACCTGGTGTCTACTCCACCAGAAGTCTATGTTTATCTTTTTCCTAGCCCTTCTTAGTTGGCTTTGAAGTTACTTACCAAAGCATAACTTGTGACTGCCACTTATTAGCCAAATGGACTCAAACAAGTTACCTCTCCTCTCAGAGAATCAGTTTCTTCATCTGAAAAATGGGAAGATTAATGGACCTCCCTGGGTTGTTGTAGGTAGAGATGATCTATGTCAAGTACCTAGCACAGCACTGGAGCACAGGAATAATAGTTACGGCTGACATTTATCAAGTGTTTACTCCATGCTGACACCTGAGCTCACTGGGTTGGTGTGAGGATTAGATGAGAAAATGCTTGGGAAGCACTTAGCACAGTGGCTGACATACTGAGGACTTGCTAGCCTCTTTGTCTTGATATCCTGTTGAATTCTCCCCTAGTCTCTTCCCTGGGGCCCTCTGTCCATAGAGGTGGGAGCTGGGAGAGTCCCATGTAACACTGGTGTGTACAGGTGGGAGCTGAGAGAACCACACGTAACACTGTTCCTATGCACAAAAGGCATCTGGGAGCTCTTTGTGACAGTGACATGTGGCATGGTTTACAAAAGGGCCTGATGTTTCTAGCAGTCTGGGTGACTATCTTATCATAACCAAACAGGTGGTTTCATGTTTAAAACCCTTAATTGGTTGATGGTGCCTTTGCCTAGTTTTGTTCAGGGTTAGAAGCCTAGCATCATTTCCCTAGATCAGGGGTTCAGAACCATTTTTTGCCCCCTGCATCCTTTTGGGAACCTACTGAAGCCAAGGACCTCATCCCTGGAAAAATACTGAAATGCATAAAATATATGCATAGGATTATACAGGAAACCAATTACTTTGAAATTCAGTTATCAAAATATTAAAAAATATGCTCTAGAAATTGTGCTTCTTTATTAATGCATTAAATAGCAGGATCTAGTGGTGAGGATAGCGACTGCTGTAGTTTTGAAGTAGTGATAAGAATAAATATTTTGAGATACGTGCACTGTATACCAAGTAACCATTTCTTTTGATGGCAAAGGCACAGGAAAACACTAATACTACTATGCTTTGTAGCAAGGGCAGGGTTCCTTCAATTCGTAGTAGAAAGGAAAGCTAAATTTCAGTTAGCGCTCAGTGGAAATAAAGATAGAACTTTTCCCCCTGTTCATATTCATGCAGCCCCTGAATTTTAGTCAGATTAGGAACCCCTGTCCTAGGTAGTGTGTGAACTTTAGGAGACAGCCTGAGTCAGTGGGAAATACAGGGGCTGCTTGCAGCTGTGGTCTTCCCATTAACTGAGTTCCTGCCCCCAACATTTAAGAGCAATCTGGTTCATGCTAGGCACTGTGCTATGTGTTTGGCACACAGTAACTTTATTTTTGTTAGCATTTTCTAATTATTTTGAAATAATTTCACATTTATAGACAAATGACAGGATACAGGATTTTACTTTTCTTGAGCCATCTGTGAGTAAGTTGTCCATGTGAAGCCCTGTCACCTCTGAATCATTTAGTGTGTATTTCCTGTAAGCAGGGACATTCTCCTGTAGAACACGGCACAGCCAGGGAATTAGCAGAGATCACCACTGCCGTCTAATCCTCAGACCCATTCCTCTTTCACCAGTGGTCCCGTAGCACCCTTTGTAGCAAAAGGATCCAATTCAGGATCACGTGTTGCATTTAATAGTCTTGGTTCTTCAGTCTTCAGTCTGGAACGGTTCCTCAGTCTTTCCTGGACTCTCATGGCCTTGATACTTTTGAAGTGTCCAGGCCAGTTATATTGTAGAATGGACTTCAGTTTGTGTCTCTGATGTTTCTTGATGATTGGGTTCAGGTTAGGCATCTTTGGCAGGAATATCACAAGAGTGATGCTGTGTTCCTTCATTGTGTCCTATCCAACGGTACGTGGTTTAGATTTGTCTGTTACTGGCTATGCTGACTTTGATAACTTTATGAAGATGGGGGTCTGCCAGGTATCTTGAATATATAGTTACTCTTTTTTCCTTTGTAATTAATAAGTATTTGGGGGAAAGTGTTTGAGTCTGTGTCAATATCCTGATCTTCTTCGAACTTCCACCCACTAGGTTTAGCATCCTTTTATGTTTCTTGGCTGAATCATTTATTACCATGATGGTTGGCAAATGGTGATATTTCTGGTTCCATCATTCCTTCTACATTTATTAGTTGTTGTTTTACTATAAAGAAAAGCCCAGTCTTCCCATTTATTCATGTCAGTATGGACTCATGAATTCCTATTTTATTCAGTAGTGTATAATCTGTTACTATTGTTATTTATTTTGATGCTCAGGTTGTCCCAGATTTGGCCTTTTAAACTGGCTCCTCTGTGCTTTTGACAACACTCCATCATTATTTAAGCACTGCCTCATTTTCTAGCATGAGAAAAGGCTGTAGACATGTCTTGTATTACCCTTGATTTTCCTTGCCCCAATACTGAATTGGCCATTTCTCCCAGGATCCCTGGTTCCCTACAGCACACAGTTTAACTCTCATCTGCTCTAACTCCGTGAATTGGTAATGATTGTCCACCATTTTACAGGTAGGCATAAGAAGGCTCCAGTAAGTAACTTCCGGAGGTCCCAGAACTGCTAAGTGGCAGAGCCAAAATCTGAACTTAAAAGTTGCACATTTGTGAATGCTAATTCACGAAATTACGTCCCCATTTCATAAATGAGGAGACTGAACCTCACAGAGGTTTGTTGAGCTAGTTACCTAAGGTCACATAGCTAGTAAGTGGCAGAGCTCCACCTCCGATCTCTCTGTCATCACGCTGTTCAGGATGCCTTTAAAGTGACTCCCTTGACTTCTGTTTTAATGTAAGTCCCTCGTCCCTAATACTTGTCAGGTTTTGGTTTATGAATTTCCTTTTTTTGGAGCAAGAACAAGTGTGGAAAGGCATTCTTTGTAGCGTTGTGAAAATGATGATCAGCGGCTCTGAGACGTGGCGATATCGCGATGGGCAAAGCCGGGTAACGGTGATGATTCCTTTACAGCAGCTCTTCAGTGTGGAAAGCACAGCTCAGCTTCCTGCCCAGGTGAGTGATGGGCAGCCATTCCCCACGCCTCCTGCAGGTGGTGCTCTCTGACCGTGGCCTGCCCCGGAGCCTGGCACAGGAGATCACCCTTGTTTGGATTTAAGAATTAGCCACATAAGTTTGCATAATGTAAGGATGTGCTCTTTTAAAATTCTTCCCTTAATGTCAGATGCCCATTGTCATTTCCAGGAAAAGCAACAATTAGAGTATGAAGAGCTGATTCAGGTCTTAAAGAAAGAGCAGGACATCTATACCCATCTGGTAAAATCTCTGCAGGAGTCAGACAGGTAAGGGCTGTTTGGACATCACGCACACATGAGTGCTCACCTGCTCACACACGCATGTTTTGAATAAATGCTGGTAGTCTGTGAGGCAGCACAGGCCTCTCAGTTTGCTTAGGAAGCTTCAAGTGCTCGCGTGGTGACTGCCTTATTTAAATCAGGTATACCTATTTTCTATCAAAAATTGTCTGATGTTTGGCAATGAACTTAGGATAAAAATATAATAATTACTCAGATTTTTGTAATACTTTGTTATAGATTTATTTTTTCTTTTTTAATTGTGGTAACTGGTTTATAACACTATATAAATTTCAGGTGTACATCATTATATTTTGATTCCTGTGTAGGTTACATCATGTTCACCACCTGGAGACTAATTAACATCCATCATCACATACATGTGCCTAATCATCCCTTTCTCCCTCCTCCCTCCCCCCTTCCCCTCTGGTTAACCATCAATCCAATCCCTGTCTGTATGTGTTTGTTGTTGTTTTTACCTTCTGTTTCTGAGTGAGATCATATGGTATTTGACTTTCTCCCTCTGACTTATTTGACTTAGTATAATACCCTTAAGGTCTATCCATGTTGTCACAAATGGGCAGATTTCATTGTTTTTTTTTTTATGGCTGAGTAGTATTCCATTGTGTATATATACCACATCTTCTTTATCCATTCATCCCTTGATGGGCACCTAGGTTGCTTCCAAGTCTTGGCTATTGTGAATAATGCTGCAATGAACATAGGGGCGCCTGTATCTTTATGCATTAGTGTTTTCATGTTCTTTGGATAAATTCCTAGCAGTGGAGTAGCTGGATCATATGGTAGATCTATTCTGAACTTTTTGAGGAATCTTCATACTGTTTTCCATGGTGGCTGTACCAGTTTGCACTCCCACCAGCAGTGGATGAGGGTTCTCTTTTCTCCAAGTCCTCTCTGACACTTGTGGTTTCTGGTCTTGGTAATTATACCCTTCTGACGGGAGTGAGGGGTGTGTAGTTTTGATTTGCATTTCCCTAATATTTAGTGATGTTGAACATCTTTTTGTGTGCCTTTTGGCCATCTGTATATCTTCTTTGGAGAAATGTCTGTTCAGATCTTTTGCCCATTTTTAAATTGGATTGTTAGTTCTTTTAGTGAGATGTATGAGTTCTTTATATATTTTAGATATTAACCCCTTATCAGATATATTGTTTGCAAATATCTTCTCCCAGTTGTTAGGTTGTCTTGTTCTTTTGTTGATGGTTTCCTTTGCTGTGCTGAAGCTTTTCAGTTTGATGTAGTCCCATTTGTTTATTTTTTCTATTGTTTCCTTGCCCAGTCAGACATGGTCTTTGAAAATATGCTGCTAAGTGATACTGAAGAGCATACTGCCTTTGTTTGCTTCTAGAAGTTTTATGGTGTCAGGTGTTATCTTCAAGTCTTTAATCCATTTTGAGTTAATTTTTGTGTATGGTGAAAGATATGGTCTACTTTATTCTTTCCCTGTGGCTGTCCAGTTTTCCCAACACCATTTATTGAAGAGACTTTCCTTTCTCCACTGAATGTTCTTGGCTCCTTTGTCGAAAATTAGCTGTCCATAGATGTATGGTATTATAGATTTAGAAAGTGCTTCCATGTGTATTATCTCATACGATCCTCACAGCTCTTCTGTGAGGTAAATAATATTGGTATCCCTATTTTCTGTGAGGCCATGAAAACTACGAGAGGTTAAGTGACTTGTCCAAAGTCACTCAGGTGGTGAGTGGCAGAACCCCGGGACTCAAACACGTCTATGTGTCTTGGAGTGACTTGTGTCTTTACGGAATTGTTGAAACTATTTGGTACCAGTGAGTTGCGGGGAGGAACGCTGATTACAGGCTCGCAGTCTTGATCTAGCCCTGGCTCTGTGTCCAGAGGCGAGTGGCCTGCTCTGGGCCTCTGTTTGCTCATCTGTAAGTGCAGGGTTGGCCTCAGGGATTTCTCATATTAAGAAATCATCTCTCTACACACTGAGATAGTTACAGGTGAAAGGATATGATGTCTGGGGTTCATTTCAAAACCATCCAGAAATGGAGGGAGTGGGCGGGGATACTGAAGGAGCAAGATTGCCTGTGGCTCCCTGATTGTTGGGGCGGTGGATGGGCAGATGGGGAGGGGCTCGCTCATTAGGTTGTCTTATTTTGTATGTGTCTATTTATTTTCCACAATAAAAAATTAAAAAACATCCTGCCTCCCTGCTCCTCTCTGTGCCCTTCACTCTAGCTGTGTGAAGTCTACGTTGTCCCTGGGCCGTGTGTCTCCTGCCTCTGCCTTTGCGTGGATTTCCGTACCCTCATTTGTCTCCTGCTAGTCCTTGAGAATTCATCTGGAGGCCCAAGCTAATCCCCAGGACATGTTGGTACATTGTGTGCATGTCTGCTCCCGGCCCACATCCTGCTGTGGCCCAGGAGCTCCCTCAGGGCGGGAGTCCTGTCTTGTCCCTTTCCCAAGGCCTGTCCTAGCGGCTGGTGTGGAGCAGGCACTCGGGAAATGTTCTGTGGGTGAATACTCCCCACACCCCCCCAGTCTTCTAAGTTATGAGATAATTTTCAGATTTTTAAATCTGAAATGAGATTAGAGAAAATGAAAACATGCTTATGCAATTCTGAGAGTAGGCATCACTCTCTGAAAGTGAGTTTTTTCAAGAAGCCTCAGCTGCTAGTCGTTTTCACTGGGCTGGGGGGAGGGCAGGGGGGCAGTGGTTGAGTAATGCTGGGAAACTCCAAGGGGGAATGGGCGAAGTGAGCTTAATTGCACATTTTCTCCGGGTGGAAGCAGATTTGATTCTGGGCCCTGAGCGGCCCTGTGGGTGGATATGGATGCTGTCAAGCCTCCTCAGCATCGTGGATGGCTCTGCGTTTCATAGGCTCTTTCTTAATGAATAAAAATGTGGGATGGGATCAAGGTGGGTCAGGGCCGTGACTAATAGGAATGCTTAAAAGCTTTCCTGTTCATCTTCAGAGTCAAAATACGTTTAGGGTGAGACAGACCTGGGTCCACATCCCAGCTCTGCCATCCAGCAGCTCTGAGCTCTCTGGTAAGTCGCTTTTCACTGGGCCTCAGCATATGTGTTTGTACAATTGAGATTGGCCTGCTCACCTATCCACCTACCTATTTACCTGTCTACCTACCTACCTCACAGGGTTGTTTTGAAACGGGATGATGATGTGTAAGGCCTAATTCTAGCTGGCACATGGTAAGCACTCAATAAATGGTAACACTTATTAAGAATAATAGCAACGTGAAAAGCTTCTGTATGCCTCAGTAGCCCAATAAGCATGAACCCAGCTTGTAGGGGCTTTTGAGTCCTCAGGCCTGGCCATATCCAGAGGGCAGAACTGTGGGCTAAGGCAGGTAGAGCCCCCTTTGGTAACTCCAGCATTGCTCGCTCTCTGGAAACTGGCAGTAAAGGTGGATGACGCTAGGGTCATCTGATGGACTTGTAATTGTAGCTGGAAAGGGAGGGCAGGGAGGAAGGAAGCTAGTTATGGGCAACTCTATGCCTGGTCCTTTCCCCTTCACTGTGTGTTGCTCACAGCAACACTTAGAATTCTGTCAGTGGCTTCGTCCCCATAATACAGAAGGGGGAATCTGCTCTCGGAGATGTTAAGGGTATCACCCAGGCTTCCACAGTGAGGCATTGTCAGAGCTCAGCTCTGCCTGGCTCCCGAGCCCAGGCCCTTACTGAGGCATTGGCACTAGTACAGATGCCCTGCCCTGTAGCTCAGAGTTTCTCAGCCTCGGCGCTGTTGGGATTTGGGGCTAGGTAATTTTTTGTCGTGAGGGGCTGTCCTGTGCGTTGTAGGATGTTTAACAGCGTCTCTGGCTTTTACCCGTACATGCCTGTAGCACCCTCCCCTGCCCTAGCTGTGGCAACCGACAGTGTCTCCAGATATTGCTGCATGTCCCCTGGGGAGTTAGACTGCTGTAACTCATGAGAATCAGCAAGTTTGGCTTATAAATGCCATTTTTTGTTTGGGAGTTGTTAGGGTATGTGAGGGAAGGAAATAATGTTTGTTGAGCACCCGTATGTGTTAGGCACTATGCCGAGCTCTTTCTTATATAACATCTCAGTTAATCCTCAAAGCCATCTTGAAGGAAAGGTATCAACCCCATTTTACAGATGAGCATATCAGGACTCAGGCAGTTTAACGGACTTGCCTGAGGTCAGGGAGCTAGTTAGGGGTGCTGTGCCATTTGGAGCTTGGATCTCTCTGACTCCTCATTTCTGCTTCCCCTGCTACATTCCAGAAGGAAGAACGCACAAGACTTTCATTTCTCTCTGAGTGAAGCACCTTTTGTTCCACCAACTCCTCACACCTTGCAGAGATTCTGGAGTTGGGGAAACATAACTGACAGACAGAGGAGCAGCAGCTGTGTACTTTTCACCCCGTCAGGAAATGGAAGCGGGAGGGAAGCAGTTAGCTCTCCCAGCCCTAATTGCAGGAGCTTCACTCAAACACCCTCCTTTTGCCCCTGGTTAAATGTCTCGGCAGCACGAGCGCATCCAAGTGAGTGCTGTGCTGTGACACCTCCATAAGGTTTTCCATCAGCCGTACAAATTGATCATTATGATTGTCTTGAAATGGAACTAGGTACAGGTTGCTGGTAGGGCCCCTTCCCTTGAAAGGAGATGGCTTCACAATGAGCAATCTTCAAAACAGCGAGTATAGAAGATTAGACATAATGCTTTATTTTCCTTCCAAAATCTGTTGATTTGTGTGTGCAGTTCCATGGGTGGAACTGGAAGAAATCTCTGAAGCTGAAGTGGGGCTTGAGTGTGTAGCACACATATTCAGAGCAATAGCTCCCAACGATTTCAGGGCTGTGGAGCCCTTTTGAAAAATCTGGTGAAAGCTATGGGCCTTCTCCCTAGAAAAATGCACATATTCGTAAGTTTTTACAGACAGTTTCAACGTGTCGATGGACCCTCTTAAGGAACTGTGGGTCAGAGGCTGGATGGAGAGTGATGTGTTTCTCGGTGCTTAGAGAAGCAGGCCTTCTGATTTGTTAGCGTGTGTTGGTAGTCTCGGAAAATGTTCATGTACTTTGACCGAGGAATTGCGCTCCTGGGAATCCGTCTTAGGAAACTAACCTGAGTGTGAAACAAAGCTTTAGGTGCAGAGATGTCCATGGAAACGTGTTGTTCAGGTGTAGACTGGGGTCTCTGTTCCTCTGAGAGCTGAGTGTAATCAGTTGAAGTCACTGGCCAGTGCCGTGTCCAGAGTCGTCTTGAGGATCTGTGCTGACCGATTCAGTGGCCACTAGCCATGTGACTGTTTAAATTTAAATTAAAAGTAAGCGTTCAGTTGCTCAGTCTGTTGGCCACATTTCAAATGCTCGATGGGCACATTTAGCTAGTGGCTACGGTATTAGCGCACATGAAAAACACGTCCGTCACTGGACAAAGTTCTGGTGGCAGTATTCTGCAAGATTAATGCAGATTCTGGGAGGTGTGCATTTTCATGGCCTCTTCTGAGTTGCTGGTTTCATGCAAGCTCTCTGTGTAGCTCAGCACTGTATCATGGTGACCCACATGTGGAACTTGACATCCCCCTCCCAAAATAAAAATCCGCTCTGCTGTGTATTTGAGTGGCTAACTCATCACAGTGGAGTTCTCTTGGCCCTCACTCGGTCCTTCTCTCGCTCTCATTATTGGGGCACTCTTCCTTTCTTTTTTCTCTTCCTTCCTGCCCTTCACTCTTAGCCCCAGTACTGCCTCTTTAGGACTGACACAATGGACATCCTCCCTTGTCTCCTCTTCTGAAGCCTGGGTTCCAGGTGATGCCCAGGCTCTGGAGAGTGTCCCCTTCTGTACCCAGGCTATCACAAGACATTTTTCCACCTAGAGAAACATTCTGGGGAGTTAAACATTTCTACCTAGTTGCATCTGAAGCAAAAACTTGGAAATGATCGAAATGCCCACTGGTAGGGGATGAGTTAAAGTAAATGATGAGACATGCACCTAATTTAATATCATATAATCACGAAAAGTGATGTTTGCAGAGAGTTTCCAAAAATGTGGGAAAATGTTTAAGTGAGAAATGCAAAATTTAGCATTGTACATCTAGTATTCTTGCAACATTGTAAAAATAGGGAAAAAGTGAGAGGAAATGCAGTCTACCATGTGTTAATTGATAGTGGGTTCATGGTAATTTTTATTTTCTTTATACTTTTATATTTTAAATTTTATGTAATAAACATATTTACTTTTATAACCAGAAAAACCACAAATGACATAAAAATCTAAGGAACGCTTGCTGGGTTTTGCATCTTTAAGTACAAATAGATGTGTTTTACAATTTCTGGTGTCTTGTTTTACCAAGTATCAACAACCTGCAGGCTGAGTTAAACAAAATTTTTGCTCTGCGGAAGCAACTGGAGCGGGATGTGCTCTCATATCGGAATTTACAAAAGACCCTGGAGGAGCAGATCAGCGAAATTCGGAGGCGGGAAGGTACACGCTCTCTTGTATGTATTTCCCTTTGGTTTTTCCACTTGGAGGACCTTGGCTGAACTTTAAGAGTCCTGAGACTTTCGTAGGAGAAGAGGCACCCACAGGATTTCATCTGGGGGTTCCTTTTTTGTGATGACTGTGTTAATGTTGGCTCTCCCGATCTGTATCCATCTGGCTTCAGCCTTCGTAGTAGAAAGGCCCAGCAAATTGTATTGGTCCTGCAGAGAGTCTGCTGCAGGATGGCTTCCTTGCTGCCTCTCCTGTGGTCTGCATCATCTGATACTTCTAGCTCCAGATAACCTTGGAACCTTGTAGTCTCCTTTCTCTAGTAAACAGCACTCATTGCCCAAAGCTTCTGGGCTCTCCCTACCGCAGCGCCCGCTGCAGCGTGCCCGGACGGCACAGTCACATGAGCGTGAGGTTGCTGTTCATGTTGCAACAGTTACTGTTTAGCACTCTCATGACCACAAGTGGATTCACTTAGGGAGGACTGCAGGATGAGGGCCTGTGGTCCATGCATTGCTGTGCTCATCGCAGTAATATCTGGCCCTCTCCCTTGCTAGAACCTGAGCCCCTTAGAGTCTGGATTGGAATCTCCTTCCTTTCTGTATCTCTCACCTGCTGCCTGGCACAAATGGTAAAATTTGGTAATAGCAACGGTAGGTTTGACATTTCTTGAGCACCTACTGTGTACAAGGCGCAGCACCTGGCACTTAACTTCTCATCTCTGCTCCTGACATTCATCCCATTAGGTAGCATAGGTATTGACTTCATTTTACAGATGAAGCAACTGAGGCTCAGAGCTGGGCGTGGGGGTTGATGTACCCAGATTTGGGCCAGAGCAGCTTCCTCTGAAGTGTAGCGCTTCCTGGTATATCAGGTGTAGCAGCTCCTAGCCACATGTGTTAAATGAGATCATGTTTGTGGCTGTGCCTCACTCAGTAAATGCCTGCCCCTCCTCTGCAACTTCCCTCCCTATTACAGTGTGACCTGTGCTGCAGAAGAAGCTGACCCTTAGGTCGGTGGCCAGATTCTCTTGTTTGAGATCTGGCGGGCACATTCTGCACTTGGTGTGCTCGTTACCATGGCAGGCTCCGGGGCCAGTAAGAAATACACCAGGCACTTTTATTTCCCTTAGGGTTGACCCTTGAGGGTCACATCTAATTCTCCTGTATTCTCACCTGAACAGAATCACTTCCTCATTTAAACTGAAATCACTATTTACTTGTGCCACTCAGAATGGTCTCCAGGCACAACACTTGGTGTGCAAATTATAATTCAGAATTGGCCACAGTGAAAGCCTGTATAGCCTGTGATAAAACCATACATTGAAATATCAGCATGTAGAGAAAGAGGGAAAATTACTTTTGCTCTAAAGGTTAAAACTCCCTGTGTATACTGAAGTCCCCCCCCGCCCCCACCCAATTCACATGGCCTCAGGTGGGTTACACTGGGACTGGTCTTGGACGGATCTATTTCTGATATTCTTTTTGTCCTCTTCCCACTTTTTTTTTTTTTTTGGCAGAAGAAGAACCGTTTTCATTTTATAGTGATCAAACGTCTTATCTGAGTATTTGCCTCGAAGAGCCCTATCGGTTTCAAGTGGAGCAGTTTTCTCAAGAAGAACTTAAGAAAAAGGTATCGACCTGATAACTCAGTTCTTTGTTGGTTATTTGTTGTCTCTTGGGTTCTTGATCAGAGGTGTGAGATTCTGAAAGCCCCTTTCCTCTCCTTTCTTCCCTCTCTCCCTGCCTGTCTTTGTTCCTTCTCTGTACGTTACCTGGAGGGCCCTCCCCCATGTCTGATAGACGCCTTCTCAGGCTGGAGGACCCAGCCCAGGCTTGATCTCCCCTCACACAGGCTTGATCAGTCCCTCCACATAGTTAGCCACATTTTTCTTGGGTCATTCGTCTCTCTTCTTGTGCCTAATCTCATTGATGTCCTTCTCATACTAGTCTCTGATTATCTGGGTATTTGTCTGTATCCTCTGCTAGGCTGTGAACATCTTAAAGTTAGTGATTGTATCTTACTTATTTCTGATTTCCCAGTACCTGGCACACATAGTGGGAATTAATAGATGCTTTTTGAAAGAATAAAGGTCCAAGTTTGATCAATAAATCTTGTTTAAAACTGGAAAGGTTTTTCAATCTGTTGATCATTGGTGTAGTTAGAGTAGATTGGTATTTCCAGTTTCTAAGAGCCATTGATAAGAATAGGACGTTGTGAGCTCAGAGGAGACGGTGATTTATTGTAAAATTGTCGTATGTATGACAGATTCAGTTTCTATCTTGGACTAATTCACATTATGGGGGAGTGGACAGAAATAAACAAGTAATTGCAATATGGAGTACAAGGGTGGCCGTAATAGGCAGACGTACAAGGTAGAGGGGTAGCAGAGGAGAGGTTAACTGTTGGGGGTTGGGAGGTGCTCATTTGATCAGTTGAAGCTTCTCAACAAAAGAGAGGCCTGAATTGGGTTTTGAAGGATGAATAGGAGTTTGTCTAGGAGGGCTTTCTCAGCAGAGAGAGAGAAAAAACAGCAGGTACAAGGTACAGAAGAAGTAGAAAGAACTATAAATATTTAGTGTTTTGGGAGGAGTGGCAAGGAGTATTGAGGCATCTGCTAGTTTCTGAAGACGAAGAAAATGGGATGATAATAGCTGCTGTTGGTCCTTCCTGTGGCTGTGTCAAGGATAGGAGGTAGTTCACGTAGTTGGCACTTAGTGAGTGTTTGTAGAACCAGAATGCTTTGTTCTTCCCACTGTAATGTCCTTGAGGGTTGGGTGCACTTTGTGTTCACGTTTGGTGTGTTGGACATCTGCTTTGTGAGGGTAGGGTTGCCCACTGTACTTGAGGGGCTCATGCTAACCCCAGTTAAGAAGTCTTTGGAAAATTACTGGCCATGGGGCTTTGAAACTTGCAGGGAATGAAGGTGGTGTCTGCTCAGCTGCTTGTGTTCCTGGCCTCGCAGGTGCATTGGCTAATGCCTTGAGGAGGTGCGCTGGCTGGGAGCCCTGGGTCTCAGCTCTGGGCCTGGCTCTGCCCTGTCCCGCGTGACTGGGCACTCCAGCTCCTCCTTGTAAAATGGAGGTAGTCGTACTAGCCCGTCCACCTCCTCAGGATTTCTGTAAGGAGTGATTGACTAAAGCTTGTGGGAGTATTTTAGGAGCTGTAAATTGCTTTATAATTGAAGGCTGTTATTATTACTGACATTGCTAGATAGGTTTACAAAGAAGATTGATGTTGTAAAATAAGGCCCTGACACAGTCTTAGAGGCTGCTGTCTCTGGGGACTTGTTCTCTAGAGAGAGTCTCAAGTACCAGACAGATAGTGTTAGCTGTCATCAACTGCATATTTAGCCTGTACCAAGGAGGTTAGGGTGTGGAGATAATGATCATGGTCCATTCTCACAGTCACCCATTCCACAGATGAGGAAATGAAGGCTTAGAGTAGGCAGCTTGCCCAGATCTCTTTGTCTTGAACTGGTGGCTCTGGGGTTAGAATACAGGTAGACCTGTGTTTTGTTTTGTTTTTTTTCCACTGTACCCAGGATAGCCTGAAGACTAGGATCAGGCCTCCTGATTCTCCATAATTGTGATGCTGAAAAATCTGCTCAGTGGGAAGGTCTGTGGCCAGGCCGTGACCTGGGAGGCTGAAGTCTGCTGCTGGGTAGCCCATCCTCTGCCTGCTCTTCTCTCTTAGGTCAGTGACCTTTTGCAGCTCGTGAAGGAACTGTATGCAGACAACCAGCACCTGAAGAAAACCATTGTTGATCTCTCCTCCATGGGTCTCCAGGGAGGCGACAGACTTGAGTCAAGAGAACAAACAGAGGTAAGAAGAAACATACTTGTTGTCATGTGCTAATTACAAAAAATAACAACCCCCCAAATTTCTTGAGACTGCATCTGTCCTGGGGAGGTCTCTACTGAAGTTCCAGTCTTGGCTGTGGATGGGTGTTGAGGGCCCCCCAGGTCAGCAGGTCTGTCCATGGGCTTCCTCAAGTTTGGGTCGTGTCTGCATGAACACTGATATACTGTGATGCTGTTGACTCCAGGTCTGGCTCTGGGATCTGTGCTGCAGATGGCACATCTGGATGATTGCTATGGTCTCAGAAGGATCTGGACAGTTGCCAAATCACCCAGATAATTTGGGTAGTATAGATGCAGTCTTAATGAATTCATTAACATTGAAAAATAAACTAGTAAACATATTTTTCATTTACTTTTTGTATTAATCCTCTGCATTTTGTGCCTCTTCTTCTCACTCTTTGTGGCATCTGGACTTATGGATTTGACCGGGTGTGGGTTGTTCCTTCCCACACATACCCAGGAACTCCTGTGTGCTCTGCCATTTACAGGGAGTAAGCAGTCGGTGTCCCATGAGCCCACAAGTCCAGCTTCCTGACTATGGGAATTTTCTTCTGTTGGCATTTGAAAGTCTGAAAGGGCCACGAAAGGTTAAATCGTGGTGTCTCTGCACTAAAGAGTGTGTGGTTCACTGGGCTCGTGTACTCACTGAGGGTGAGAGGCCCATTCCGTTGGCCCGCCCCAGGGAGGAGGAGGGGAGTCTTGTTCATTCGCCCTGATGACTTCTGAGTCTCTGCTCATCTTTGTGCTGTGTTGTCTCCGACTTTCTCTGTTGTTGGCCCGTGCCGCACAGTAGGAAGACCCTGAAGTTGTGACAGTGAGGAGGAGCTTGTCGTTGCCTCCCTTTAGCCCCTGCCTTGGCCTAACTCTCCCTCAGGAAGAGGCTTGCTCCATGTGTGTGTGGGCCTTGTTTCAGAAGACTGAACTGTTCTCACCAGTACGGCCTTTTTGTACCTGGTTTCCCCAGAATCATCTTGGCTGCAGTTGTCTTGAACACAGCCTGGTGTAGCAGGTAAATGGAGGTCTCATTGCCACATCATTTCTGGGGAAAGGTTTGTCAGCCTTAAGCTATCTCCTCCTGCCTTCAAAGTGGGAGATGCTCAAAGGTATTTATGCTGTGCTCTGGCCATCTGCTCTCTTTGGGAGGGGGCAGCTTATTGATCTTAGCCTCCAGGGCTCCAGATAATTTTGGAAACCAAGAATATCTGCAGCCCATTTAGGGAGAAACAAGTCTCTTGCGTTGTTTTCTCCCAGGCAGCATTTTTAATAAGCAGCTCATTCTTCACCTACTTCATCTGAGTCGTAAATGGCAAGTTTGTTTGTTCATTTGCCCTTTGAAAAAAATCTGTTAAATGTCCCATTATGTCCTTTGGAGAACAGAGGCTTTTTCCTCTTCCCACTCAGATCTTAATACCAGCCGATTCAGATTTGAGTCATTTGTCAGATTGCACTTCAATTTGATGTTCCCTATGAATAGCTTGTCCTTTGTAGCGCAGCTCCCCGTCTTCCCCCGGAATGGGATGGGAAGATCCACGTGGGAAGGATGATGTTCTCTCAATAATTGTGAGCTGAGGGAGGAGAGGTCGCTAGGGATGAGGATGGGGTGGCAAAGAGGGAGGTTGCTATTCCCTGAGAGTGCGTGTGGTTTTCCTTTGATGGGAAACAAGGCATAAACATACTGGAAATGCTTACATGTCCATGGCATTTTCTGAACGGCAGGGCTTGCAGAGTCGGGGCTGGGTACCATTCCTGCTCTCTAGGAGCCTGTAAGTCAGAAAAGGAAAAAAGAATAAAAAGCACATATATTTTGTGTTATTAAAATTCAGTATTTTTTCTCCAATATTTATTTAACCCACACCGTTACCTTACACTTGGAAAATAGAGAAATTACCCCTAATCCTGTCACTTTAAAACACACACAATTAATTAGCATTTTGGAATCTTTCCTTTTCTATTTGCGTATATGAACACATGCCCACAATACATGTATAGTTTTGATTCCTGTTTTTTCCCAGTTGTTGTTATGTTATAGCATCTTATTCCATCTTGTGGATGCACTGAAATTTAACAACTGCCTCGCAATTTTTGGATGTATAGATTGTTTTCAGTTATTCACTATTTTAAATTACCTGATCTGTATCTTTGGACACAAATCTTTTTCTGGGTCTAGGGTTTTTTTCCTTAGACTATATTCCTAGATGTGTAATTACTAGGTCAAAAGTATAGATGTAGATAGATATAGGTATAAAATAGGTGTATAGTTAATTTTCTTATACCCTCCCCCCTGCAACTTTTAATTTGATAAAGGGTATAAACAGTAGGAAGCCCTTGATACAGTCAGGTTTGTCTTTAAACCTGGTGTGGATTTCCTCCAGCTGGTTACGACAGTGTTTATTCCCTGAACGCGGGCAGTTCACTTAAAAACCAGCCAAACAAACAAAAGACCAAGAACAAGTAACCTTTTGTTCTAAAGTGCATTTAAAAGAGATTAGATTAAATTAGATTAGGTTAGATTTAAAAAATCTCTAATGGGATTGCCCCATTTCCTTATAATTATTTACTGGTTATTAATTTATGTATTATTATAGAAAAATGTGGTTGAGAATTGAAGTACAGGGGTGATTTGAACAGACTATAGACAGGGTGGTGAGCATTGCAAACCATGATCTATGTGACGTGGAGCTGCCACCTCTAAGCGACAGGATGTGTGTGTGAGTGCTCAAAAAGAGTTAATCGCTAGTATTATTTACTTATATTTAGGAATGGTTAGAAAATGAAGATTGGGTTTTTTTGGCCTAGGGAGAAAAACGTAGATTAAGGGGTATAATTTAATTGAACTCAGATATTTGTGGAGCTGTCATGTTGAATAAGAAATAGACCTTGTGTGACTCTAGAGGACAGAAGTGGTACTCAGAAGTAGAAGGTGCTTGTTAACTTCCGTTATTAGTAACAAAATATAATTTGGCTTATTGGAAGCAGTTTAATTTCATTAAAAGCAGGAATTTTCTTACAATTCATCTTTGTAAGTTACAGTGAGTTTTACATGGTTTATAAAGCCCTTGGCAGAGTGCCTGGTAGGTAGTAGGCACTCAGTTAAACACAGCTATTTTAATTTTATTTTTTAGGAAGTTAGTGGCAGATTTGGAACTACAACCCTCTTCTGACTCTGTTCAGTGTTTTAGCAACACCATAGGGCATTGCTTCCAAAGTTTAACGTACATGTGAATTTCCTGGGGATCTTGTTAAAGTGAAGATTCTGGTTCAGTAAGCCTGGCATGGGGCCTGAGAACACACTTGGAGTAGCAAGACCAGAGGTAATCCTGGAAACCTTTTGGTTCCAGCTTCATTTTGAAAAAATCTTTATTCATTTGTCTGTCTTTCAGCAGTGTGTTATTGAGCACGAGGCACTGTTGTTAGAACTGCACCCAGCCTCGGTCCCTGCCCCATCCAATATGTAATGCATAGAAGCAGACAGGCACTTGCCACCATGTGGTGAGGGCTGCAATGGAGCGAGTGTGGAGTACGAGGGGAGCATGTAGACAGGGCCCAGCCTTTGCTTGAGATCAGGGGAAGTTCTTTCTGGAGGAGGAAGGAGAGCCTGCAAAGCAGATCCAGAAAGAATAGCCCCAGCGGCAGGAGGAGAACCAGGAGAGTGCGGGTGTCTTAGGGACGGAGTGTTGACTAGTGTCAAGTACTCTGAGAAGACAAGAAAGGAAAACAGCCAAGAAGTTGGCAGGGAGCCGTTTATGACCTGGGCAGTTTCAGCAGAGTGAGGAGGGGACAGAGGCCTATGGCAGTGGATGGAGGAGGGTGAGGAGTGAGGAAATGAAGAGAGAGCTGGCTGACGCTTTGAAGTGTGGTCTCTTCCTAGCTGGTGAGTGAGAGGGCTGGAAGCAGAGCCTGCTTGTAGAGGCTCATAGGTCTTCCTGACGTCTTGTTCTGAGTCTTTGAAAATTTATGTCCCGTATGGCATGAGGGACATTTCTCTATGTCCACACCGTTTAATTTCTTGACCGTTGCTGGAAACTGAGAGTTTGCTTTTAATTTTGACCAAGTCAGCAGAGGTAAAGAGAAATGAAAGTTAATTTTTATTTCAGTGTATTGAGTAATAGAGGTTATGGTTCTGGAAATGAAGAATAACTTCAATGCTTTTGATATTTCAACTTGGAATGACACGGGTTAACACTACTTTGCTCAGCCTAATTTAACCCCTTAAACCCTTCTTTTATCCACTGGGTTGGGGAGGAGCCTCTCCCTGCCTCCTCCCTGATCCCATGTGGCTTCTATCTCCCATGCTAGAAGGTCTTTGGGGACCTTTTGTGAGCAGTGGCTAGAGAGTGTTGGCAGCAACAGCCACATCACAGAAGGTGAGGACAGACAATTCTTTCAAGAAGCTTGGAAAGAGGCAGAGAGCGCTTGGTGACCAGAGCTGTTGGGGGTCTGAGGGGGACTGTTGTTGTTCTCTTTGTAAAGATGGGAGAGGCTCTCCTCCAGCATTTTGTTAGGAAAAAATGCAAACACAGCAAAGTGAAAAGAACTTTACAGTGAATACCCATACACTCACCACCTCGATTGTACTCCTATTTCCCACCTATCCGTCATCACTCCATCTTATCTGCTTGATAAATTTTAATGTAAACTATAAACATTCGTGTACTTCCCCCAATTACTCTAGCATGTGTATCTTTAACTTCAATATATGTTTATAGTTATTTTTTCTTTTAAGGTTAAATTTACATACAATGAAATATGGAAATCGTAAGTCCACATTTGCTAAGTTTTGTAAATATTTGTACCTGTGTAACCCAAACCCCTATCAAGGTCCCTCATGTCCCTTCTAGTCAATTCCCACCCCCACCCGCACTCCCCTTCTAATTTGCTTCCAACATGTGTTAGTTTTGCCTGTACCAGACTTTCATATAAATGGAATTTAAAGTGTGCTCTCTTTTGTGTAAAGCTTCTTTCACCAGCGCAGTGTTTTTGAGATTCATCCATGTTGTTATGTGAATCAAGTTTGTTCCTTTTTATTGCTAAGTAGTCTTCCATCTTATGAATATATTACAATTTGTTCATTCTGCTATTAATGTACATTTGGATTGTTTCAGGTTTTGGATATTATGATATAAGCTGTTACGAATATTCATGTAGCAGTCTTTCTGAGGACATTTGTTTTCCTTTTCCTGGTAGAATTCCTGGGTCATAGGGTTATTAGTTTTATAAGAAATTGCCACTACTTTTTCCAAAGTAGTTTAACATTTTATACTCCCACCACCAAGTTGATAGTCCTAGTCTGTATTACTTGGGAATGTTTTAGTAATAATGAGGGAAGAAGCCAATAAGGGAGAGAACTTCCTCATCCATCTTTAGGAACTTTGATGCCTTAGTAAGTATACTTGTGCAAGTCTGGTCTGTTAGTGCATCATAGTGTGGTGAGATCTGATTTGTAAGATCGTCGTTCTGTCTGGTCCTGATTGCAGATTTGGATATGTTAGTTTGAATGTGTTCTGATCGTGGACAGTTTTCTATAAAATGACTTTCTGAAGTCAGTTTGATTTGTTTTGTTTTTCTTCTTCCAAAACAAGGGTTTCGTCTAAAAGGAAGATCAGAAAAGTTTAAGTTGGGCTAGGAAAATTCTGAGGGTAATTGACTATTGTAAGAGTTCATAAAATAAAACTACGGAGATGGAACCTTAGACATCTCCTGTGTACAACATGCCCAGCAGGTGACCCAGCCTTACTTTGTGGTTTCAGCACTTCAGTGCAGAGCTCACTACTTCATTGGTGAGGTGAGGTTTGGTATAATTTTGAAACAGCTTTGACTTATTGCCTCCCTGGATGTGGCCACCTTTCCACTCATTTTTTATGAGGTTAGTCCATGTGTCCCCTGAGTAGAACTTTTGCTCTTCCGGAGAGCTGAGACCTGGCCCTCTTGAGGGTGGTCCTGTCCATTCTCTAGAATGCAGAATGTGGAAGCTTTGGGATTTATGCTTCTTTAAGGTGTTAGGGATTTATGCAGTCCTTGCAAATAACTGTCCTTCATTTTCAAAAGCATGAAGTTATCATCAGGCAAGCTTGATACTCATTAGCAATGAGGACTTTTTTGTCAGCAAAATGACAGTGTTGCTGGGACTGTCCATCTCAGATGTGTGGCAGTCAAAAAAGAGCTTTATGCCCTGTGCTAAATAGGAGAAGTGATGCATAAATCGGGCACATCATAAATTTCATTTACTGCTTCCTCGCTATTTGATATGTTCAATTCCATCAATAGCTATTTTCCAAAATCTTGTTACTTTTATGTAATCTGAAAGTGAATTTAGCAACGGCAGGGATGGCAGCGGCACAACAGACAGCATATTCAATTTATGGCAGCTCAGGGAAGGCCGTGCAAGGGCAGAGGGAATGGCTTTAGTTATTTCTTGGGGAATTTGTCCTTAAATTATGCCTGAGCCCAGGCAGCTGTGTGTGATTTGCCAGAATTAGCGATTCCTAACTTTGGTTAATTTTTATTTCATGGCTTTGGCATTTGTCTTTGCTGCTTTTTTGGTTTGCTTTTGTTTTGCATTTACAAAAGAAGACATCACTGACTTATTCATACATATTCATGCTGCACACTGTTTTGGGTTGCATTTTCACACCATTCCATGCTCCATGTAGCTTCTGGGTAGCAAGGAGGACGAGGACATGACCAGAACTGGAGAGGATGATGGGAATAATTTCCTGAGCAACCAGCATTTGGAGCAGAGTAACAAGGTAGGAACATTGCTATTAACTCCTTATTCTGTCCGCCCCTCTCTGTGCCAGTCCTGAATGAGTCCCATGGGCTTTCTGTTCATTCTGGCTAGATTGAGTGCCTGCTGTGTGCCAGTGGAATGCACAGTGACTAGGTCTCCTCTTTCTCAGAAGTTACAGACTGGGTGATAGAGCCAGTCATGAAACGGCAAAACAAACATGTAGTTGCAAATAAAAACTGGGTGGTTATAGGAGAATAACAGGCATTGGATGGTGGACCTCACCAGCTCCTCAGAGATCTAACCCAGTCAGTTCGTTTATGCATTGGGAGCTGAGGCCTGTGAGGGGCAATGATGTATCCAGGGCACAGAGGCAGTCAGTGAGAGTTGGGGCAAGAGCCCTTACCTCTGGACTGCCGTGAACTCCCAGATCATTCAATTGTAGGAGCCATCGAGAGAACCAAACGCCCTTCTGCAATGTCCTGATCTGGAACCCAGTTTAGTGTCATCTGGGCGTTGTTGAGAATTTGACCGTCCACATGGAACGCTCCTCCAGTCACGATGATACTGAACATTTGGAGCAGACATTCTCCATGGTTGAAAGAACCCTAAAGACTGGGATGTGGTGGGGGATAGGAGGCTGCAGGTTTGGCGTTTGTGGCCTTCCAAGTCATGGAGTCACGAATGGGAGATCATTAGGGTGTAGACAGTTTTGAGAGCAAAGCAATTAAAAGTGAGGGCTTTGGAATCAGATCTGATCTTGATCACTATCACTGTGACCTTGGTTAACCCTTGCTTAACCCCTAAGCCGAGTTTCCCCATCAATGAGAATAGTAAACTTTCTTGTTAGAATTGTTATGATAATTAAATAGAAAGGTGTGTACTAAGTGCTCAGTAAATGATAACAATTACTATTTTTATGATTATATTTTAGACTTTTCCTTCTTTGGAGGTTTAGATGGATTTAATAACTAGATTGATGGCAAACAAGACCCAATAAATAACAGCTCATTTGTGTGGGTCTTGTCTTCCATTTAAAAATCTTAATCATTTTACAACTGTGGAGAGAGGGGTGTGGTGGCTAATGTGTATATCACCAGCAGTAATGAAGTCAAGGGGAGTTATTTATAGACTGGTAGAAGAAATTTACAGCTTTGGAAACGGGGAGAAGAATGCTAATTGCAACACCTCAAGACATGCCCAGCGCAGGCTTTAACTAGCTGAATCCTTGGTACCACTCCTCTGGGACCCTCCATGACCCAAGAAGGTAGATCCGTAAATAACGTCTCCATGGGAATTAGAAACACTCCACTTTCCTAATGAGACAAATCAAAGTCATGTTAATTAGGACGCATCTGTAAAGAGTAAGTCGTCTTTCTGATATATATTGGGGATGATACATTGCAAGAAGTATATAATAAATGTCCAAAGCATTGTTAATGACACAGATTCTGTACCCTTCATAGGAACAACTTACAAGGAGTGGGCTGTGGGGTGGGGGGACGCGCCTGTCGTGGGTGAGACATTGTGCCACGATCTTTAGTGAGTCAGTCATGTCATTTTGTTCTCATAGTCACCTTGGGAGGGGGCATTCCTGTCCACCTTTTATAGGGTGACGAGAGTGATGTACACATCTTTGTGTTCTTGCTGAGCATCACCCTGCCGTAAAGTGAGTGTGTGTGGCCCTGTGTCTGCGCCCCATCTCTTCCCTCTTCCTCTCTTTCGTTTTCCCTCTGGCTTACTTGCACTTGCTCATTCATTTTCTGTCTCTACCCTTTCTCTCTCCTCCATCTACCCTTCCCGTCCTCCTGAGTCCGTTTTTGACTAAGTACTTTGATTTGCAGATTATGGAGGACCATTCCAAAGGGGGCTGCAAAAATGGATATTTAAGGCACATGGATTCCAATATTTTAGACTACGATGGCACCCACAAACCTAGCTGCCCTGGAGAGCAGAGTCTAGAAGAAGGCGAGCTCATGAACCTGCTCGCCCCTTTCTTCAACGAGAAGGCCACGTTGTTACTGGAATCCAGGTAGACACTGGGCCCAGACATTGCTTTGTGTCTCTAGTTCGAGGGGAGAACAAAGTCATTTTGCTAAATGGATTTAGATGATGGTGCGGTGTAATTTACCTGGGAGAGCTCCTGAAATGGCTTGGAAGGAATCTTGCCAGTCATGCAATTAAGTAATTAGGCTGCATGCTGGTAGCTGTGAGGGGGCTTCAGCAAAGCCTCGTGCAGGCCCATTATAAAGAGGAGAAAAAAAAGCTTTCCTTTAAGATTATTCCTGGGAGCCCCACAAAGGGCTCTCTGGTTGTCAGCGAGAGGAATCAGCCCTGCTGAAACCTCTCCCAGTTGCTACAACAGCTTAAAAACGGTCACCGTGGTCGTGACTGCTCTTTCATGTTGAGTTGAACTAAAATTCTCTTCTCGTTCTATTTGCTGGGAGTCATTCCTGTGTGAGGAAATACTTCAGGGTGTTTTCCTTAAAACGAAAAAGGAGAGACATTTAGGGCATTTGTATTTTTAAAATTAATCCTTTAGGAGCAAATTTCCCCCCTTTCACCTTTTTTCTAGTCCATCATAGCAGCTGCTTGGGCTTTGGAGCCAGAAAGAGCTGTGCCTTCATCTCTCAGGCCTCCGCTTCTCTGACCACTTCTTAGGGTTGCTGCGAGGACTCAGGAAAATTAGTGTGTGAGGAGAATGGCTGGCATGTGATGTGTGTTCAATCTGAGAGTTCTGTTCTCTTCCCATTTCGATGGAGAAATGGAGCTGCTAACTGCTGCCCATGACTTGGCAGGAGCCAGGAACCCTGCTGTTTCTCACACCGTTTGTGGACTAAGCCTCGTAGACATTTCTTCAGCTAAAAAAAAAGGACTGAAGTATTCTGTTTTTGTGGGTTTAGCCAGACTAACCCTTCCCCAGTCCCTGACATCTAACATTTTTCTTTCGTGAGTCCTTTTGGGGGACATGCCCAGTGGCTATTCTGGTTTATTATCACAGGGAGTTAGGTGACCATAGTCGACACTTGAGAAATGGAGAATTTCCTCAACATGGTAATTCCAAATGTTACCGTAGAGTTAAAAGATGCAGCTCGCTCTCTCTGAGGACCACCTAGGAATGCCCCTGGTGGTGTGAGCTGGGGAAAGTAATGGGCTGGGTGGGAGCGTGGGGAATTGTGGTATAAGTGTTCCCTTCTAGTGGACAGGAGCTTCTCAGCTCCGACTGATTATTGTCTTGCAAGCACATGGGCTCAGAGCTTCCAGTCTTTCAGTGGAAGCCCAACAGTTGTATTCTGAATCTCTTGATCTTTAAAAATTTAGACCTAGTTACAGTTTTTAAGAAAGCACTTTATGGGCCTGTGCCTACAGGCAAGCTTGTGACGTCTGCAGTTCAGTTACCTGTTCCCTGTGTCTGTTCCATAGGCTTCCAGGCCATTGTGGCCAGTTCTAGTGTCAGAAAAGGCTTTAGCCTGAATCTGCTGCCCTCATCCATTCTCTGGACAGCTGTCATTCACGGTGCAGTCCTGGCTCCGAGGGCCCTGCTGACGGCCCGACCGAGGTCTGCACCTGCTTCTGGAAGACACATTTCTGTGCCACGGCCCAGGCTGGCACTTCACACGCCCCATCTCATTGTACCCTCTCCCCAGCTTTACGTTCTGCTGGTGGCGATCTTTTCTCTGCAGACGTGTGAACTGACGTTTGGGGACTTGATGTCCCCTTAGTTAGTAAATAGTAGAGCCATTGGAGAATTTTCTGGAGGATTCTTTTAAAAAAACTCCTTGGAATAACCCGGATTCTGATTGGTTAGAGAAACACCAGTCTTCTGCCTAGGAATTCCCTCCAGGAGGTAGGTGTTTTTGGTGTACTGGAAAAAGCAGAGTTTTGGAGTCAAAGAGACCTGTGCTCCAGTCCAGCTATACCATTTAGACCTTGCGACATGTCTCCCCACCTTGGTTTCCTCATTTGTAAAGTGGGCATGGTGGTGCTCAGTGAGGATTACCTGGAATAATGGGTATAAATATAGAGCCAGGTGAAGTGGGGTTTTGGTGATATTAGTGCTTAAATCGTGCCCTGCAAGTTACTTCTACCCTTTCCTACTACTGTCAGGTAAGCTTCATACCATATGTAAGATACAGCGGCCAGCCAGGGATTCATGCCTCTCTATTCCTTGCTGAGCCAGTGTCTGATAACTCCAGTGCAGAGCTCTGATAGATGTAGGCCCAAGACACCACCCTGTCCCCCCTGTTCACTGCACACCCCCCCCCCCCCCCCCCCCCGGCTTTTGAGCTTTTCCACCTCTAGCCATGAGGGCCACCGGGGCTAGCAGAGCAGGTAGGCCCCGGGAGTAACTCGGATTCAACTTACCCATCCACTAGGATGGAATAAGGAAGCAACTTGTCCAGTAGCCACCTTCGCCTAATTAGTTGTCTTGCACTTGACCAACTAGAGCAAGTCATTCACTGGAGGTGGGGTAAAAGAGTGAGTGCAGGGCCCCTCCTGGTGTGTGGGGAATGCCTGGCCAGCCCCTCTCCCATGGTGGTCACTGTGCGTGTGATTCCCAGCCCTCTCTTTACATGCTTCCAATTCTTTTTGCCCCCATTCCCTGGAGGACATGGTTTAGGTTTTTATCACCTAATTGTTTTGGTCTTTGTAGCCTAAAATTAGGTGTAAAATTTATTAGCTAAAGAATTGTAAAAATCTAAAAGGGGAGCCATTGGGGATTATTTTTTAAATAAAGCTGGTACAGTCTTGAGCTGTAACTAATAGAAGTAGGAAGCTAACTCCTAGAAAATCTGAGTGGGCTCTTCTGGGCCTGATTGAGGGACAGGTGAGGTCCCAGCAGAGCGTGGTGCTGGGGGTGGGGGGTGGAGACAAGTTAGAAGTTAGTCGGAAGAGAGAAATGGCTGAAGAGACGTGGCGTGTGTAGGCTGCAGGGGGGCAGATGTGGCGAGTGCTTGAAGGAAGACTCCCTGCTCTGGAGGGACCAGATCTGTGGGGGCTCTAGACAGGACCCCAGAAGCCCAGCGTCCTCCTTGATTCTTCTCTTTCCTTCACCTCTCAAACCTGGGTCTGGCCATTCTGCCTCCTGAATAGCTTGGTTCATACATTTCTCGCCATCCCTGTTGCATCCTCCCCATGCCCAGCTTCCTTCAGCTTTCTTTGGCATCACTGCAGCGGCCTCCTAATGAGTCCCCTGCAGCATCTTTGTCCGCTTCCAATCTGCTTTCCACACTGCTTCCAGAGCAATTACTTAAAAATGCAATTATGTCACTCGTCTACCTAAAACCTTCAGAGACTCTCCACTTTTCTTGGGATCAAAATTGTTAACATCAAAAACGGCGTCCTAGACCCCTGCATGGTCTGGCAACCCTCTCCTTCGGCTCTGGTCACACTGTCCTTGCCTTGCTTCGGCCACACTGCCCTTCTTTCAGTTCCTAGAATGAGCCAGCTGTTTTATTTCAGAGCCTTTGCACGTGCTGGTCCCTCTGAATGAATAGTCCTGCTTGTTTATTTCACGGCTCGCCTCCCCACCAGGGCATAGGTTAACCCCTGTTCATCTGCCGCATCCAGGCCTTCCTTAGGACCTTGACTTGGCCACTACTTAGGTTACATGTGATCATGTGACAGGTCATACTTTATGTTTATCACCAGTAATTTCAGAATGAGCACTCAGCATTGCCCCACATAAAACTATTGCAGCTTCTCTTCTCCCCTCCCTGACTGATGACCTTGCCTTGTAAGTCACTGAAAAAAGAGAAACAGTGGAACTCAAGCTGCTTGACTTTTTCTCACCAGTGCTGCCAGCTTATTTGCCTCTATACCTACAAACTCTGACTTTCCTCCTTTTGTGATGGAAGAAATATCCCAGCTCCTGTCCAGACCAACTCGCCCCTTGGGATTTAGTTCCTGTCCTCTCCTGACGTCCTCTCTTTTCTGCATCATTAGTGTTTTTCTTGTCACTGAATCATTTTATTAGCATCAGACATGCGTTAATATCGAGCATTTGGGAAATGTTCGCCCTTCCCCCGCCCCCTGTCACTCTGGCTACTGCCCCATTTCGTTATTCCCCTTAAAGGCAAGATTTCTTGGAAGATTGTCTATATTCGCTGTATCCACTTTGTTTCCTCCCATTCTCTCTCTATCCCATTCAAGTGCTTTCGTACCCTCCACTCCACTTGTAAAGGTCAGTGATAATTTCCAAGCTGTGAAAGCCAGTGGCCAGCGCCAGCCTTGCAGCATCCGCTGGCTGCTCTCTGGCCTTCTGTTCACTACCCTCTGCCCTGTTTCCCTTCCGTCTCCCTGGCCTCTCCGTCTTGGTCTCCTTCGCTGGCTCCTCTTCCTTTGCTACATGTTGAATGTGGGTGTGTCCCAGAGCTGTGTTCTCAGCCCTTTTCTCTATATCTTCGTTCTCCTCTGGCTTTAGAGTGTACCCTGTGACTTCCAAGTTTATACCCACATTGTACAGTCGGCTGTCTGCTTGACATCTCCACCTGGATGTCTAACAGACGCTTCACCATTAATCCGTCCAAAACCCAACTAGCTGTTCTAATCTCTGCTATTCTTTCACACTCCTCTCTGCCTAGTTGGTACAGCTGAATGTTAAGTTTCCACAATCTGCATATCCCTCAGCAAGTCCTGCTGATGCCACCTCCAAAAGGGATCCCTAATTCAAGCGCTTCACAGCTCTACTGCTACCCTCGTAGTCCACGTTGCCCCCATCTCTTGCCTGGACTCCAGCAGCACAGCCTCCTCTACAGCCCATTCTCCACTAGCAGCCAGAGAGAGCACTGTAAAACTTAGATCAGGTCATGGCTCTTCCCTGCTTAAAGCCCTCCAGTGGGCTTCCATCGCCCTTACAGTAAGACCAGTGCTTCTTGACCTGGCCTCTGCCAATTTCTCTGTCCTTATCACCTCCACCTCTTGTTTGCTGAGCTCCAGCCGCACTGACCTCCTGTGTGTTCTTCAAAGCTTCAAGCTTGTCCTCACTTCAGGGCTTTTCCAGTAGCGTTCCCTCTGCGTGGAATGCTCTTTTCCTAGATGTGTATGTGATGGGTGGTGGCTCAGCCAGACAGCAGCTCTGTGGAGAGGCCTCTCCTGCCCACTGTGACTGGAACCCTGCTTCTGCACGTCGTCTCAGGACTCTCCCCCAACCCCTCCAGTTCATAGTACTTATCATTGCCGTACGTTGTCTTATTTAGTCACCAGGATATGTATGGATGTCTGTCTGTCTGTCTTCTCCTTAAGGAAATGTTAAGTTCTGTGATTCTTTTTCACCATCCATTTCCACTGCCTTACATGACAAATGGAAGGTGCTCAATAAATATTTGAATGAATGTGCAGACAATTGAAAACATGACAGCAGAACGTAAGTTTAGAAAACTGGAAAGAGTGGAGTGCTTCTTTGGGGTCAGAAAGGTCTGGATTCTAGTCTTTGCTCTGCCACTTTACTGGAGGATCTTGAATCTTTACGAGCCCATTCCTTCATCTGTAAAATGAGGTTAATATTAGTCCTCATCCCATAGTCTTACTGTGAGGACTAAATGTATTTAGTGTATTTGAAGGATCTGACACAGCGTAAGTGCTTCGTAAACGTCACTTCCTTTCCCTTTACACCTTCTGTATGGCAGAGATGCTCAGGAAGGTATATAAACAACGTTTGGGCCTCTGACGGACCCTTGGACTGAACCATTAGAGAGGTCCTGATTACCACGACAGCTTAATGAATCTGCGGTTCAGATTTCTAGCAAAGTAACACTTGAAGTGTTTTATTTAACAGCACCACCACTTTAGTGTATTATAATGGCCTCTTTCACCACCTTTTACTACCCATTTGTAAAGTCTTTTTCCAGGGTTTTATTGTGTGTTGTTTGGTAGTGAGTAATGGTCCTCCTATGGCTAGCTAAATAGCAATTGTCATTATTTTTAATCTATATTAAGGGAAGGAGAGGAAAGGAAAATTTAGTTCAACACGCTTGAAATACCAGAAATATTTTTAAAGTCTGGGTTTACTAAATTTTAAGGTGGTTTGTGTAGTCTAGATGATTCTGTGTTAGAAGTGAAAAATGTCCCACACATTTTAATTTTGTGTTTTACTTTTTACCCTGCTTCAGTGTGCTGTAGCTGTTTAATTTGAGTTGAGTTGAGTGCCCAGAGCTGGATGATCAGAATCCAGATAGGAGTGAGGTCTTCTTCCCCTGCCCTAGAGGGCTCAGTGGGGAGAATGAGACGAGTTCATGTCACTCGTAGTGGCAGCAGAGACACAGAGGAAGGGAAGGTCAGGGTGAGTTAAGGGAGTCAGAGAGTCCAGTCTCACAAGATTTTTGGAAATAAGGCAGCAGGAGAAACTGCAGAGAGAAGAAAAGCTCTAACCCTGATGAGGGCCTGTTCTGTCTCCTTGTCTCCCATCCTGACCTGCCTCTTCTTTTTCCTGGAAGAGAGCAACAGCGTTCTTGATGGCCTCTCCCTTCGTCCTTGTCCCCCTCCAGTCCCTTTTAAAAATAATTTTCTGTCTCAATTTCCTAACTTCCTCTTCTTTTTTTATGACTCTCTTTTTCTCCTTTATTTTTTAGGTGATTGAAATATACTTATTTTAAAATCTTTTTCAGATTGCTTCATTACTTTTATTTTCTTGAGTGTGGACTCTGATTTGCTGGGTCATTGTCTGTCTTTCAGAAAGGTGGATGTGTGTGCAAGTCTGGTCTGCCTGTGTTCACAGCCCTGCGCAGCCCTACCCCTCCTCCCCGCGTGGTGCGTTGAGGTCGCCTCAACTTGGCTCTTTAGGTCTTAGTTCGGGGCTCATGAAATTTGTGTGATTGCTCTTCCCTTGGAAGTTAAATGTCTGGCCACCTGCTTTCTGCAGATGCCCCCCTTCCCATGGTTGTGGGTCGGTCTCCTCCTCTGTTTCTGACCTTTGGATAAATTTATCTTGACTTTGAGTCCTGTAGTGCACCTTCAAACATTTTTTAATGTATGTTCTGCTGTCCTTGACATGTGTTTAGAGCAGCGTGGGAGGCGCTCCCATGTGTACTCACCCCACACTCTTGACAGACAGGCCCCTGTTCCTTCTTTACACACCAGCCTGAGTCACCTGTCTAAGCATGTATGTGGCTGTGCCACTTGGGTGCACAGAGCCTCACAGTTGGCTCTCCTTTCCTTAACATGGCTGAGTTATCCCCTGCCAAACATTCCAGCCTCACCTCCTTATTCTCCAGGGTGTCTTCACTCTGTTCGTATTGTTTTCCATGCCTAGAATGTTCTGTTTCCCTTTCTCCCGGCTAGACTCTCATTGACTCTAGAATCCTTTTCTGGCATTCTTCCTGCCACCCCCAGTCCGGGCACCCTGGGGTTGGTGCCCTGTAACCCTCCCAAACTTCTGCTATGCCTGCGTTTCACTTTGTACCCTGGGCAGAAGCGATCTGTTTTCGTATCTGTCTCCAGCACCACCAGTCTAAGTCCTTGCAGGCAGTTTTGCATCTCCATGCCCGTTACAGTGCCTGGCACAAGAAACACACACACAGGGGATTTCTTCTTGAACTACTTCATAGTCTTTTACATGCTGGCTTAGTTTGAGTTCCTGAGAAAGCAGAGCCTGAGATAAGGACTTGGGCCCAAGTGGTTTATTTGGGATGTGACTTCAAGGAGCAAGAAGGAGGAATCAGGAAGAGTAAGATAGGAATAGAGTCAAAGCCACTAAGGGTACCTTATTGCTCTGGGTCCTGCGGAGGACTGCTGAGGCTCAGTCCTGCTGGGCGCCCTCCGAGGGAGGGATGGTATAGTCTGTGCCTTAGTGTTGTCCCTCCAGAGGATGAGAGACTGTGGCATTTACCCAACAGCTCTCTTCCCCCACTGCTTGACATAATAACTGGTCCCTGTGATATCAACTGGTCTACACTTGCCCACTGCCCTGCTGGCTGGCTCAGAGAGCTCTGGAAAAAGCCCCAGGGCAGAGAGATGCAGGGAGTACTTGAGTTGAGACTGTCTGTCTACAGGAGCTGTCCACACAGCTGTAGCTGGAATCTGAGGGAGGCCAAGGGCATGTGGCAAGGGCATGAAAAGCATCTGCTACCCATACACTCTCTCCTTTACTCCTTGTAGCTGTCCGGTGGAAAAAGAATTGCAGAGTTAGGATTTGAAGCCATTTTGGTCTGACTTCAAAGCCCCTGCTCTTTGTGTTAAGAGCAGTTTCGAGCATCCCTGCATTCAGCACCTGTTTCCTGAGCACCGATTGTGCACCATGATGGACCGGCTCAATGATGCATCCACTGAATTGGCCAGATTCATCCAAAGCCACACTTGCCCCCCAGCTGTAGGAATGGGGCCAGTGGCGGGTGGACCTTGCAATTGTCATGAATACTTTATGACCCTGTTTGCTCCCTTCTAGGCCCGACCTCTATCCATATAGCCATGTGGCTCCCTCACTTACTGTGTATTTGTGTCAAGCCAATTCTTCTCTTCTTATCCATGAGATAGGCACGGTAGGAGCTACTTTGTGTGGTTGTCGTGAAGTGACATGGGATAAAATAAAATACTTGATGTGGCTCCTGGCACGTGGCAGGTCCTTGCTATGTTTCGTTTAAGCAGAATCTAGACCAGTTGGTGGGGAAAACTTGCGAAACTGGGTAAGGGACAAGGCCATAGCAGAAAGCTGAGTTCTCCCGCTTCCTTCCCTTTCGGAAAAACAGGCCAGACCTTCAGAAAATGCTACGTGAACTCCTTCTGGAACGCGTAAGCCTGACAGCGCAGGAAGTTTCTGGAGAACACCTTGATGGTAAAACTGAGAAGACACTTAAGCAAATGGCTGTTCAGCTAAGAGGTGAACTCAAACATTTCATCCAAGCCAACTCATTTTCCCAGCCACATGATGAACTGAAGTCGCCTTGGGGAGCCCAGCTGGGAAAGGCGGGTGTAGCGCCCAAGGTGGAGCTCAGAGATGCCTCAATGCAGACCGCGGCCATGGAGGGCGACGTGCTCAGATTCAAACACGAAGGCAAGAGAGAGGCTTGGGAAGAGAAGCCCACAGATGCCTTATTCAGTGCTGAGCATCAGCCAGAGCACTTGTGCAGGATGCCAGGGCGGCAGGCCACTCGCCTTTCCTTCCCCAGTGGGACCCACAAAGTAAGTTTTTCCATATATTTTTTATTTACTTATTTTATACAAATAGAAAACTTAAAAAATCACCTCTGATCCCACTCCTTTTTTTGATTTTCTGCCTAGAGGTGTGTGTCTGTCCTAACCTTCCCCAAAGTATTACTAACATTCCCCCCGCCCCGATCCCAGCTCTGTCGTATTGATCTATATGAAAAACATGTATGTGTTTTCCTTATAAAAATGGAGTCGTGTTTTACCTCTGTCTCTGGCTTTCTCTTTCATGTTGTGTGTCAGGAACATCTTTCCTTGTAATGGCTGTGTAAGATTCCACTGTAGGGAATGTGCCAAAATTTATATACTTTTCACCTATTGATGGACATTTACTTTTGCAAGTTGTAGTAAAATTGTAGTAAGCTGACTTTAGGGGGAGGGTGAGAACCTAGATTCTATTCTGTGCGGACTTTGTGTCTGAGACTACCATTCTGTGGGCTTTGTCCACCCTCTCTTACTTAAGCCTTACACACCCGTTAGAGGGCAGGAAGCTGGATCCCGAGTGCCTGTGGTTAGCCAGCAGTTAAGGGGCTGCGCTGGGACCCTCGCTGTGCCTGACTGCACAGCCGTGCCCTTTCCCTGGCTCAAGTTCCCCTCCAGCCCGAGCTAGCCCCAAGTGGTGGGTCCAGTTTTGGTAACTGGATGTCTGCATTTTGCCTCAGTCAAGATACTGTCTTTAAGCTTCTCCTCAGATACCATCAAATATGCCAGATGATTAAAAGCCAGACTCTCTTGGCAATATCTGATTGGATCCTTGACTAAAATCCTCCTAGGAGGAGGGGTTGGCATTGAGGATCCCCATAGCAGGGAGATGTGAGCGTTCTGGTAGAGAAGGAAATAGGTCATGTTTCAAAGAGATCTCCAGTGATGGCTATTGGTGTTCTTGTTTCTCATGGGTGTTTTGTATCTGAGAAATCAACTGTATACATTGCTTCATAGCACCAGAATGGAGAATTAAGTTTATTTTCTGACCACTAAATTACTGCTTTTGTGCATACCAAAGAGAGTTAGATATATCATTAGCAAAATTGCTTTTGATTGTTTTAAATTCCGCACCAAAACTGTAATTTCTAGAAAAGGGTTTTCTAAAGATACCAGTAGAGACCAAAAAAAAAAAAAGACATTGCTATTATATTAACAGTACTCAAGATGCAAATGTCTGCAATTTGGCTAGAATAGGAATGCTCTCATCAGCCCCAGCTCCTTTAATTTGTACCTGTATATCAGGAAAACTAGATGGTTTTCCCTCCTATTTGTGTGGGAGGTATCATCGTATGTTCAGGAAAATTGTATAATCGAATGAACTTAATTCCCCCAAATATACTGAGAATTTTTTTTTTAGTTTGGAATTATCCTTCTTGCTTGTGTCTTCAAAAGGAAGGCAACTGTGGTTATTTTTTAACATCTGCTATATTTGCCAGGATTCGCTAGATATTCTATACATATATATCAATTTAAACATCTCAACAAGCATGTGAATTGAGTCGGTATTACCTACATTTTACATATGAAGAAGTATAGGCTCTGAAAGGCTCAGAAAATTGTCCAGAGTGACTCAGCTGTTAGGAGGAGTCGTAGAAATAGGAGCTGAAGTCTGGTTTTAGCGGCAGACAGGAATATTATAAACCTGCCTTTCTCAGGAAGGGAAGAGCCCTGTATCACCATGGTGGCCTCCAGTCTATGCAAAGTAGAAGACAATTTAATGCTTTTCTTTGCAGTCTTTGGTTAGTCAAGGAATCAGTAGTTCTAGGGTAAACCAGAACTCTGGTATCCTGTTAAAAAGAACATCATTGCAGCCCAAGGGAGAGACCAGGAGACCAGATATACTTCCAGTTTAGTTATAGAGGCAAGAGGATGGACTTTACAGATACACCTGTGATTGCATCGGGCCTGGTTTGAGTCCTTGGGTAGGTGCCCTGACCTTTCTCAGTGGCTCGAATGAGATCAGGGTGACCTAGAGCATGAGGCTGGCCTGATGGCTAAGCGAGGTGATGTGTGGCAAGTGCCTCGTGCTTTGTACGTGGTAGGAGCGCATGTATGTTGCATTCCTGTCTGCCTTCCATTCCCAGGGGAGAAGTTCCATCATGACATCTTTAATAAGGTGGGAGGTGGGACTCTGTTCAGTGTCCATAAGGTAGCATTTTGGGTGGTGTTATTTTAGAACCGGCATTAGGTTGACTGACAGCAGTCTTCCAGCCTGAAATTGCCTTTGGCATTTGTGCTCTTGCACATATCTTTTCTGCTGCCATATGACACACAGATTTGGATCCAAGAATAAAGATTGGTGGAGACTGAGGCCCAAGCAAATGACTGTTATTTTCCAGTCCTCTTGAGGAGGCAGCCATCTCCTCCCAGCTGGTCCCCTTTACCACCTCAGACTCTTCTTGTCCTTGAACCTGTTTGCTCCTCGTCCCTGGAGTGTCAGGGCAGAAAGTGTCTCACTTTTCTTAACTGAGCAGTAGATTCTGAAGAGCTGCTTTGAGGTCCAGCTCTCTAACCTTCTTGTTGTCTGACTTTGGACTGCTTGTTTGACATCTCAGTTCTTTGTCTGGAAAATAGGCGTGAAAACTTCTATTACCCTGTGAGCTCTGGGAATGCAGTTTACCTGAGGATTATGGGAGAATGTGCTTGAAAGCATTTTATATCCTAGAATGTGCAAGAAACGGTCTTTCCTCTTTCCTTCTTGAGTGACTTGCTGATTTCCTCATTCCCAGGGGCCCAAATATTTCTTGTTTTCTTCTCGGGTTCCTTCTCCTCCACTTTAAAAGAATAAAAAAAACAAAAACAAAACAGGCTTTATTGAGATATAATTCACGTATCATACAATTCATCCATTTAAAGTGTACAATGCAGTAGTTTTTCAAAGTGTATTCATAGAGTTGTGTAACCATTGCCATAATCAATTTTAGAACACGTTCATTGTCTCAAAAGAAACCCTGAACCCATTAGCAGTCGCTTCTCATTTCCCCCCCACCTGCCCACCCCTAGTCATAGGCAACTGTCAATCTACTTTCCATCTTCATATGTTTGCCTACTCTGTAGACTGGGAGATAAACATAGATGCCATTAGAGGAACCAGGAGTCTGGACAGCCGAGTTGAATCCTGTTTTATAAGGTTGGCGTAATAATGTTGACTGTGCAACCAAAGAAAGTGTATTCACTGTTGTGTACGGGTGTGTTTTCAGGATGCTCAGAAGTCTCGCCTGCCCGTCCTGCTCAGACCATCCCGGTCACTAGGAAGTTTATATAGGCTCCCTGCCACCCAGGCGGGGGTAGCCCAGCTGCAAGGCCAGATCTTGGAGCTGCAGGGGGAGCTGAAGGAGTTTAAAATTCGCAATAAGCAACTTCACAAAAAGTTAATTCTGGCTGAAGCGATGATGGAGGGGAGGCCAACGCCAGACAAAACGCCAGTGAAAGGTAAGCACCAAGAAAAATGTATTCTCCGCGCGCTAGATGAACGACCCGATAGAACTGCTTGAAATGTCAACCTTGTTGTTTAGAATTGCAATAAGTTTGAGTATAAATTTTGTGAATTGCAGTGATTAATCTTGACTCTTGACAAATACACAATCGAGGGAACACAATAAGGAAAATGAATCTATTGTTTTCATTTTATTCCGCAGTCTGGATAAAGGGGACTTGCACTGCTCACAGATCTTGCGAGGTCACTGCTCCCTTCACTTGGGATTGTCTGTGGGTACTCCACTTGTGGGATGACTTGAATCTAGGGTTTTTTTCTGGCTTCGTCAGTGGAAGCCTCAGGCATGTGGCATCGGGTAAGTGAGAGTCCTCTTTGCAGGGGTCTCTGGAATGTCCAGGCTACATTATTTTGGGTTCCTCAAGGTTAATTCCAAACCCTACTGATCTCATGTCGTCCTCTAGAAGTGACCTGCCTCTCTACCTACTTTGTTTTTTTGTGAGGAAGATTCACCCTGAGCTAACTTCTGTGCCAGTCTTCCTTTATTTTATATGTGGGACGCCACCATAGCATGGCTTGATGAGTAGTGTGTAGGTCTGTGCCTGGGATCTGAAGCCACGAACCCTGGGCCATTGAAGTGGAGAATGTGAACTTAACTACTATGCCACTGGGCGGGCCCCTCCTACCTACTTTGAATTCACTGTCTCTGCTCTCCTGGGAGCTCCCAAAATAGATAGCCCCTGGGTCAAAATGTGTCCAGATTAGACTCCTAAACTTGGAGGGAGCACCTCAGGGGGTGCCCTCTAGTCTGGGACAGTGGTGCTTAGAGATTTTGGACCACTGCCCCTTTGAAAATCTGAAGAAAGCTGGGGGCCCTCTCACAGAACGATGCAGGTACGCACATCTGTGGTGTTGTACATCATGTTGAGGGTTCGTGAATCCACAAAAGTATGTCTGTAGACCCCTGATTTTGAACTTCTGCAAACGATAGCAACACACAATAACAAGAAGAGCAACAGTAATTTTTTTATTTATCTATTCAAAAAGTATTTATTAAATTCTCCTGTGTGCCAAGCACTTATATGTGAGAAATAAGTGCTGTGGAGAAAAATAAGCATGGTGGAGGGCTCGGTGATATGGAATGGGGGTAGCGTTTGCTAACGTACGTGGAGTCTCTTAGCGCCTCCCTGGTGAGGCGACATCTGAACAGAAACTGGAAGGAGATGAGTGGCCCAGTCATCGCAGGAAGTGCGTTCCTGGCAGAGGCCCTGATGTTGCTTTGAACATGTAGGAGGGAGGCCAATTCCGTGGCTGGAGTGGAGCGAGAAAGAGGTCAGGGAGGTCACACTTCAGGTGACCCTCATGGGTCATTCCAGGGCTTTGTCGTTTATTCTAGGTCAGACTGGAAACTGTTGGAGGGTTTTGAGCAGCAGAGTGATGTGATCGACTTCAGCTTTAAAGCAGAGACTGGCAAACCGTGGCCTGTGGGCCAGGCTCGCTGCCTGCTCATGCAAGGGTTTATTGGAAGACAGCCACAGTCATTCATTTGCATATTGCCTCTCACTGCTTTTGCCCTTGATGGCGCAGTTGAGTAGTTGTGATAGAGATCCCATGGCCGGCAAAATATTTATCATTTGGCTTTTTAAGAAAAGTAGGCCAACCTCTGCTTTAAAGGATCTCTTTTAATGTGAACCACTGGAAGGATGGAGTTGTCATCCACGGAGGTGGGAGACTGCTGGAGAGGCAGGCGTAGGTGGAGCTTTAGGTGTCTGGTTTTGGACTTACTGGAGATGCCTGTTGTCTGTCCCAGTGGAGATGTCGACTAGGCGGTTGGAGATCGATGAGTCTGGAGTCCAGGGGAGAGGTCTGGGCTAGAGTTATAAATTTAGGTAGTATCAACATATCCCGGTATTTGAAGCTATGAGAGTTGGAGACGTAGGGAGTAGGTCCAGGAACCGAGACTGGGGCTGTGGTAAGTAGAGGTTGGACCGAGAAGGAGCAGCCAGTAAGGCAGGAGGGGAGCCAAGAAAGGATGACATCCAAAAGCTGGTAAAGGACAGATTAGCCGTGTCAAGTGTTGCTAATAAGGCTAGTAAAACAAGGACTGAGGATTGGTCTTGGGATTTAGCAATGCGAGAGTCATTGGTGACCTTGAAGGAACCCGTTTCTGTGGCGTGAGTGGGGCCTGATGGCCTGGGTTCCAGAGAGAGAACAGGGGAGAGGTATGGGAGACGGCAATTATAGGCAGTGCTGAGGAATTTTATCACAAAGAGGGGTGGAGAAGCAGGGCAGTTAGGAGCCACTTTGTCAGCAAATCTCAAGAGCTTCGATGAATCGGGACCATGAGTGACTGCAGTGAGGTGGCGGAGTTCGTGGTATAGTCTGACAGTATGAGCCGCAAAGCTGGAGTTTTTAGGGACGAGAGAGGACGATCCGGAAGTGTCGGTAAAGAGCAAAGGCATGTACACATTTCCAGGTTCATGATACAGAGGATGTGGGAAAGTACCGTCTGCCACTGGAGAGGCTGCAGGAGAAGTGTCGGGGGACAGCCAGGGGGGTTCCCTTAGAACAAGGGCATGGGATGAAGGTTCGGGGAGGAGATTGAGGTTATTTGGGGTTTTGCTAATAAAGGGGTTGCATACTGGGGTGGGAAGACTGCATCCGATTCGGGGATTTTCGGAGTGGTTCAGGGATGGGAGGTGACTGGGAGCTTGGACTTCCTGAGGTACTAATGAAACAAGCACCATTCATCCAGCCCCGCCGTCCGCTTTAAATACCTGATCTGATTGAATCCACTTCACAGTTCTTTGAGGCAGGAACAGTAATTATTCCCATTTTATCATGGAGGCAGCACTTTCGGAGATTAAGTAACTTGGCTACGGCCACACCATTACTAACTTCCTGTGCTAGATTTGAACTAGCCTGTCTGATTTCAAAGTCTGCACCCTTTACCGCTTCATAAAGCCTGGTATATGATACTTTGCATATGGTTTTTATGATCTGTAGCTAGAGGTGTCTTCCATTTAATTTTAGGCTCTCTCTTGAGTTTGCCATAGTTGAGGTTTCAAGATAAGTCTGCCTTTGGCAAGACTGCTCTTCCCTCCCTCCCTCCTTTCCCACCTTCTGATCCATCCATCTCCCCATCCAGGCATCTATTCCCCGAGCACCTGCTCTGTTCCCAGCTCATGCACTGGGTGTAGGGGAGAGAGAGAGAGAGAGGAATGAGATACAGTCTCTGCCTTCTGAGGACTCCCTGTCTAGTGGGGCCGGGGCAGATAATTAAACAAATCAGTGTGGGGTGGGACCTGGGTGCTTCAGAGAGGAAGGATTTTATGGCAAAGGTGACTCAGCCCAACAGAGGCCCTGGCACTTGACCCAGGGCTTGCCATTTGCACTTAACGGTGTTGTCATTTCTTGCTGAGACCCTGGGGTGCCTCAGCCAGGTGCTGCTTCCCAGTGACCCAGAAGACCCCGGGGCCTCTCTCTTCTTGGGAAAAGTGGGCTTGAGTCTATAGAATTCATTTCCTCACTCCTAGTTTTTTGAGAGCCTGGGCTTAAACCATTTCAGACAAGCTGCAGTATATTTATGCTTTTTATGTCCTGTTATGGCAGCTCGATAGATTAATTTTATCTTATAAATTGCATTTTGCCTCCCCAGTGTTTTTATTTTCCCTCTTGTATCTTTGTGTTCTCCTCAGTTGCTTGGCTAAGTTTCAAGTCACTGGTTCTGTTTATTTTTCTTTCTCTTTGTGGATGCCTATAGCCCAGCCCCTTGTGGAAGCAGCCTACCAGGACAGCCTGGGAGAGCAAAAAGGGACTGAAACCCTGCCCTGTGTTTGGAGAGACAAGGAAAGGGACAATGGTCAGCACACCAGCCACAAGACTGGTCAGAATTCAACCTGTATATATATTGAACAGCTGTTGTGTGCCAGGCACCATTTGGAGTGTTTTAGATAAAAATTGTTACAAAGTCCTGCAATCGCCATCTTAGGGCATTATCATTATTCTCATCTTACACATGAGGAAGCTGAGGTTTTTAAAAAGAATTGATCCAGAGTCACCCCGCTGGTAAGCAGGTAGACGCATGAAGGTATGGTAGGATGTCTGTCTGAGCTGACCAGTACGTTTGTCAGACTCTTTTCTACCAGGCAGCGGGCTGGGGTCCGGTGGTTTAGCCTAAAAGGATGCAATGCCTACTCCCAGGGATCTCCCACTCGGCCCAGCAGGCACCCAGTGTTCTGTGTGCTGCTGGCCGTTGTTAGGTGTGTACAGGTGGGTCAGAGGCGAGCCTGAGCTGACACCTGATTTGTGGGGTTTGTCAGGTAGGTCAGAGATGTGAGCGAGGCCCCAGGCAAGTTGTATGTTTTTCTTCTTAAAATTATGAAGTAGTATAAGCATACGGATAAGCACAAAGGACAGCCTAACAATATTCATGTTCCCATTCACCCAGAATGAGCAAATGCTTACATTTTGTTTTTTTAACCTTAGATCTTTTTTCCCCTTCATTAAAAAACAAAAAATCACCATTACTCTGGATTTAATTCACTATGTAAGAAATAATTGTCTTCAGGAATCCTGAGTTTGTCCTGGGGTGGCCAGGAGAATACCAGTCTGCGGAAATACTGGGTTTTGGGCCCTGTTTCCCGGTGGTACATGCTTTCCCAAGGCCTCCAGTCAGTGCATTGAATCCATGGTCACATGCTTCTGAGTGTTCTGGGCTATGAGGAGAAAGCCACTCTCCTAGGTAATGAAGTACCCCTTAGCTGAATTGTAGAAAGTTCCAGAATTTCCTGTCATGCAAAAAATTGGGCCTGGGGACATCTTTTGATTTCTTGTTCGTAGTTAGGTGATTACTGAAGGCTTCTGGACTGATGGGCAGTTTCCCTTTCCCTCTCAGATCCCCATCATTAGTGAACTTCTTTTCCTTTTTCTTAACGTGCCTCTGGAACTTTGCACATGCTGTTGCCTCTGCCTGAATTTCCTCCCTTTAATTATTACCTAGCTGATGCCTCATCCTTTAGGTCTCTGCTTAAATGTCACTGTCCAGGGAAGGCCTTCCTGAGTCCCCCAGTTATTTAAACAGTCCCATTAGCCCCCCATGTTTTGGTCTTGTATTGACTTGCTCTGTGACTCCCCTCTGTAAGGCTGGGGACAGGGTGTGCCACCTTCACTGCTGTTTCTTCTTCAATAGCCCCCCGATAGTTACTTGAGAGGTGAATGAAGGGGATTCCACAGGCATTATTGGCCGTCACACTGATGGTTGAGGAACACACCGCCTTGCTCATGCACCCCTAGTACGGGAGAACCCGGTGGCAGGAGGGCTCCATGAGGAGCAGCATTCCGTGTTGGAGATGGTTGCCAGGCTTTGACAGCGGGCTCTGCGGCTTACTCACCCTGACCCTTGGGCAAGTTCTTCTCTCTTTACGCCTCAATTTCCTCTTCTGTGAAATGGGGAGTACCCGTGAGGCCTCACAGGTTGTTGTGTAGATTAAATGGGTAGCATAGGTGAGAGGCTTGGTGCCTGCGCCAGGGCCCGGCACATGGCTGTATGTCCTGAGGCCTTGCTGATAAACCTGCAAGTTCACACCATACACTGCAGCTTATAATCCTCCCTCTCCCACGCCCTCCATGTGGTGAGTTTTAAATGAGGGCTCCTGAGCAGAGAATAGCAAAGCCACAATGGCCATGCTGTTGCTGGACTATGAGACTTGCTGTCCACGGGTGTTGAAGCCTAGAAATCAATTGTCCCCTCTGCTAAATCACAAATTATGGTAGATTGGGGGTACTTCTGAAGTCAAAATTATGAGTGTCAAGTGTCTGTTGTTTGTTGCATTGTAAGGAGCAAAGTTTGAAATGGAGGTCTAAGTGTGAATATGAGAATGCACACCATTCTGAGGTGTATAAACGCGTGTGTGTTTTTGTAGCAAACTTCAGAGCTGGCCACAGTCTGTGTCACAGTAGCACATTTGAATGGGTCTTACATTTCTCTGCTTCATGATTACTTAACAAAAGTCATTAGAACTGATCTTTATTCCCTTGAGTGAACATTGCTTCTTGCCATGAAATTCTATTATCATGAGGTTGTTAACAGCAAAGATATTTCCTTGTCTTGGAGGGTGAATCACTGGAAAAAAAGCCTCGTTGAGATCTCTCCTCTGTCTCTCTGTCTCTTTTACTCATTTAACTGGCAGTACTTACTGAGTACCTTCTCTGCCCCAGGCCCTGTGCCAGACACCAGAGAAACTGAGATAAATGACACGGTCTCCACCCTAAAGGACCTCAGAGACTAGCGATTATAACAAATTCTGTACAGTAAAAATGCTGTTTTAGGAATGCTTCCTTTAGGTCATGTAGCAGCTGCTTTCTGAAATAAAAAGGTTTATTTTATGGCATTTGCATCGTGAGCAGAGAGACAAGAATGGGCTTAAAGCCACGAGGAGCAGTTGCGGAACAGAAATTGCAATATACAGTCTGACAAGGATTTTCATGTGCTCCTCTTCCTGAGAGATTGCCTCATCCAGCCCACACTGCGGCCTGGGCAGCTTGTCCCCAGACACAGCCTCTGCTCGCAGGCCTCCAGTGGTAGGCATCCTCTTCCATCTTGGAACAGTTTTAGGAAAGCAAAGGGTGTTAATATTAGTTGGGTTCCTTCACAACTATGTGCCAGACACCGTCTTAGCTTTTCTGCAGATATTGTCCCCTTTGATCCTAAAAACAAAACACAGGCACAACTGTTCGTAGGGAATGATGTTTTCTCCATTTTGCAGGTGAAGGCTACTGAGGCTCAGAGAGGTTAGGTAACTTGCCTAAGGTCATGCAGCTAGGCAGTGGCAGAGCCAGAGTTTGCAACCAGGTCTGTTGGATTTCAAAGATGCGTTTTCCCACTACATTCTGCTGCCTCTTAAGTATTCCAGGAACTTCTTATATCCAGCCGAGCTTTCCCCGGACCGCAGGCAGAGGAGTCTGTGGTTGAGGACAGAAGCTCTGGACTCAGGCCTGAGCTTGGAGCCTCACAACAAGCATATTAGACATCTTTCTGGGGAAACTGAGGCTCTGGGACAGTAAGGCACTTGCCTCAGCCTGTGCAGCCAGCAAGTGGCAAAGCTGGGTGTGATCCTTCTTCTCTTCGGCTCCACAGCTGTATATTCTGCAGCGCCACTCCACCTCTCAAACAAATTTGGCCCCAAATCTGGGGATTTAAACTCGCTGTAAGGAAATGTTTCCTGGCAGGGTTGTGAGTCAGTGAAACAGCTCACCATGGGGGGACATCATGGCGTCTCCTGGAGACTGGTAGACACAGAAATGGGAAGACTCATCTGTCGTGGATTTTCAATTACTGGTCCTTAATGTTACTACCCTCCTTCCCAGTATTTATCAGACCTTCACGGACTTCTGGGCTGGGCTGGGTGCTGTGCTAGGCACTGAGAATGTGAAGATAAATGGCCAGTCCCTGCTGTGAAGCAGCTGGCAGTCCAGTGAGGGAGAGAGGAATCCAAATCACTAATCGCTGTGTAAATAAATAAGTGAAGTGTCATTCCTGCGTTAGCACCAGCGCATGCTCTGTTTGTCGCGGGGGATATGTATAAGGTGCTGTGGCAGCACAGAGAGGAGTGATTGTTTGCATAGTCTGAAAATGGGCTCTCAGAAGAAGGAGAATTAGATCTGGGTGTTGAAGGATGAATAGGAGTTTCTTGAGTAGGAGTAAGGTACAGGGCTGAGCATATTCCAGGAGGAGAGAACACGTGCAAAAGCATGGAGGCAGAGACAACCCGGTGTGTACAGGGAATTATGGTCAACTTAGTGGGGAATCTCCAGAGGTGGTGCCTGGGCATGTTCCTGAAAAGGTTGCCTGGAACTAGACTATGGAGGGTCTCATGCTGTGAGAGGGAGCTTGGATTTAATCCTCAGGCTATTGATGCATTTTAGGTGGGGGCTGGTGGTTATCACAGTTAAACTCACTTTTGAGAACAGTCACTCTGAGAAAGAGGATAGATTGAGAGGTAAGAGGGAAAGAGTAGAGTCCGAGGGGCTTGTTAGGAGGCCCTTGCGGTGGTCTCTGCCTGGTGGTGGCTGTGAGGAAGGACAGAGCTGGTATTTCAGCAAAGGAGATACTGACTTAAATGTGTTTGATTTTCAGACTCTGAAATTTACCAGCCCGATGACCTTGCCATCTCACCAGCATGCAAAGAGAATCCTCCTAAGAATTTTCCACATCCAACTTCAGGAGCTACTCACTTGAGCTCTGAGTGTCAGCTTTCCACTCAAGGCAGTGTGATTGGGACCGATCAGTCTGAGAACGTCGACACCTCAAATGATACAGAAAACTTAAAACAGAAAATCTGTGACTTGGAAGCCGAGCTCGAGGGCTGCCGGAATTTCATATTTCAGCTTCAAAAACACTCCCAGTGCAGTGAGGCCATTATCACAGTTTTGTGTGGGACCGAAGGGGCCCAGGATGGCTTGAACAAGCTCAAGGGCAGTACTGACGAAGAAGAAATGACCTTTCCAAGGTTGCACCAAGTACGTTATGTGAAACACTTGCAGGTCCTCCATTCGCTGGCCCCAGAGAGGGTCGACAGCAGTGTGCTGCAGAACCTCAGGCGGCAGCTGGTGGAACAGGACTATGAGCTGCAGAAGGAGCAGAATCTGAACATGGAGCTTTTCAGTGAAACCCATCACCTGCGGAATAAGTTCAGAGATCTCTCACCCTCAAGGTACATCCCGCTCTTCCTCCTCCCACTGGTTAGGCTTGCAGGTCCCCCGCGCGGCCGCCAGGTCGGTGCCCACGAACTGAAAGAGAATGCTGCTCTGGGATGGGATGGGGTGTGTACTGGGGAACGCTTGATGGTGGGGTTGAGACAGCTAGGCCTGCAGAGAAGTGAAATGTGAGGCTATGAAGAACAGTGGCTGCGCACATTCTAGTCTCGCGTCCTCTGAAGTTGGCAGAGCAGAGTTTGCCCTCCTGACGTCGGGGACTCCAGGTAAAGGTTTTATGCCAGTCCCTTGGTGAGTTACAGTATGTTTGCTGAATGGCACTGTTTACTCTTGGACCCCATTATTGGCTTTTACTGTGCTGTGGGACTGACATTGATGTCCTAGGCAGGGTGGGAAGGATATAAATATTTTCCGTATATTTACCCTTTAAGGTCATCTTAGAGAAATAAGCCTGTGTTGAAAGAGAAGAATTCTGAGGTCATGAAGATATAGTTTATGGACATTGATATATTCTGTTTTGCTTGATGAGATATGGCAAAAATTGGATCATTTGTAAAGCTGGCCTTCATTCGTCACTAATTTGAGACAGACACCTAGTTCTGAATTGTCAGGAGCCAGAGTGAATTTTTCAAGACTTCTCCAACAGTGAAATCGAAGGACGCTTGTATTTAGTGAAAGGTGATTGTGTCACACCCCTGGTTAGGCACTTTCCTTATTTAATCCTCAACATCATCCGAGAGCGAGTTTTTTGTGGATGAGGAAATTGAGCCTCAGAGAGTTACTGTGTCTGAGAAGATTCGCAGAACTGGTCAGAGCCATTGCCAGGGTTCAGGCTCTCCTCACCCCACTCGTGTTCTTCTCATCGGGTAAACTGGCCCCCACCTTCAGTACTGGTGTCACATGATATGAATGTGTGTCCTTGGAGTTGAAGGTGGTCACCAGTCCCTCTTACTGTCATCATTTTGGGGAAGGGGAAACACGTTGAACTGAAAGGTCAGCATCTTTGCCAAGCTACTCTGGAGCCAGGTTACTGCTGCCACCATTTATAGGAGCCCCGTTTTCCCTACCTCGTGGTTTTCTCAGTGCCTGCTCGTATCTGTGGGCTCACGCGGGGAAGGACGGTGTTGGCGTTGGAGGCAGTATTGTGTAATAGAGCGTGAGAGCTGTGTTTCAGTCCGAAATCTTCACCATTTAACCAACTTTGCCATCTTTGAGGGTCAGTTCCCTCTTCTGTAAATGGGGAGGTTCATACATTTGTGGAAAGATTAGGAAGATCAGATAACTTAGAAAAAACACCAAATTCAGCGAGTGACAGGTCCTGGAGTCTCCTAAGTGTAGTGAGGATTATGATTATTCCCTGGCCCCTCGGCTGAGAGGAGAGAGTCCTGTTTTTGTTTTCCTGCCTTTACAGTTTCTTTTTGTTCTTCATGAGAATTTGTGGTGGGTCACCTGACCCTTGGGGCACTTCTTTCTATAGTTCGGAATAGTATTTTGAAGAATATATGGAAACTAATTGTTCTTCTGAGTCCTTGCCAATCTGTACTTTAACTGGGGGCTTCATAAGGTTAAAAATATTGCAGAAGAACCTTTGTTCCAGCACTTGTTGGCTGTTTTGAAATCGAAGAAGGAGTGACCTTGTACAGTTTCAATTTTTCTAAGAGTATATGTACTTGTACAGCTGCAGGCTTTGGAAGATTGTGCTCTGTCATTTTTCCAATTAGTGTTAAGGTCACAGAAATTCAATTCTAAAATGGTACAAGCATTTTCTTTTCCCCCTTTTATCAGATATGATTCGTTAGTTCAGTCCCAAGCCAGGGAGCTGTCCTTTCAACGACAGCAGATTAAGGATAGCCATGGCATCTGTGTCATTTATCGTCAACATATGAACACCATGATTAAGGCATTCGAGGAGCTGCTGCAGGCCAGCGACGTGGACTACTACGTGGCTGCGGGTTTCCAGGAGCAGCTGAATCAATGTGCTCAGTTCCTCGAGAAGTTGGAAAAACTGTTTCTTAACGGTAAGTGGGGCGAGGGACTGTGAGTCCTAAGACATGTCACTGATTGATCCAGGACTTCTGGGAGCGGCTCAGGGGGAACAGACTCCTTGGCTTTACTTACCTTATGCCCCTCTGCTCTGATGAGGTGACAGCAGAGCCACACTGGCTGCTGGTCCTTCCAGCCACTGCTTCCAAGTGGTTGGTGGTCTGCACTGTTCTAAACCAGGGGTCCAGGGGTCCAGTGTGGAAGCCTCAGGGGCTGGGCTGGTGAGGCACACAGTGAAGCCAGCCCAGAAGTGCTGCCCCTCAGCACCTGCCATGTGGTTGCTGGTTCCTCTGAATTTTCAAGAGAAGATGGAAATCTAGGGGTTTTCTTGGTAAAAACTCATGAATTTTAAATGTTGGCAACAACAAACAAAAAACCCAAAACATTTTTTAGTTAAAAAATATATTCAAGGATCAGAGGTGGTTAGGGGAAGGATGAAAGGGAATTTTTGCTGCGTGCTGGGTACTTTAATAAATGTCACTGTGTTACAAATGTTTTTTAAAGAATAATTTGCAATTTTTCAAGAGTACAACAAAGAACTCCCATATATCCTTCGTGCAGCTTTATCACTTAGTATTTTGCCACATTTACTTTATCATTCTCTATCTATACTCTCTCTCGCTCTCGCTCTCCCTCGCTCTCCCTCTCTCTCGCGCGCTCTCTCTCTCTCTCATATTATCTTTCCTAACCCTATGAGAGTGGATTGACGATATCATGTCCCTTTTGCCCTAGATACTTCAGTGTGTAGTTCCTCAGACAAGGACTGTCTTACATAACCACAGTACGAGGATCAAAATCAGGAAATAGTATTTTCTAACACATAGTCTGTAGTCAAATTTCACTAATTGATTCAACCCACTGTTTCCCTCTCTAGCAGTGGGAACCCTGGCTCTCACAGCATCAGTGTATCTGCTCATTTGTTCAAATCTATCATACACACAAATAGTTCCAGAATTGGAACCCATACCACTGTGAAAAACAAAACCTACTAAGAGTTTGAGATTTTTTCGCAGTTTGTTGTTTTTAGGCTAAGGGTATATAGTCAGGTATTGAATTTAAAAGTTATTTGGTTTCATTCTACTTACTGATTTGAAATACACTTAGATTTATTTATTTCTGTTTGTATTCAATTTTAGGTTCTCCCTTGTCCTTATTGATTTAAGTTTTTGAATGTGAAAAACATTAAGGTGGTTCCAAAGTTAGAACTTTCATCGGTTTAAATTATCTCTATGAAGTCTCTATTTTTGTCCCTCTCCATTATGTCCATTAGTGTTACTTTCTAGTCCCCCTTTCTCTCTCAAAGCCACTGGAATTGGCCTTTCAGACATTCCAGCCTCTCCACTGAAGCGGCATTTGGCTGCGTCACTGGAAAGTTCCACTTTGCTAAATCCACTGATCAGTATTCCGACTGCATCTTGCTCACACTCTCAGCGGTGTTGGGTATGGTCCACCCCCGCCTCTTGGGGGAAATCCCTTCCTCCCTTGGCTTCTAAGAGGACACCAATCAAAGTCAGTTCTCCTCCCGCCTCACTGGTGCCTCTTTGAAGTTCTCCCTTCACCGTGTGTTCCAAACCTGACCAATTTCACCCCTCACTGCCGCCACGGCTCCATGTGCCACTGTCACCTCACCCAGGTTAGTGTGGTCCTCTCCTCCCTGCTTTCTGCGCTCCCACCCTTGTCCCACTATGGTCCATTTCCACACGATAGTTGTAAGCGAGGTCATGGCCCTTCTCTGCTCGAAATCAAAGCCTTTCCTTTGTGAGTTGTAAGAGTTCAGTTAAAAGTGGACGTGAAGCCTTGGCTCAGTGCTTGGTGCTAGCCTCTTGTGCCCTGGGTGCTTGCTGGTGTGTGCACTTGTGAGCTGGGGCCTTCATCCTTGGGACAGCCTGCTTTGCATGAGGAACTCAGCCTTAACAGAGGAAAGTCAGTTGCTCAAAGTCACAACTGACTTGCTGGAACCAAGATTTGACCTCAGTTCTTCTGTCTGCATCCATACAAAACAGATGGTTCATGTGCACTTTAATTCCAGGAGAGAACGTGGCATAGTTTGGCCTTTTGGGCCCAAGGAATGTTTGTTCCTAATTTTTTAAAGAGCCCAGTACTGGTTTTTTTTTTTTTTTAAGATTTTATTTTTCCTTTTGCTCCTCAAAGCCCCCTGGTACATGGTTGTGTATAGCTTTAGTCGTGGGTCCTTCTAGTTGTGGCATGTGGGTCGCTGCCTCAGCATGGCCTGATGAGTGGTGCCATGTCCGCATCAAGGATCCAAACTGGTGAAACCTTGGGCCGCCGAAGTGGAGCGCGTGAACTCAGCCATGGGGCCAGTCCCCCAGTACTGGTTCTTAGTACTAGTTCCCCAGGACCTTTGAGAGCTAGGACATAGGAGCACTGACTTTTCCCAGCTTTATGAAATCCACTTTGTTGTGGCTAAGGTTTTCCAAATAAGCTAGTTTTCATTTTGTTATTGGAGAAATGACTGGGTCCTCCAGAAAGAGCTGTATCCCCGAGGTGTTTTCTGTCTCTTTTCTTCCTGCAAGCCCTGAGCCTTGGCCCTGGGAAGTGGGAGGCTGAGAGAGTGCTCTGGCACCAGCTGCCCTCCCTCCCTCCCTCCCTCCCTCTACCACCACCCCCTGGATTTATTTTTTAGTTACTTACCTTGACAAGCCCAAGGAGATCTCACTTCTTGTTTCCTGTGGGTTCTGGAAGCAGAAGCTTTTCAGGCTTAGCAGACAACGCAAACAGAGAACTTTATTGTCTTCTACAAAAGGCATAAAGTCTTAGGAACCTCCTTTTCTTAGAGAATAAAATGTAACAGAGGTGGGTCTCTCTTTGATGCTGTTTAAGGGGTCTGGCTCCTGAATTATGAAATGAGCTTCTCATAAAGTGATTTTATATTCGAGGCAGTTGCATAGCATGAGTTCTTAAAAATTTTAAATATAGCCTTTTTTTTATTAATACAAAGCAGTACGTGTTTATTGTGGAATAACAGATAAGCAAATACTCCTTTAATTGCATCATTTATACAGCAAAACATGAACACCCTGGAGTTTATACTTATAAACTTTTTTTATACGTATGTGTATTTTTTGTGGTAGTAGGACTATTTGCAACCTCTCCCTTTGTTCAATTATAGATAATAAATACTAATCTACTTTGTAAGTTTAAAGGCTGCAGAGCATTCTTTTGTATGGATGTACCATAATTATTTAATCACTCTGCATTGGATGGACATTTAGGTTGATTCCAGTTTGGGGCTATTATAAAGAACACCATATTGGGATCTTTTTGCATATCCTTGCTATTTCTTTAATAATATTTAATTAATAGTGTGGTTTCTTAATACTTGTAGGGATTAGAGCTGGGATTTCCTGGGGAGAGAGTCTGTAACTTTTAGATTCTTAAAGTGGGTTGGGACCCAAAGTGGATCAAGAACTGGTGTCACAGTCCCGGGTTTTCCAGTGTACCCTTGTTCCTGGTGCCTCCCGAGACCGGTAGCATAAATCAGGAAGGCAGTGTTGTCTTCAGGTGTTTTTGAGTGAGCACTGGGGAAAGTACAAAGAGAACTGTGAAATAGTTCTTTCCGCCATGAGCTCAGCACAGGTGTCAGGGTTTAGCCACATGAATAGAAGACAGCTACTGGATCCCTCCCCCTGGCTCTCCTTTGCCTGCAAGGATGAAGCTAAAACATTCCTTTCCTTCAAGGCCTTCCACTTGAAAGGTCTGCCTTTTCCAGCCCACTACCCTTTAGATAATAATGATGATGATAACGATGATGACGAGGGAGAAGCAATGAGAAAGGCTGTCTTTATCCAGTGCATACTGTATGCCTGTTCTCAGCCACTGCATGTTCTCAGCCAATGAAGAGGTACTATTTGTTATCCTCATTTAATAAACAAGGAGCAGAGAGCCATTCATTCATTTGTCAAGGTCACACAGAAAGTGGCAGAGTCTGGCTTCGAGCCCAACTAGTTTGCTTTCACAGCCTAACCTCCTGACCACCAAGAAGCCGTGCTTCTCACGCTCCTGTCAAGTCGGGTGTCCTGGTCAAATGATTCTGTGGGCCTGGCCTCGCACATCCCCAATTCTGGGATTTTGTTCAAGCCAGTCTCTTTTCTAGAAGACTTTTACTCTCTCTCCACTTGTAGAAATTCTGCCCACCCTCCAGGAGACTTTCTATGTTCACCCCAAGTAAAAGCAAATCCCTTCGTTTTCTTTATTTCTGGGTTGTTGGTGGCTTGCGTGTGCCAGTCGCTTCTGGCCTTGAGATGGAGATGATGTGCTAGGGTGGAAAGAAGAGAACCTTGGGAGCCAGACAGACCGGAGGTCAAATCCCAGCTTTGACAGTTTACTTACTCCGTTAGGGGTCCGGGTTCCTCTGTGAGGTAATAGCACCTGTCTGCATTACAGAGTTATTTGTGAGGATTCAGTGAGATTATTTAAAGTGTGCCGTGTCCTGCCTGGCCAGTAGTGGGCGTTCAGGAGGTGACAGCAGGGATGTTGTGGGCATGTTTTATTTCTTCAGAGCATAAGCTCCCGGAATATGGGGACCATGTCTTGTCCTGGCCTCCTGACCTAGGAAAGGGCTGGACATGTAGTGCCCCGTCAGGATTTGATGACAGTTTATGGTTTTATTGGTATGGACCTTATTCTAGGGTACCTTTTGGTTAAAGGTGCTTGTCTGGCACACATAGTGTGAGCTTGGAGAGAGGCCCCTCTGAGCTCTGAAGGGAAGGCTTCCAGGAGGACAGGGTATTGGAGCTCAACCTTCCATCCTGGGAGGAGTCATAGACGTTGGGGAGGGAAGGTATTTTAGGAGCTGTAAGGGGGCGTGCAAGTTATGGTTAGCATGCTGAGCCAGGCTGTCAGATAAAACAGAGGATGCTTCCTCCTGAGATCCCTGGGCTCTGCCCTCCACGTAGCCCCTTAGCTGCTGCTTATCTGTATAAAATAGCGGTTCTTTCCTGCCTGAAAGAGATGTTCCAGGCTGGATCGTGTTTGTTTCCCCTGTGTGCCCTCCCACAGCACCCCAGGCTGCCCCTTGTCACAGCGCTGTAGTGTAATTGTCTTTTGGGTCCATTATCCCCACTCAGTTGTGAACTCATTGAGGCCAGGATGGCCCCTCATTCGTCTCTGTATCCTCAGTATCTGGCACAACCACTTGGGAAGAGCACTGTAAATATTCAATACGAATTACTAGTGAGATGGAAAGGAAGAAACGTTTGGGTCATGTAGGAGATGCCAGGCTATGATATTTGAACTTAATTCTGTACAATTGATGAATTTTGAGCTAGGGAGTACTATTTCAAAAGAGGCTTCTTAAATGGTGGCAGTGTCTAGGACGGACCAGTGCGGAGAGGAGAGTGAAGATGGGTCGACCAGTGACAAGTCTATCCTGCATAATAATTCTCTTGCTTGTTCACATATGGATTGGAGGACTCGATGTCTTTTTATTTGAAAAGGTGAAGTTTCCCCACTGCCACCTACTACTCAGCTTTTGGGTGTAGCAATAAGATTTGCCTGAAAGATGGGAGCAGCATTTTCATGACATGCTTCCTAAGCATTTGGAATAGCCTGACAGATGGGACCCTGTCACCTGTGTGAAGGCAGTTTCCACCAAGAAACTCAGTGCATCACTTGTAATGATCTCCCTATGAATCCCACAATAAGAATTTGTCATTTGGTTTTAAAGAACGCTCTTATGATGGAGGAATGGGTGGAATACACCTGTTGTTAAGTCATTATAAGCGCCCCAAAGGATGAAACCCATGCTTCTGGTGGCATCAGGGCACGGCCTTCTGTGGTCATGGATTTTGTTAGGGATTAAGGAGAGGTTTTTTGATGGTTCTAAGATGGTTAGGAGTCGAATGCGCAAAGCCTGCCCCAGACCAAGGGTACCCTGCCCTGTGAAGTTTCCGAGGAGTCTAGCTGTGCTCCTAAAGAACATGGCATATGTGAGGCAGGATGTCATGTGATTGTTTGCCTGCCTAGTATATGTAGAACTCCTAAGCCCTTTGGAAGGCTGGACTAGGGCAGATGGCCCATCCTCAGGGTCTGTAGGGCCAAAAATCTTACCATCAGTGGAATGTTGCTGAGCCGCCCTGTGCAGGTGTGAGATGAAAAATTCTGACTGAGTTGTTCTGTTAGCGTGCAGTTGTCCCTGCCTGTTCGTGGTAGTCTGCAGTCTGGGACTTCCAGTCAAAGTCTTGGAAATTGACCCAATCAGATGTAGATTTCCCCCCTTGAGAAGGAATGTACAGGACAGAAATGTGGAGCTCTTGAGAGCATCCACTGTGGTAGAGTCCTGTCAACCTTCCCCCTACCTTTTGGGGAGCCAAAATATCACACCATTTTTGGTTAGGATGTAACCTAGAGGATCACGACATAGATTTGTGCTTGAGCTAGCCATAGCAGTATCTCCATCTCCCTTATTTACCTGGAACGTGCAGCAAGGTAGGTAAGAGTGTGAATTGGGCAGAGTGAGAGAGAAACATTAAACCTGGATTTCCACTTCTTACTGTAAACTGGGGATCCTAACACTGTGTGTGATTGTTGTGAGTCCTAAAGGAGATGGTGGATGTTAGAGAATTGTCCTCAGGGCTGGCAGCTGATGGGGCCTGTCTGACTCTTTCCCGGTGCCGGACATCACCCACAGTGGCAGGTGACTTTCAAGACCTTGCATGTTGCACTGACTCTTGGTGCCCAGTAGCCGGCCTGGTGGGGTGGAGAGGGAGCCCTGGCAGCAGCTCCATCCGGCCTTGGAAGTTCGTGGCTGGGAACCACAAGACATGAAGCAAATGTGCGAGTCTCCAGTGATCTTTTCCTCTGCGTTGTGGTGTTTGAGAACTTTTCCTTTTAGGAGTTGTTTTGAAAATGGTATGTGTGGGTGCAGTTTAATTATAGTCTCATTTTTCAAGTACAGCTATAGAAGGGTTTGTTTTTTTCTTTAGCCATGCGTTAGTTTCTTCAAAGAGCTCATGCCAGTCTGCAATTTCCAGAGTTCTGAAGTATTTTTGAAATAAAGTTGTTAGTCTCTTTGAAATCTAGGCTCGCATGCTTCCTTTCAAACAGCGATGATGACATGCGGGAGAGAGCAGAGCATCTTTTGCCCGTCTACATTCTGAACTTTATTTTGTTTTCTTTTGTTATTTCTTTTAGTTATCCCCCTTACTGCAGACACTGGCTTTTCAGCAGTACTCATATACTCCTTTCCCTGGTAATCCCACTTCTGAGAGTCTTTCCTAAGGAAGTAATTTAAATGCAGATAAAGCTGTATGTACAAAGATGTTTATTTTATTTATTTATGAAAGTGAAAAATTGAAGATGACCTAAATGTCAAACTGGCTAAAACTGTGGTTCATGCATGCCTCCAATAGAACATTAATGTAGTCATTAAAAACTATGTTCCTAAGGCAAATTTAGTAAGAAAAATGCTTCCAATAAAATATGAAGTGAAAAAATTAAGTCACAATACAGGATCATCCATGCCAAATGCTTGGAGAAAAGAATGGAAGGCAATCCAATAGCATGTCTGTAGCGGCTACCCAGAGGATGGTGATTTCTTGTTTCTGTGCCCATTTCCTGTAATAGGCATGTATTTTGTTAGTTTCAGCGTTTTAGAGAAGGAAAAAGAACCTGCACCCAGGAGTGCCTTTTGATTGCGTCTTAGATTTGGTGCCGTCACCTTCCTACTAGAACTAGGGCCAGAGCGGTGATGAAGGAGGAGTCTGTCGTCTGCATTGCCTTCTTGGGAATCCTACTTTAAGTATCCGGGATTGTTGTAAAGAGTCTTTAAACAAAAGGAACAGTGCCTCTGCAAATGTACGAGCAAGAAATTATTAGGGAACACTTTGTTTTTGTTTTTAATATTTTCCTTCTTCTTGATGTTATTTCTGCTTCCAGGAAAATCAGTTGGAGTGGAAAGGAGCACCCAGAATGAACTGATGGAGAGGTGAGTGTGTACCATTTGGTGAGAAGACTCTGGGTTAGGTGTGTCTGCCGGCTTTTTGAGTCTTCTGGTTCCCTCCTGTTGTATAATTTCCTGCTTTTTGTAAATAAAGCATAAACACCGATGAAACTGACAATGGCCATACAAAACCGAGAGCCTTCCTTCGGTTGTTGTAGTTGATTCATGGCGTTTCTCTGTCGGCTGATTTGACCCAGAAGACACATTCCTCCTGTTGGCTCCTGGGTGCCTGCAGGATGAATTCCAGACTCCTTAGCCGGACGTTCGAGGCCCTTCTCAGTCTGACCCCTCTTTCTTTCCCATCATGTACCCCGTGCTTCAGTCTAATCTGACTTCTGATTGTTCTGCAAACCGTGTCTGTACACAGGCTGAACACTCTGCCTTCTTCCTCTTGTGGTGTGAAATCCTCCTTCAGAGTCAGTTCACATGGAAATGAACCTGGCTGTCCCTGACACCCCCGTCTCTTCACTACATCCCTGGATCAGTCATTCTTCCTGTAGCACTTGGCACAGAATTACATTACAGCACTTACCACGTGGTATTCTAATACTTTCTGTATTTATCTTTCAAAATTCCTCGAAAGAGGAAAGGAGCTAGCATTAACTGGGTATTGGCGTGTCAGCTGCTGCCCTAGACATTCATATTCGTTATTTCCGACCGTACAAGGTGAGCGTTATTATTCTCATTGTGGGGTGAGGAGCCTGAGGGTCAGAGGTGCACAAGTGCCGTCAAGAGGCAGAGCTGGGATTTGAACTTGAACCTGTTGTCCTCCAGTGCCTGGGCTCTTATTGTTACTCCACCTTGCTGTTTGAGGGCAAAGACTGTGTCTTGAATATCTCTACACTTGATTCAGCCCCAACCAACTGGCATATAGTTGGAATTCAAAAAGTGTTCATGGAATAAATGGATTGTATACTTTCCTCGCTTGCCTCACAGCCAGCAGGGAATGTCGAGGTCTCCCCCTCCTCTGTTTACTTGCTAAAGGTTTTGACGGTTGTTAGTGCTGTCAGTATTTCCCTCCTCTTTGGAGCTGTGGCCATTTGGGTTCCTGGGGGTAAAGAAATAGAGGCCAGTCTCGGGTGCAGAATTTTAGATTTTATTGGCATCACGAAGGCCATGAGCATCATTAGAGCAAGCAGGCAGGGAGATATCAGAGCTCACTGGAGGACATTTTAGCCAGGGCCCCTGTAAGTTTGGAAGAAATACTCCTCTCCCACTGCAGTATTTTCAAAGATTCCTCCCAGTTCAACCCTCCACTGCCATCCTTATAATAATGGATCGCATCCCATTGACGGGCTGTGGACAGGACAAGGAAGGCCACCCAGAGGGGAGACAGTCTTAGCTGAGATCTGAAGGATGGGAGTCGAGGGATGGGGGTTGTTGGGAGAACGTCCATGCTCGAGGCAAAAGAGACGTGGCCCCTTTGAGCAGCGTGGCTGGTGCATGGAATGTGAGCATCAAGGCTGGAGAGGCAGGCAGGGCTGCCTCACATACTGTGGTCCTCACATACTGTGTTAAGAGTCTCAATTCTGTTCTACAGGAAGAGAGGAGACTTGGAGGGAGGGTAAGCTGGGACCGGGCTTGATCTGGTTTGCTTCGAGGACAGGCTGGAGGGAGGCGGGGAGCCCCCTTCAGCCTTCCTCAGGTGTGTGTCACCCTTCCGTTTCAGACAGGTTTGTTTCTTTCCTTCTGTTCTCCCTTTTTCAGCTGTAGGCTTAGCGCTCACATAGGTCACTCCTAAGTTAATTAAATGGGTACCCTTGGCCCATTCCTCACTTTTGCAAGGCAGTGCAAGTCTGCACATCCATCACGCTGTCTGAGCGAAGTTGCATCTGGTGTTTACCTGTTAACGAACGCATTGCAGCTTCGGAGTCCTTTGCTCTTGTCTCAGCTCATGAATAATGAGACAAGAAGTAATAGGAAAAAGTGGGAGAAAAAAGAGCTTAAATTAAGGAGCTTATCTATAATGGAGATTCACGGCACCGTTTCACAGAGTTCAGGGTGTTTTTCCTTATGGTTTAGGTAGTCCTTGGGAAATACAAGTTAATAACCAGATGATTGCCGGAATAATGATATTGGGACCTGCCTGGGGACTGTGAGGGTTTTGAAGTTTTTAAACCCACAAGGCTACTTCATGGGTTTGGGTTGGCCTCTCACATTCTCCTGGGGTCTTGGAGCCAGACAAAACTGGGTTCAAATGTGAGCTCCGCCACTTAGGAGCTGTGAGACAGCAGGTGATTTATGGTGGTCTGCAGTCTCCCCAACACTGAATGAGGACAGTCATCCCTCCCTCAGAGGGTTGTCCCAAGTAAGACAGTACATCTACAATGCAGGGCCAGACCCGGCATTTGGTGAACAGCTGCCGCTGATTCCTGCCCTCTCAGGGTTGCTCTCCTATAAGCCAGATGGTGGCTCTCCCTTCTTCATCGGCTCCAAACTCAAGCCCACTGAGCCTTTTTTTTTTTCTTTGGAGTAAGATTAGCCCTGAGCTAACTGCTGCCAATCCTTCTCTTTTTGCTGAGGAAGGCTGGCCCTGAGCTAGCATCCATGCCCATCTTCCTCTACTTTATGTGTGGGATGCCTACCACAGCATGGCTTTTGCCAAGCGGTGCCATGTCCACACCCAGGATCTGAACCGGTGAAACCCGGTCTGCTGAGAAGTGAAACGTGTGAACTTAACCTCTGCACCACTGGGCCGGCCCCCACTGAGCCTTTTTTGTTTTTAGACTGTCCTTGCTAAAAAAATGCTCTAGGGAAACAAAGGGGCTCCAAAACCAAGTTGTACATATGGGGACATTACAAAGGGCCAAATAGTCTTATGTGTTCTTAAGTCATGGTCCTGCTTGGAGTCTTAGTATGGAATGTGATTTCTCTTTCAATCCCAACGGTCAAGGCTTGAGGAAGACGGCCTACCCTACCAGCATGTTCTGCCTGAATCTCCTGAGCCTTCAGCCTCTCACGCATTGTCCGATTGTGAAATATCCGAAAAGTCCTCTTTCTCACGAGACCAGAAGCCAGACAGCGAGACTGAGAAGGCGTCAGTTATGGCGAACACTTTTTCTCAAGGTAAGCTGAGCTTTGCAGAGCGTTTTAAACATAGCCACGGTTTCCTGGGTTAAACAGTCACTTGCCATGTTGCCTCAGTAAGCAGAGTGTAGTGACATTCGAATGTTTCTCCCGTGAAAGGAGATCCTGTGAGGGCCAAAGCTGGTCATTCAGAGTGCATTTGTCACTGGGGAAAGCCGTGGTTGTTAACAGTGTTGGTGATGGGGGAAAAGTCACTTTTATTTTTAATGATGACTTCTTATAGGGCTGGTCATTCCCTTGCTCTTCTGACAGTGGCAGGCTGGGAAGCATTGAGGTCATGCATCAGTTCCAAGTCTGGTTCACTGATTCTTTCAAACTCTTTCTAAGGCAGGGTCACTTTGAAGACCCTTGCTTTGAATTGTACAGATGCCCAAGAGGACCCAACCCCCTGTTTTGGTATTTTGTCATTCTGTAAATCTGCTGTGTTTCTCTTTAGTGTGACCCTTGGCCCTTAGGATCAGGCCCTTGTCCTGTCTCTGACCATCGAGCCGTGGGCTCAGTTGGCAGAATCAGCCTCCCAAGGCCCCACGTGCCCCTGAGCTCCCCTTTACCTCTTCTGTCTTTGCAGTCTTGATTACCTCCCGTTGGGGTATTAGGTAGGGCTTAGTGTTTATAATTCAGTGCATTTTGGAAGTTCAAGGGAAAGTATAGACCAGAATAGATAGACCAGGGATCAGCAAACTTTTCTTTACTAAAAGACCAGCTAGTAAATATTTTAGGCTTTGCGGAGCATATGGTCTTCAGCGCAATTACTCAATCCCGCTGTTGTGGCAAAAGCAGCCATAGACGATATGTAAATGAGTGTGGCTATGTGCCAATAAAACTTTATTTACCAAAACAGGTGGTGGGCAGATTTGATCCAGGAGCCTTAGTCTTCTGACTCCTGATGTATGCTTTGAACCTCAGCTGACATCCTCTGGTCTCTCCTTTCTTCCACTGGGTTCTTTGCAAGGCACCAGAGCACAAATCAGACACTGGCACCTCCTTGCTAAAAGCTCTTTGTTGACACTTGATCACATAAAAAATGATTTTTGAAAATTTTAAATTTTTTTTCCCTAGCAACAGGTGAAACTTTACATGGGGGTCCAATATGTAAAAGAGATACGAGTGGAACCTTTGTCCCCATAGGGGCTCCTGAGCTCCTCTAGGACACTCAGGCCCAGAGGAGCACAGTTTGAAAACACCTAGAGCATGAAGTGCACATCTTTGATGTGGCTCAGGTGTCGGCTGGGGCCCCGCTGCAGCCAGCGCAGCTAGATTGGCTTTCTTCAGATTTCTGGCTGTATCCCTCTGATTTCTGTGAGTTTCTGTGTACTCAGTTTCTCTCGGTTATTTCTGGCTTTACAATCTGCCTTCTAATTTAGGTCGGACCATGAATTGTTTTCCTATACCTAGTGCCACCTTCTTCTGCACTGTGTCAGTCTGGCCCAGAGCACCCTTGACCTGGGATTTGAAGAGCCGGGGGGGGGGGGGGGGGGGGTGTTATGATCAGCTAGCCGATCATCTACCCTGGGAAATTTGAGATTCCCCCGTCTTTCAAACCCTCTGCTGTGGGAGTGGCACTTCCCTCTGCCTCCTCTTGCTGCCCTGTTTTCTTCTACTCGCCACCCCATCCGCCACCCAGCTTTGGTTTATTTCCAGTGTAGAACGATTTAGGCGTCTCTCTTGTTTCTTGTTCCTCTGGGGACCCGCGACCTTGGGCTTATCATGACCTCCTAGTGGGTGACCAGGCACTGTCCTGAGGAGGGCAGTGCTCTCCAGAGCCAGTCTGATGAACCCACTGTTAGCTTTGTCGGTTTATTTCTCTGCAGACTTTTAGTCTCTGCATCTGTTTTTCCTTTTGTCATGTTTATAATCTGAGTAGAGAGATAATTTAGTATTTTTCCTCTTTTCACTTACCGTTATATCATGAGCTTTCTGACGTGTTGTTACCTAACATCGTTTTCGGTGGCTTCAGACGAGTTGCTCGAATGGCTGGGCTGCGTTTTTCCTTATGTTCCCCTGTTGCTGAACATTAAGTCATTTCTAAAATTTCACAATTATGAACAGTGCCGCAGGGAATATCTTTGAACGTGGAGCTTTCCCCTTATTGGGGGCATTTTCTTAACCTATATTCTTTTTTTTTTTTTTTAAAGGTTTTAGGGGTCAGACCCCTGGTGCAGCAGTTAAGTGCACACATTTTGCTTTGGCGGCCTGGGGTTCGCTGGTTCGGATCCCGGGTGTAGACATGGCACTGCTTGGCATGCCATGCTGTGGTAGGCATCCCACATATAAAGTAGAGGAAGATGGGCACGGATGTTAGCTCAGGGCCAGTCTTCCTCAGCAAAAAGAGGAGGATTGGCTGCAGTTAGCTCAGGGCTAATCTTCCTCAAAATAAAAAGATTTTATTTTTCCTTTTTCTCCCCAAAGGCCCCCAGTACATAGTTGTGCATTTTTAGTTGTGGGTCCTTCTAGTTGTGGCATGTGGGATGCCGCCTTAGCATGGCTTGATGAGCAGTGCCATGTCCGCACCCAGGATCTGAACCAGTGAAATCCTGGGCCACCGCAGTGGAGCATGCGAACTTAACCACTCTGCCACGGGGCCGGCCCCATATCATGTCTCTTTAATCTTTAACCTATATTCTATAAATTGGAACTACTAGGCAAAAGATATACACGTTGTTTTGGCTGGTTGTTTCTTACAGGATTTATGGTTTTGAAGAGTTAGCGTTCGTCAGAAGGGTAATTATTTTAAGAGGGACAGATATTTTTCTCCCATTTTGTAAAGGTGAGTGTACTGTTTCCTTCTCCTTGGTTAGGGCTGCATAATTAATAAGTGGTGTCCAGTTCAACCAGGAATGTTCCTTAAGCCGCAGTGATGATTCCACCTCCTGCCAGACTCCGTAGAAGATGACTCGTACTGATGGCTGCTGAGCGTTATTGCCCTAGAAGCTGGCAGCGTGTGACGCGGATAGGCCAGCAGGGAAGGCTGCAGTCAGACCGATAAGTCCTGACTCATTCTGACCTGACTAGCCTCTGGGAGATTTGCGGGGCAGCAGGGCACGAACGGGAGGCACATTGTGGCGACGCGCTGGGAGCTGACTGCAGACAGGAGCCTCCAGTGCTGGGCTGCAGTGGGGGCCTCAGACTTTCCACTGAGTGACTTGTCGCTCTCTGGCATTAATAGGAGATAGCTGAAGGTCTGGAAATTAAGTCATCTCATAAACATTCAAATTCATGGCAAAATTACTATTTAATTAGGAAAAGATCTGTAACATTGTGCTACTTTTAAATGAAAGTCATTTTGGAGGAATTAAAACTGGGTCATAACATTAGTATAATGTTTTAAAACAAACATTACTAAGACATACTGAGTGTACCCTAATTGATGAATTAAAGACATTAGTTTTGCCTCTGGATACTTAATGTGATTATGCTTTAAACACTGATTCTAGAAACTTACTTCTAGATTGGATCTGTGCTTCCTTCTTTCTTTGTTAAAGTGAGATGTGGCAGAGGCTATAAAAATGATACATGCTCATTTTAGAAAATTTGGAGAATTTATATTTTTATATATTATTAGATCTTAAGATGTAATATAGGTTTTGAAAAACAAAAAAATCTACCACCCAAAGGCAGCCTCTGTTAATGTTTAGGTGTATTTCCTTCTTTTGTGTATATATGTCTTTCCTGTCTGCATATTTCTGAATAGGGTTGTGATTATGCTCAGTAACCTGTTTTGTATCTATATTTTTCCATGATCTTCATAATGTAACTTTAATACCTGTGTAATACTGCATCATAATGAAGGTAATACATTTTATTGAATAGTTTGAGTTATTTTCTGTTGTTACTATATAGTGGTAAGCTGAATGTTGTTTTCATGCATTCTGGCAAATGGTTGTCAGCGTCTCTGGTGATCTCCTTAAATAGATTCCTGGAAGTAGAATGATTTGGTGAAAGACATTGGAAAAGAACTTCAAACACTAATGATAAAAATAGTCCCCCAAAGTCGTACGCATTTCTACTCACGCTAACAGGATGTCCTCTTGAGAATGCCCTCTGTACCATTCTCACCAGCACTGTTTGGTTCTGTTCTTAAGTCTTAAATTAGTGATAAATGGATAACATATTCCTTGCAAAGAATTAGTCTTGAAAATATCTGGATTCATTATGAAGGTAGTTTAATCAACTCTCAGGCAGTTCAAGCAGACTTGAAAGAGATCTGTTAGTTTCACCATAAGGAAGATTTAAATTAATATTTGATATTTAGAAGAATAAAAGCTCCATTAGAGTTAGCATTAAAATTGTATGGAATGTAATTTTCCATGTGATGTAAAATATCTTCCTCATGGAGGGCGGCAGAGGATTGTTACAGAACTGTGTCTGTGGGCTGTGGGCAATAGCTGGGCCTCCTGTGCCTAGGAAAGGGTTGCCACTTGCTGACTATCTTGATACATCAGTACCATTTAGAATTTCAAGATCATTGTATAATCTATAGATTATTCAATTTGTTGGGGGCTTCAGACTTTATAATTAAAAATGCCCTCCTTCCTGTAGACTTACTGATGGAACATATACAAGAAATTCGAAGTTTGAGAAAACGTTTAGAAGAATCTATTAAAACCAATGAGCAGCTACGGAGACAGCTGGAACGGCAAGGGGCTGAATTTGATAAAGGTAAGGAGGAACCTTCCCAAAGGGCGGTGCAAGCCTGTGACTGATTCATTTGTGATGCATTTGCTTGGATAAGCATTCTGTGTATTGGGAAGAGCATCGGATTCGTGGCCAGAGAGATTTCAGTTCAAATCCTGGCTTTGCTGCTTCCCTCCAGGGTGGCTGCGCTTAACCTTGCTGACTCTCAGTCACAGTAGTTTAGAGAATGGGGATGATAGTTCCCATTTTATCCTGTTGTGCTGAGGATTAAGTGAGGTAAGTGAAGTGGAGTGCCCCACAGTCCCTGGGCAAAGCAGGTGCTTGGCGACTGTTAATCTCACTCATTGGAGAAATCTGCCAGCTTCTGGCACCCTGAATTGTGCTTGGCTCCTCGTTTTGGAAACTGTTGAGAAATATTTATTTTGAAATAAAACTAAGCAGTATTTTGTCTTTTCGTCCCGTAATGTATAGTAAAAGTATTAGCGTTTTAACGGTCTGGTGAATCTCACATGCCAGTCACAAGGTCGCCAGTATTCCTGTAGAACCAGTTAGCGCTAAATGGAATATTCTTCCACAAAGAGCTTAAAAATATATTTTTTTCTGATAGGTAAGACATTCACATGGTTCAAAAATTGATATCTTCATTCTATACCGTGAATACTCCCTTTTCTCCTCCCACTTTTGTTAGTTTTCTTCTGAATTCTTGCAGTGTTCATGCAAGTACAAATACATATTCTTACTGTCTCCCTCACTTACCCAAAAGGTAGAATACTTTGTATCACTATTCTGTCCCTTTTTCCATTGAACAATATGTGTTGGGTCTCCCTCCTTATTGCTCCAAGGGAGTGTCCTCATTCCTGGGAGAATGTGTCTGAGAGCAGCTGTGCGCACTGGGAAAAGCCTGAGTTTCTTTGGGAGTCTGCCTGAGCTGAGTGTGGATCCCAGCTCTTCTGTTTGTTAGCTTTGTGACTTTGGGCAAGTCACCCACCTCTCCCAGTCTTCTTAATTATCTTATATAAAACAGAGTCATTGTGAGATTAGATGAGGCGATGTTAGGAATAGGGCCTTACTCAGTGCCTCACTCAACATATGGTTGTTTTCTTCATCATTAGCGGTTTTATTTTACGCTTTCATTTTGTTTAACATTATTAGTTTAACATTGCAGAGCTCTGCAATGGGTGGGGCTGCTGCTGACATTCCCATTTTTAGGGATGAGATAACTGAGTTCTGGAAAGACATACTCAATGGGAGCACTTGAATCCTTGGACCTCTAGTTCAGTTTCATTCCTCTGTAGCCATGAGCCTACAAAAACGTCTTTCCACAGTACTGTATATGCTGCCGTTTGCAAGGTAAACAGAATGGTTCCCTTTCTCTCTCTCTCTCTCTCTCTCTCTCCAGCCCCCATTCTGCATCCTCTCCCTCCCACCCCCAGGAAAATTGATTAATCTGAGTTATTAGTCATATCAAATGCAGGAACGAAATACACGCCTGGGCCCTTCACATTCACTCTTGGTAATGCCTGAATTAGATTCATTCTGTTTTACATTTTCCCTGGCAAATCCAATTATAGAATTATTTGGGGGCTCAAATGGCCACCAGCTACAATGGAGCAGGCAATTGCTCTGGAGAGTAATTCGCTCTGACGGGAGGGTTTACAAAAAGGCATCATGAAGTATTTACGCTGGTGGAAAGACATGCTGTTCTCACCGTGTCGTCACAGTCTCTGAAAAGACAAAGAGAGAAGAGTGGCTCCGCCCCCGCTGCTGTGCAGCCTTCATCTGGGGAGCAGGTTTGAGAAAGGCATGGCTCCTCGTGATGCCGAGGTGGAATATTGTTAACAGCTGTCGTCTCACGTGTTAGATCTTCCAGCTTGTCGCCAGTCACACGAGCCGATAGTGGTGGCGTTCTTTGCATCAGAAGTGGACCCCGCTAGCTCAGGCTTTGTCAGGAGCAGTTGTTTGGCCTGATTTCTCCTTTGAAAAGTGACCGCCTTAGCTGTAGTCATAGGCTTCTGTAGAATTGTTCCTGTTCATCCAGATTGCTCTTTCGTCCTATTTTGGCTCCAGGCTTCATCAGTCATATTAACACAAATGGTAATAGCAGTAACAGTACCGCCACCACCGCTGCCACCGATCACTGTTACTGAGCTAATGGAGACACAGGGAAGTTATGTGACTTGCCTGAGGTCAAGCAGCCGTTAAGAAGCCGTGGTTCAAACCCAGGTGTCTCTGAAAAGACTCCAGAGTTGATAGCGGAGAGTGGAGGAAGATGGTGGAGAGAGACATATGTGAATAGAAAACTTATATGACATTGTCATAAGTGAATCATTAGCATGAGAAAAAGGGAGGGCTGTAGCATGGAAAGAGTGTGAACTTTGGCTTCTGGGGCACCTAATGTCGTACCTTCCTTATAGGGAGTTTGAATATTGCAGGTAATCATTTGTCATCTCATGTGTTAGATGCTTTCAGCTGCAGATGGCAGAATATGAGTAAAAGCTGGTGTAAGCAATGGAGATTTATGTTTTCCTACATAACGAGAAATCCAGAGACAGGCAGCTCTGCGCAGGTCTAATGGCTCAGTGGTAGCAGGGCTCGGGTTAGTACCTGTGAGGACTGTAGTAATTTTAAGTACCACCTCCTCCCAGGACAGTTTCCAAAGCCCCAGAAAGAAGAGGGTGGGGCTTCTCGCTGTCCTTCTCTTTTCATCCAGGTGGAAAATCTTTCCCAGAAGCTCCCAGCAGGCTTCCTGTCAAGTCTCATTGACCAGAAGTGGCACATGACCGTGTTCTGCACCGGGGGCTGGGAAAGCAGGTGTCTGGCATTTTGGGTCTGTGGTGTAATCGACTCGGTCAGTAGGGAAGCCAGGGAGGGAAGCATCTGCCTGCCACATATGGAAAGTGCCTTGCACACAATAGGTGCTCCCAGAGGGTCGCTGTGACATGAGCATTATGTACGGTGCACATTAGAAAGGTCAGAGGCTGGAGGGCGCTGAGGGGGGTGTTGAGGGAGCTGTCCAGCCAGAGGAAGGGGGAGGGTTTCGGGAGACAGACCACAGTCTGGGCAGGTATTTATAGGTGAGGAAACTGATCGCAGTTTGAAAGTGACCTCCAATCCAGGCTGTCTAGCTTTAGACCCTGATCTTTTTAGAGACGCTTAAAGGCAGTGAAATTGAACTAAGAGTTGAAAGACGAGTGTGGTGGTGACCCGTGAAGGAGGTGGTAGGCATTCTAGGCAAAGGGCCTACCTCATTCTGCAAAATCAGGGAGATGTGTGGCCACATGGTATGTTTGGGGCACAGAAGCACAGAAGTGGCTCAGTTTGGCTGCATACCAGGGCACTAAGGTCTCGGGTGGAGAGAGAGTGGCGCGTGCCATGAGATTGGAGCTAAGGAACAGAGCTCTGAAGTTTGAGCTCGTGTTTGGTTTGGTTGATGGTTGGTCTTTCACAGGGGTGGGCTATCAAATGTTTCTGAGCAGAGACTAACATGCATGGACTGCATTTAAGGCTGCATTAGGACTGTGTTTAGGCCGATAACCCCGTTGACAGAGTAGCAGGGAGGTCAAATGATCAGGCCTGAGCTATAGGGACAGAAGAGAGTGGGCCAGCGTCTGAGGCATCCTGGAGGAAGGGTCAGCAGCGGTGGTGGCCTGATTGGCAGTGGAAGAGAGAGGTGTTTCGGATGTCCCCCCCTCCCCAGGTTTCTCGCTCGGGTTACAGATAGTGGCGATACCATCTACAGAGGTGGGGAACTGGAGAGAGGGCAGGTTTGGAAGGGTTTGGGGGAAGGGGCAAGAGACCTGCTTTGGCTCTGTGGACTAGGTGCTGTCTCAGTGGAGAGGTCCAGCAGGCCCTGGGTATATGGGTTTGGACCTCTGGAGAGACATTGTGGAGGGTAAGACTGTCACCCGCTGACCCCACCCCCAGCCCAGGTCTCACCCTTAGGACAGGTAGGATCTGGGGGAGCCCCCTCTCGTTCCCTCTTTCACGCTCACTCTCATATATCTTTGGGCTCTCATAATACCTTATATCGTTCACAGGAGTGATTTTCATTGTATATTGTGTTTCCTCATTATTTAAAACTTTTTCTGGAAAGTTCCATCCGTACTGACCTTGGAGACGCTTTATAAATCACTACTTATGTGTATTTTTATAGGTTCTTCAAACAGTTTTGCTTTTGGTTCAGAGCTGCATAATTCTCTCACATCAGAAATTCGTTTCCTGAGGAAGCAGAACCAGGCCCTCCATACAATGCTCGCTAGAGGATCCAGAGGTAAGAATTATAGGGGCCATCTGCAGTCCAGAGCCCCCCAGACTCCTGTGGCATGGAAAGAATGCAGACACCAGAGTGACCAACCTAGGTTCAAATCTTATGGCTCTGTGACTTTGGGCAGGTCACTTAACCTCTCTGAACCTCAGCATTCTTAGCTGTAAAATAGGAACACCCCAGAGGGCTATTGTGACACTTAGATGCTGTGAAGCCCTCAGCTCGGTGTCTCTAATAGGGCTCAGTGAATGTTACTTTCTCTTCTTGTCACTCATGCCCTCTGTATAGCCACCTCTCACTTGTCTTAGTTCACAGTGGGAGAGAGGGAGCTGGAATATATTACTGCCAAAATCTCAACCAGGGATTTCCTCAATCAGGAAAGGCTTTCCAGTATTTCTTGTAAAGATCCCTTCTCTTACCTCCACCTGTTTGGAGCTTAACCCCCAAAGAATTCTCACTACATGATCTCTCAATACTTAAAGCGTTTCTGGAATGATGTATTATCAGTCCTGTTTTACAGATAAGAAATTGAGGCCTAGGGAATTGACTGACATATGGTCACAGAGCTAGAAGGTGGTGGAGCTGGAACTTAGGCCAGCTTATTTCACTTTCCCTAGAGAATATGGATGCTGATTTTGGTTTAAGAGGTGAAACTGGGGCTTCTGCAGATCATTGCTTCACTCAGCAAACATTCCTGGCTCCTGTAGTGTGTTGGGGCCTGTGTAGACTCTAATCCAGAAATGGGTGAGACCTGATCCTTTCCCTCAAGGGGCTCATGGTCTGATGGGAGGAACAACCAGGCAACCCATGGCAGGCCAGCGTGAGGATTAGCCATGATAAAGGCAGGCTCAGGGGCCACAGGACGTTGGAGAAGGCATCCTGACCCCGGGCAAGTGGGTCTTCAGAAGCTGAGTCTAGAAGGCTGAGTAGGGATTAACCAAGGTGCCTGTGGTTTAGAAGAGCCAGGACATTTAAATAGAAGGAAGTGAGACTGGGCCTAGGGGTCTGAGAGGGGCCAAGTATAGACCAGTCAGGAATTCTGTGAAGCTTAGTGTGGCTGGAGTCTGAGGGAAGAAGTGAAAACTTGCTCAGAAAGGACCGTGTTGTGGTTAAGAGTGGAGTCAGAAAACCTGGGTCTGAATCCTGGCACTGCCACTTACTGGCTGTGTGACCTTGGGAAAGTCTTAACCTCTTCTGTCCTTAGGGTCCTATCTGGAAAATGGGGAGAATAATAGTGCCTACCTGGGAGGTTTGCCATGAGGCTTGAATAAGCTGATCCACGTGAAGGTGTCAGTGTAAAGCCTGCAGTTAACACCGCGGCCGTGTCAGCTGTCGCCACCACCAGCACTGCTGGCAGCTCACGTCGTGGAGCGCTTCTGGCCTTCAAAGTGCTTGTGAAGCCTCTGCCTAAGCCTTTTCCATACAGGAACTCAATAATCCTCACAACGATGCCTATGAGGAAACTGAGGCACAGGGAAGTGAAGAAACTCATCAAGGTTATGGAGGCAGTGAGTGCAGGAGCTGCACTGAACAGCCACTCTGCTCCAGCCTGCTCTTGACGGCCTTGTCTCTGTGCCCCAGGCACAGGACATGTGCTGTGGTTCAGGGCCTGAGAGCCAGTGGGTCCCAGCTTGCTGTTTGCACAGCCCTCCTGGCCTCCTTCAGGGGTGGTGGGGAGGGGGCTTGCCAACTTTCCCCTCACACATTGCCAGAATCTGGGGCCCCGTTCCTTGGCTCTGTCTGTAATTTCTACCCGCTGTTTGCTCTGTGAAGGCGAAGTAACTAGGTTTGCACGGCCCATTATTTAATAGAAAATTAAACAGGCCCATTTCATCCCAGTGACGTTTAATCTGCAGCCTTGATGTTGACAGATTTATCTGCCCAAAATGCATAAGATAATTGGAATGCCAAAATCATAAATGCCAGATTAAATCTCATTCTCTTTTGTATTCTTGGAGTGCTCGAGCTGAAGTGCTGTATTTGCGTAATAAGGTTGGAAAAAACAAACGGTATCTCTTCTCAGTGGCGCTTCCCTGTGTTTGCAGATAAACAGAAGGAGAATGAGAAATTACGAGAGTCCCTCTCCCGGAAGACTGTGGACCTGGAGCACCTTCAGCGAGAGTTGGCCTGCGTGAGGGGAGAGAATGAGAGGCTGCGGAAGGAGGTCTGCGTCAGCCGCAGCGAACTGAGCAGGTAGGCTTCACGTTCACCCCGCCCTGGGGGCCACGCACGGGGACAGCCAGGCGCACACAGACACCCAGTGTGTCAGGTGGGAATAAGACACATGGCGCGAAGTCAGCCGAGGAAGAAGGGTGGGGCCTGGGGCAGATGGCTGTTCTTTATCCAGGGGGCGTCAGGGGAGGCCTCTTTGAGAAGCAGCCGCCTAAAGGCAGCGAGGGCCTGAGCTCTGCAGATGTCTGCGGGAGGACCACTTTCCGCAGGGAGGATGAGGGCCTGGGGCGGGGTGTCCCTGGCCTGTGCTGGCAGAGCAGGGAGGCCACGGCAGTGGCTGAGGCAGAGAGCGGGCTGGATGCCGCCTCCTGGAGGACCTTGTAGCCGTGGGAGGGACTTTGGATTTTACTCGGAGTGATACAGGAGGCCGTTGGGAGGTTCTGCGCAGAGAAGAGTCTGACTTAGATTTTAAAAGGGTCGTGTGGTTTCCCACTTAGAGCATCTTGTCCCACCTGTTTCAGTTGCTCCTGTCAGCCTCCTGAGTGCCCCACACTTAGAGTCACTGACGTCACCCTGGCTCACCCAGGTGGTGCCGTGATTTAGCCAGATCATTGTCGTTGCCATTGCAGCCCTAGCTCCTCTCCTGAGCCGGGCACCCCTGGGCAAGGCGGAACCTTTTTGAGCTTCACTTGCTCATGTCTGTGAATTGAGGCTTAGATAGCAGGTACCTTTTAGGGCATCTGTGAAGATGACGTGAGATAACTTAGGTAAAGTGCTGGGCCCAGAGGGACGCTCAGGATTTAGTGGCTGTGACTGGAATTCTTGACCACAGCTTGTCGCTTTTGGCCACGTTCTTCTGGCTGAGGGTGGAGCGGGCCTGCCCAGAGGGGTTCGAGGAAGTCACCCCTGGTAGCATTAACCTGTCTTCCCGGTGTTGGGGCCTTGCAGGGCGCAGGAGGTGGTGCAGTTGAGGCAGCAGCTGCTCGCTCAGAACGACAAGCTACTCCAGTCCCTGCGAGTGGAGCTGAGGGTGTATGAGAAGCTGGATGAGGAGCACAGGAGGCCGAGAGGTACTGCGCGCTCTGGGCCAAGGCCCTGCTCGTGCGGGGGCTGCTGCGTCTTGGGCTCACTCCCCCGGACGGTGGGGGCTCAGCACTCCTGCCTCCTGGGTGGAGTAGGCATATCATGGGTGGAGTAAGCGAGCTTTGGGCCCACTGTTCTTCTGAAGGAGCAGCAGGAAACGTGGAAGGACTTGGGCTCAGGAGTCAGGCCAGCGAAGTCTGGGTTCCTACGGCCTTGCTTCCCGGCCGTGAGCCCTTGAGCAGGTCACCTCACCCCTTCGGGCCTGTTTCTTCCTCTATCAAACATGTCGACCAGTATCTATTCTATGGAGTTTTTATGAAAATTAAATGAGACCATTTATTAAAAGCATCCTAGCATGATACCTGGCACATAATAGATACTCAAGAAATAACTTTTATTGCAATTTTCCTGCTAGTGTGTGTTTCTTTTTGCCCTTTCATTCAGCAAATAGTTATGGTCTGCCTACTCTATGCCGGACCTTGCTCTAGAGATGGTGGTTGATCCTGGTTCTCCATATCCTGTGAGAGATACCAGATCAGAGCAACTCAACTGTAAACTCAATTTTTCTTTTTTTGAGGAAGATTAGCCCTAAGCTAACGTCTGCTGCCAATTCTCCTCTTTTTACTGAGGAAGACTGGCCCTCAGCTAACATCCGTGCCCATCTTCCTCTACTTTATATGTGTGATGTCTGCCACAGCATGGCTTGACAAGTGATGTGTAGGTCTACCCCCGGGATCCGAACTGGTGAACCCTGGACTGCCAAGCAGAACATGCGAACTTAACTGCGCCACCGGGCCAGCCCACTAAATTCTAATGTTTTAGAATCAATTTTGAGGCGTGGTGAGATTTTTTTTAAAACTAATTTTCCAGATGGTTTCTCCCTATTGAAAGTTTATCTAGAAAAGGGTCACCTCACAGCTTTCATTTTCTCCTCAAGTTGCTTCTCTTATTCTTGCTGTTGTGCCTTTTTAATATACTGTGGTTCTTAAAATCAGCCCTTTTCATTCTATAATTCCAGCCCGAATAGATTTTATTACGACTAGACATAATTTCGGGGTTTGGTGTGCAATTTGCTAGGCCTTTATGGCCAGAAGCGAAAATTAATTTCCAGCTCTTATTTAGCCTGTGGAATAGCAGCAATTAAGTCTGCCAATATTTTTGTTTTTAAAGTGAAGTTGTTATTTTAAATTGTGCCTACTTCTTAGGAAGGGGAGGGGCTGGTGGCGGGTTTAGAACACTGTCTAGCTCTTTGAGGGCTGACCCTTTGGTGGTGGACGATGTCAAGGCTTCCCTTTGCACATGTTCGCAGAGGCCAGAGCAGAGGCGTCGGGAGAAGGCTCGAGGGAGCAGGAACCTTTTCGCGAGCTGCAGGGCCTGCTAACAGAGATCCGGGCTCTGCGGGCCCAACTAGAAAGGAGCATTGAAACCAGCAGCATGCTGCAGAGCAAGCTCGAGGGGCAGCTGGCGAAGGGGCAGAAGAAGGCTGAGGAAGTGGCCCTCACTTTGGCTCTGCAAACCCTGGCCATCCCTGAGCGGCCTCTTCAGCCAGACAGACATGGTACGGCGCATGCCTCTCCTCTGAAAATGCAGCCCTGCGCCTGTGTGTGGGATGTGCGAGCTTCTGAATGCTGCCCTTTCTCGCCGAGGTCTTTCCGTTGACAGCAGACATGCTGTACTCAGAGGGCCTGACCACTAATTAGTGGTCACCTTTGGCAAAATGGTGTGTCTCTGGGGCCTCCCACTTCTCAGGGAAGTGGAGTTTGGGCTTCCAGCCACCCTCATTGCCTCCAGTCTTGCCCCCTCCGATCCATTTAGTCCTGTCCACGTCACTCCTCTGCTGGAAATCCTTTTTAGTCCCTCTTATTGCCTTTCAAAGAATCTAAACCTCTTACTCTGGCTGTCAGTGTCTTTCCGGATCTGAAAAGCATCCTGGTGGGTTGGAAAACTAGTCCTGTTTTGCATTTGCTTGTGGGTTTATTGTCCAGTCCTGCAGAGGCTGTGTGAGGCAGCAGGAGGAGGACAACGCTGCTTCCCCTCCTTCCTCTGCCACTCGGTAAGCACGGGGCCTGGAGCAAAGCAGCAAGTGGTCAGGCGCAAAGCAGTCAGCCAGGCCATCTTCTTTGCTCTAGGGATGAAGGAACTCAGACCAGAGAGGGTACTGGACTTGTCCAAAGTGACACAGCAAGTAGATGGCAGAGCTGAAGCTAGAAATCACTTGGCTCTGGGTCCAGTGCTGCTCCTGGAGCATCACCTGACCTCCTGGGGCCTCAGGTGTCTCGGGATCGTCCTACTGCCCGTGGGTGGGCGTGCGCATCCGGTGGGACAGGAGTGTCAGCATACTTTATAAACAAGTATTGGATGAAAACTTGCACTTATCTTTCCTTGAATTGGGAATTACATCTATTGCTTCTAATTAAAACAATTAAAATCTCTTAAAGAGCACCTAGTCAACTTGTTTTAGAACTTGTGGTGATTAGTTCATTGGTTTCTCCTTGATAAAGATTTAAAATTCTAACCAAAAGGTAATGTGACAATATGAAAAAAAAGTAAAAAAAAATTCTTTATGATTCTACAAAATGATAGTTTTTTACTTGCAGATTTCTCTTCATTTGGTATCAAATGCAGGCATGGATTTATAGTGTTAAATTGGTTTTTGTGCCATTCTGTCATTTCTTCGGTTTTGCCCAATATCACATCATAAATGCTTCCCCTGCTTTCACACGGCCTTCCTAATTATTGTTTTCAGATTATTGTCAGTCACCAAACCATTACGCTAATGATTGTTAAAGTGCTCTCTGATTTGGAGCTTTAATGAATGTTGACGTTAAGATGTTTTTTGCTGTTAAATAGTATTCTTAGGATAGAATCCTACTCGGGGAATCTCAATGGGTCAGAAAGGTGCCACGTTGCCGCCTTCTGTGTGGGCTGTACTGTACATCAGCAGTGGGCGTTACTGTTGTAAACGTAGGTCTGTTCCTGGCCCTTCTTAGGGCTTTGAGGAAATGAGACCGAGGAGACCCTGGCGGAGGCTGAGGGAGATTGGGCAGGGAGAGCGAGTGAGGGCTGGGGGTGCCCAGGAGGGAGAGTTGGGGCAGCTGAAGTGGAGAGGCCTGGGAGCAGCCTTCGCCTGCTTTGGAAATTCATCCAGGGTGAGCCCTAGGTGAGCCTTGCAGCATGTGTCCAGAAGAGTGTTCAGAATTCACGGGGGTGCCTCGGCGGGAAAGTTCTCCCATTTCCTCAAGTGAGGATTAGAATTTATCGTAGGCAGCAGCATTTCTTCCTTTGCAAAAGACTTTTTAAGACTGTATTTAAGTGTGCCTGTTTGAAAGTTCTGCTCTAGAGCTTGCTGTTTTGGGCAGAAAGCCATCCCTCTCAGTGGGCAGCTCCCCAGAGCTGACCCCCTGGCTCCTTGGTCCCGGAATCAGAGTGCACCCCGGGAGGTTCCTGTGTGGGGAGGAGCTTCGGGGGGCATCCTGAGTCCTGGACCCAGTCCTCGCTCTGCCACTACACTCCAGGTCATGCTAGGCAGATCACTTCCTGTCTCTGGCCCTGGGTCTCCTCTTCCCTGAAATCTGAATGACAGCGCCATCCTGCCCTCTGAGCTCCTGAGAGTTCTCATGTGAACGTGCTTTCTAGATTATAGAAGTGGCAGCACTAACTGCCTTTGTCTCCTTCTCTTGTTTCAAATGCATCACCTCCTGAATCCTGTTTCAGGTCACTCTTCTCTCTTACGTGGGTTATTCCAGCAGCCTCCAGACTCACTCCTCCAGTTCAAAACATAGATCTCAGCTTGACATTGCCCTGCCTGGCACCCTTGAGTGGTCCCCACAGCCGTCACACTTCTGGCCTTGCATCCCATGCCATCCTTTCCCTGCACCCTGGGCTCAGCTGTATGAACTGCTTCGTTCTCTCTGAATATGTCATGACTGCTCACCTCTGTGCATCTGCATCTGCTTGTTCCTCTGCCTGCGTTTCTTTCCCTCCTCGGGGTTAGCACCCCTCGACTGAGCTCCCACACCCCTGACCACCCAGAAGGGAAACTGCCTGTTTACTTGTCTGGACAAGAGAGTCCTTCCAGGGAGGGGGCCAGGCCTGCTCACTCTGTCTCCCCCATGTCCTGCACAGGGCCTGGCAGGAGAGGTGCCCGGTGAAGATCTGAATGAATGCCTGTGTGTGTCTGGTACTTTACTGTATTCTTATTCAGTTGTCTCTCAAATGCTGATGACAGTGGAACTAAAACTTTTGACAGTTTATTCTCCTTCTTTTATTTTGCATTTTGTAGATGGTGACAGATGTCCCATGTCAATTGATAATTCATGCGAGCTGTTTGATTCCACCCTGGCAATGCCACCAAGATCAGGTACGAAGCTGAAGTCAGGGTAACCGCAGCAGGGTTGGGTTTGGCAGTAGGACTTTTTAAATTGAAGAAAAGGGGGTCCCTGGTCCCAACTCAAGAAGGGGTTTGACAGGATTTGGGGTTTCAGGTTCTCAGCATCTCTAGCTGGTGATCTTCTCCAAGCCAGTTAATCTATTCCCAGATGTCGCCAACCTCAGTGACGTCATTGGGTCCCTGTTGCCCTGGATTAAAGTGTGACCACCTTAGCGTGGCTTTCAAGGTCCTCCACATCGACCCCAGTAGGCCCGTTCAGCCTGCTCCCTCTGCCCTTACGCTACCCGGTTGGGTCACCGTCCTGCAGACGGGCCTGCACTTCCCTCTCCCTGGGACTGTGCAGTGTGGCTCCCTCCTTTTCCAGGCCGCCTTTGTCCCATTCTCTGCCAGTGAAAATCCTCCTACTTCTCAAGACTCCTTATGAATGCAAACTTCCCTGTGAAAGGCCTTTCCTGATGTCCCCAGTCAGAATTATTCATCCATGCTTCTGTTGATCCAAAGGTAAAAAGTGATAAGCTTTTACCTCTTTTTAGTGTAATTCTTACTACCTGTTCAACCCAGCTCTATTGTTGCTTCTTCTAGGAAGCCTTCCCTGATCTCCCTTCCTGCACAGAGAATTGGTTATTTTTTCCTCTGAGCTCCGGCTCCTCGTCATTGGGCTGTTACATCTCCCACACGGTGTCTATATTCCAGTTAGACCACGGGCTCCTGGAGTGCAGGCCCTGGCTTGATGAATCTGTGTAAATCGGGGGTCTTCTGCAGAGTGGGTGCCTGACACGTGTTTGCCGAATTGAATTGAGTTTCTCCCACAGGATGAATAAGCTCAGCCTGGAGTAATGTACAGACTGAGGCCCAGGAGCCAGGCCTCTTTCCCCTCTGGGCTCGGTCATGTGGCATTTGGGCCCGAAGGCCGCTCTTAGCTCTCCTAACTGGCTTCAGCATTGTTGAACGCAGCTCATTGAACATAGGGTGCTGCCCCAAATAGATCTGACATCTTCCCTCTCATTCTGTAGCTTCAGGGACTCCTCCACTCTCTGGAAATGACACGGACTCCCTCTCCTGCGACAGTGGCAGCTCAGTCATCAGCACCCCCTGCATGTCCCACCTGGTCCCTGGCCACCGCCTGTGGGCCAGCAAGAGTGGCCACCACATCCTGGGCCTGACTGAGGACTACGATGCCCTGTGCAAGCAGATTGGCCAGGGCCAGAAGCTCCTTGCCGAGATGGACATTCAAATCCAAGAGGCTCCCAGCCCCACGAGTCAAGAGCTGGGAACAAAGGTAACCCAGCTGACAAAGCTGGAAGGAGAGAGGCTCACTGGGAATAGCAAGTGGGCGGGGCCAACTGAGGGTGCTGGGAGGCTGGGGGCACACATGTCCTTAGTAAGGCCCTGAGAGGAGGGACCGGAAGTGTAGCCACAAAAGCTCAGAGGTCAGGTCCAGGCTGGGGGACTGTCCGTGGTTTTTCTGTGGGAGGGACACTTGCTGAGGTCTGCACCCTGTGTAACTGATCGCCTCACTGGGATCTGCGGCACTGCCCCGTTACTGCCACTGTTGTTCCAGTCTCATCCGTCCTTCTGTCCTTCAGTCCGTCTGTTCATCTCCCCAGTCACCTATCCGTCACCCACCCAGGCCTCTGTGCTCAGGCTCTGGGGCTGCTGTGGCGAACAGGATAGCTACAGGTCCTGATCCTCATGCAGCAGAGGGTCACCCGTACCGTAATTCCTCAACTGCTTTGTGATGAGCGTGCCAGTGTGAGACTCTCATCTCAAGATTGTTGGCGGCTGCCATCTCTCCTTGCAGAGGAGCTTTTAATCTAGTACTTCCGTTCATCACCGAACAGCCCTTGAAGCAGGTGATGTCCTTCCTACTTTACAGATGCTGAGGTGAAGTGACTTGGAGCGGTCAGGATTTGAACTCAGTTCTTTGTCTGCCAAGGGCTCTCTTTCTGCCTCAGGACACTGCTTCTTGAAGACCATTGCTAGTCACCTCGCTCACCTGTGCAGAAACCTCCACTCCCCCTGGGTACTGTTGGACCCCAGGGGTTTCTGATTTCTAGGTCTGCTTCTGCCTACCTCCCCACCGTCCTCTCCCAGTTTCCCCCCATGTGCCCTGCTCCCATCTGACTGGGCTCTGTGCTGTTGTCCCTGTTGGCCAACCACATCCCGTCTCCAGCCCTGGCGCCCTGTGCACTCTGCCTTGGAGGACCCCTCAGCCCCTTTGCCATCCCCTCCTTCCTGCCTCATCCTACTGGAATCCTTCTTATTTTAAAGTTACCTTTTGTGGGACTCATGTGCCGGGTACTTGACATAAAGTTACTCAATCACTTCCTCCAAGACTTGGGGTCAAACTTCCTTCCCCCTACCCCAGACTGGACCCAACCTCCGAGCTTCCAATGGCTCACATTTTCTGGTCCCTCTTCTCAGGTCCCTACTGAGGATACTTAAGCTCCCTGCTTCCTGATACTGGTTTTGCCTTTTTGTTTTATTTTGTTTTACTATATTGTAAAAGTCAGTTGTGCATTTTCTATTCCAATAGACAAGGAGCTTCAGGAGAGCAGGGAGGCAGTGTCTATTTTGCTCAATATGGTATATTTACCACCTAGCACAGGGCCTGGCACGGAATACGTGCACGGTAAATATTTGTTGAATGAATTAATAAATATTAATAAGATTGTTCTTTTCTAATTATAGTCTTTTTTGGTACAAAAGCTAGAAACTGTAGAAAAGCATAGGAACAACACATCTATGAAAATACCACATAATGCTCAACACTTAAAATTTTGATATATAAATTTAGCTCATTCATAAAGTTTAATAAAACTGACTCATACATATATGAATTCCATATTTTGACTTTCAGTTAGACCTTAAATTAATATTTTTCCTATCTCATTCACTATTTTTCTGGAACTTGACTCCTTTTTTTTTTTGTGAGGACGATTAGCCCTGAGCTAACATCTGCTGTCAATCCTCCTGTTTTTGCTGAGGAAGATTGGCCCTGAGCTAACATCCATGCCCATCTTCCTCTTTTTATATGTGGGATGCCTGCCACAGTATGGCTTGACAAGTGGTGCATAGGTCCACACCCAGGATCGGAACCGGCAAACCCCAGGCTGCTGAAGTGGAATGTGTGAACTTAACTGCTGCGCCACCAGGCTGGCCCCTGGAACTTGACTTCTAATGGCTGAAAATAAGCTAACATATGAATGTTCCACAATTTATTTACTTTCACCTGTTTGTTGGACATTTAAGCTGTAATAAGCATCCCTACGAATAGATCTTTCATCATAACTTTGACTAGTTCGTTAGGGATGAATTCCTGAAAGTGGAATTACGAGCTCAAACGTCGTGAACTGTTCAGGGCTCTTGATAACTCTGGCTGGATTACTTTCCAGAAATACTAGGTCTTTGGTTATGAGTGAGAGTATCTCCCTACACCTTTGTCTTCACTGAGGATTTTTATTCATAAATAATTTTTTTTGCCAATTTGATAGCTAAAAGGGGTGTGTAGTTTTATTTTGTGTTTATTTTATTACTTGTGAAGACAGTACTCTTTTAATCTCTTTGTAAAATTTATTTTGTGTTTTCCCTTCTCCGACTCGTGTTCTTTGCCTTCTCATGCCCTTGACATCCCCCGCTTTGAGGTTGCTTCTGCTAGCGGAGAGGGGGAGAGACTTGACAAGGCCTTGGGGTCAGATTGATAGTAAGCAGAGCTGTTTAGCAGGGGCTGCACAAAAGCATTCGTGTTGCATCACTTGCCGTTGGCGTCTTCTGCCTTCTGGAGAGGCTCCAGGGGCGGTGCAGCAGTGCGAGCAGTCCTACCACGGACCAGCTTCTTGGCGTAGCAAACATAGTTAACGCAGGTGGTTATTAATCATGGTTCTTGATTGGGCTAAAATCACCACCGAAATTCTCTCATAATCTATAATTCACCAGTCTTTAAGAACAATAAATTGGTGTCATCTGGCACCAAGCTCTTGCTCAGCATGTGGAGCACAAGCCCTGTGGTCTAGAGATTTATGCTGCCCATTAAAGTTGGCTTGTCCATAATCTTTTTCAAGACAGCGTGCAACAACCTTCTCATCCTCTTGTGCAGGGTCCACACTCAGCGCCCCTGAGCAGGTTTGTCACCAGCGTGAGCACAGCCAAGCTGATCCTGGATGAGGCCTCGAGGTTACTGACACTTCTCTGGAGGGTCTCACTCCCCACAAATGGCCAGTGCACGCTTCACTGTGAACAGGTGGGTGACACATGGATTCAGAGGCTCAAGGATGCCACTGGGGCCTGTGTCTCAGTGTCCTCCATCCCACAGCGGATGTGCCTCAGTTTGGGGAATGTGTCAGAGGGCAGGGGAGCCATTGTGTTTGTCACAAGCGATGTGCCAGGAACTGAGTTTGTTAAGAGTGACATGCTAGGCACTGTGCTGTCTGCTCCAGGTGTGTCCTTACCTGATCCCCCAGCACTCCTGCAGTCTCGGCCTGTGGCCCTGCCCCAACTGTGTCCCCACTTCTAGCACATCTTTGCTGGGGGAAATCCTGTCCTCATTTTACATGTGAGGAAACTAAGGCTCAGGGAGTGCAGTGCGGACTCAGGGTTACAGAGCTGGCTTGAAAGCACAAGTGTCTGAATCCAGAGGGTGAACGTGCATTTTATAGGCTTCAAGTCCCATTTTGTCCTCGTGGACTAGCTCATTCCTTTCTACTCAAAATCTCTTTCATTTTAGATGCCTTTCTCTGAACTGTCTGATTCCTTTTGATAGCTTTCAGCATCATATTTTAGTAGGGCTTTTTCAAATCTGTTTTAACTACTTAGAAACTACCTTTTTTTAACCAATGAAAATCATTTATTATAAAACCATTGAAATTTCCCTTAAAAGCTCGACTTTGCAGTAACTGGGACGTGACTGAATTAAGGACAGTTGCTCCCACACCCGTCCTCATCCCCATCCTTCATGGCACGAATCAGGAGTCAGGCAGAGCAGAAGCGCTCCTGGGTTTTTGTCTGTGGGAAACACGTAGTGTTTTGACACGGGGAGCCCCCACTCTGGTAACCAGCGACACCTCCCCTTATGAAGAAGGAGCTCGCAGGTCAAGGAGGAATGAGAACTCTTTGCTTGGTGGCCTGATAGGTATTTCCCCCTTCATTCATCTAACCTGTAAATTCTTGCCAAAGGCCAGCAGGAAGGTGGAAGGGAAATTTGCATTCCATGTCATTACTCATCTACTTAAACCCCCGCTGACAGCTCTCAGATCTGTCAGCCATGGCAGAGAAGCAGCGTGAAGCAGCCCTGCTGCTGGGAAGGTGCTAATGAGCCCGTCCTGAGAGTTCCTCTTGGGATCCTGGGGAGGAGGTTTGGGTGCACTAAGTCAGGAAAGTACCTAACCAGTGACTGCTCAGGAAAATCATGTTTTGCCCGCTTTTAGCTGGTGGTGGCATGGAGTAGAAGGTGGGGGGCGGTCAGAGATGAAGAGGGGGCCCACTGGATTCCAGCCCCACTTTGGCCTTTCCTTTTCTGCTAACCCATCAAGCTCTTTTCCAGCTTAGGCTTAGCTGACAAAGATGCTCTGCCTGCCTGCCCCCGACCTTCCTCCCGGCTGGCTGGCTTCTTCTCACCTTTCAGCTTAAAGGTTACTTCAGGGTCAGAGAGGGCTCCCTGATAACTCAGTCATACTATCCTCTTCTGCCTCATGATAACCCTTATCACAGATTATAATTATATATTTCTTTGCTTAATGTCTTTCTCCCTCTATTTTCCATGAGGATCCATGTCTATTTTGTTCATATTTTTGAATGAATGAATGATTTCCTCTCATACTCCCAAACTAGTACTTGCCCATATGATTTTTAAAGCACAGGATGTCTGAACTAAATAATTCATCCTCAGTGCTCTGTTTTGTCCTCAGTGCAGAGTAGTATCTGTGAAATAGATGGAATGCAGTTCTTATTATGTGTGTGTGTGTGTGTAAATATAAATTATACTCAGTAGCAAATTAGTCCAGGGACTGGTCAGTGCTTGTGATGATTCACCCCTTCTTTTGAGGGTTTCTCAGGTAACTGATTTTGCTCACTTTAGCATCATAGAATTTTAGAGCCTGGAAAAGGACCTTAGAGAAGCTCGAATCTGGTTGCTGGTGTACACAGACCCCTGTGTGGTGTCAAATTGCCTCTAGCCACTTTTCTGTCCCTGCCTGTGTTTCACGTAGTGCCTTTTTCTTGGTGTGAAGTGTGTGTAAACCAGATTTCCAAGTTTTCGCCAGCAACCCCAGAGGTGTTTTACTACCTAGTGTTTTCTCTGAGTGTCGTTAATTTGCCTTTTGCATAAGACCCCATCCCCTGCAGTCCCTAGGATTACTCTGGAAAGTGTGTATTATATCCATCAGTTGATCTAAGAAAGTTGTAGGGGGAGATACAAGTATCTACATGTATTCGTTTATAAAAAAATTTTTTTTTTTTAAGATTTTATTTTTTTCCTTTTTGTCCCCAAAGCCCCCCAGTACATAGTTGTATATTCTTCGTTGTGGGTCCTTCTAGTTGTGGCCTGTGGGACGCTGCCTCAGGGTGGCTTGATGAGCAGTGCCATGTCTGCGCCCAGGATTCGAACCAACGAAACTCTGGGCTGCCTGCAGTGGAGCGCGCAAACTTAACCACTCGGCCATGGGGCCAGCCCCTATAAAAATTGTTTTAAATAGAAAGATAAACAATAACAACAGAAGCTGCCTTGCTTGTAGGTGGGAAGGAAGAGGAGGGAAGGGCAGGGTTAGAAGGTAGGTTTCTCTGAATAGACCTTGTTCTGTAAATGGGACTTTGAAACTGTATAAATGCTTTACATAATGATAAATAAAACTAAATCAAAATGGGTGAAAAAGCAATTTCTAAAAATTCATAGCAAGATGAAACAAACAGGCTTTATTATATGTAGTATTGGAGGCATAACCACACACAAAGGAAACATTTCAATGACTAAAACACAGTAATTTGACTGTTTACTTCTAGTGGAAGTATACTCAGGGCAAAAAACAAAAACAAACAAAAAAATGGCCCCCAAACTTTAAAGTGTTTTCAGTGATTATATTGATAGTAATAATATTGGCGTTGATATTTTGAAACATATTTCTATTGTAGAATAAAAGTTATATTGAGATTTTACTGTCAGGGAAGAGATATAAATAAAAAAATCAAAAAAGTAAATACTTGGGGCCGGCCTGGTGGCATGGTGGTTGGGTTCACACACACGGCTTTGGTGGCCCGAGGTTCATGGGTTCGGATCCCAGGTGCAGACCTACACACTGCTCATCATTCCGTGCTGTGGTGGCATCCCACATCCAAAATACGGGAGGATTGTCACAGATATTGGCTCAGTGACAGTCTTCCTCCAGCAAAAAGAGGAAGATTGGCAACAGATATTAGCTCAGGGCCAATCTTTCTCACCAAAAATAAATAAATAAATAAATAAATACTGTAATCCTTAATTTGAATTAGAAATATTGGTGTGAACTCATGATGTAGTTCCTATTAAAATATTTACTAGTTCTCTCTACTTAAAAGGCTTTAAAAATGTCCATTCCAGTACCAGTGAGCACCTTAGTGCCAAATTCTGGTTTCTAAATACCTTTTCCTATTAAAAGGAACTAGGACTCCTCAGAGAAATGGCTTGATTCTAGGTCTGAGGCAGGAAATGTACAATATGAGCTTAGAATATCTTTTCATCCTAGGAAGAAAGAGGGAGTGAAACTTGCAGATTTACAGTGGTTCTCAAATTATATGGTCCCTGGACCAGCAGCATCAGCATCGTCTGGAAGCTTGCTGGAAAGGCAAATTTTTCGGGTCTCACCCCAGACCTACTAAATCAGAAAGCCTGGGAGTGGGCCAGCTGTCTGTTTCCACAAGTTCTCCCAGTAGCCCTGAGAGCCAATGGATTAAGAGAAACTTAAGAGATATGTTAATCAAATGCAAAACGTGGAGTTTACTTGGATCCTGAATCAAACCAATTGTTCAAAACAATTAAATTATGATGCAATCATGGAAGTGTGTCTACTGATGTAAATTTGGTGATACTAAGCAATTATTGTCATTGTTTTAGATGTGATAATGAAATTTTTTTTAAAGAATCTTTTTCTGCTAGAGCTATATACTAAAATATTTTATGGATGAAATATGATTGACTTCTAGGATTGATTTTAAAAATAATTCTGGGGTGAGGATGGGCAGGGATGTAGAAGAAAACAAGTTTGGCCATGATTTGATAAGTGCTGACGCTGGATGGGCACCTGCTGGTTCATTAGCCTATTCTTTCTACTTTTGTAAATGGGTGAGATTTTCCATTATAGAAAAGAAAACAACCAACCACAAAAACCAGCTCCACAAATCAGGCAAACACCATGAATAAGTTGGTAGCCTCCTGGGAGGGCTGTGGTTTCCGGCTCTGGGCTCAACCCCGCGGCCCTGAGGAAGAGTCGCTCTGTGAGCCCCAGGGAGGTCGGGCGCTCTGCTGTACACTCAGCATCTCGTGTTATCACTCCCCGTGGCTCTCCGAGAGTTAAAGTTATCGTTCCCACTTTCCAGAAGTAAGAACGGAAACTTCCTGGCTCCATCGTCCTAACGGCCGGAAGTGACCGTGCTGGGCTCTGAAGCCCTGTTGTTTTCACCATGATGGGCTCATCCAGTAAGAATGAAGATTTTAGTTCAGAGGAGCAGCAGACGCAGAAGTAGTTAGAACGCCTCACTTTACGTGCTGGACAGAATCTGGGCAGGGGGTTTTGAGAGTGCTGGTGAAGATTAACCCACCAGTGGGCAGATGGTCTCACGGTACCTACTCTGTGCCAGGCTCGTGGTCAGAGGCAAGAAGTGAGTTCTGCCCTCAGGGAGCTTATAGTCCAGGAGGGGAAGCAAACAAGTAAATGACTAGTTATAATCCAATGTGAAATGGGCGCAGTGGGCGCAATGGCCACCCAAGGGAGCAGTAGTCAACTTAGACTCCTGCTGGGGAAGAGTCTCAAGGAAAGCTTCCTGGAAGAGGCGACGCCTGAGCTGACTTTAGAAAGAGGAGTAGAGGTTAGCCTGGCAGGGTGTGAAGTGATGCTCCTCCTCGTCTGCAGGCGTCCCTCACTGAGTCTCACTCGACTGCAGGGGGTAGATGGGGCAGCGAGCAGCCCTGTCTGACAGATGTGGAGGAACCAAGGCTCTGAGTGTAGAGTGACTTTGTCGTAGACTGTGTGGCCTGTGAAGCCACGGCCGGAACACAGATCCTTGTGGGCTCCTAGCATGAGGGAGAGAATGGAAGAAAACCTAATGTTTAATTTAGGATCTCTTTCGGAAGAACAGCTGAAGTCCTTGTAGCTGGCACGATTGGTTAATCTTAAGAGTAGGTTAAAGCAGGGAATCAAAAAATGATACATACCTTAAACGTTTTAGTTTAACTTAAAGCAGCGAAGTGTACGTTCACGCGCCATTCTTTTGGTGTAGGACCAGGGCCTTTTCTTTGAATGTGGGTCTGCTGGTTGAGTTCCACATCTGCTTTCTTTCATGAACTACATCCGTAATGTATCTGTCACTTCCAACTTCTGTTTAAGATGAAGAAAAAACTTCAGACACTTGCAAAGTAATTCGAATATGGAATTCTTCTAGACTGTCTTCCTCCCACCTCTTTTATAGTTGATTCACCCATACCTAATTTGCCAGAAATGTGTTTTTTAGTGACTTGCCTTTATCAAGTCTTTCCTGAAGCATATGTTAGTTTTCATACAACGCGTTCCCTCTTTTCATACACATATTTCATAGTCTTCCTTTATGCTAAATTAAATTGTGTGCCTTATTACAAGTACACCTGCTATAAACAAATTTGGGAAAAAACGAAAGTGACTGTAAACTGACAGCCCGACACCTCCCCTCCTGGGAGCAGAGGTGTTCGATGGAGCAGGAGTGCCTGTGCCAGCGACCCTTACAGTGGGGAATTTACGAGAAGGGGAGTGTCCTTAACCCTGTGAACTAGTTCAGCGGAGACTAGTTAAGAGAGCCTCTGCCGTGTACTGTGTCACTTCTGAGGACCGGCGGCTCTGCTTCGGCTGCCTGGCCACTCTAGCGTCACTTCTGAAAAACTCAGAACAGGTTGTCCTAATAGACCATACCCTCCTAATAATACTTTGATGTGCTCTTTTTTAGATTTAAGCATTAACATTTTTTTAAAAATCAGCATTACAGTTTTTGAAAAAAATTCAGACAATTCTGATAAATGTAAAAAAATGAGAAATACAAGATTCTAAATCATGTCGCTCAGAGATAATCACTATTAACATTTTGATGATGTCTCTGTCATCAAATTTTTCAGACATCTTGATATACACATCTATGGATATAGATATATGTATTCAATATCATTATGTCACTAATTAATTAATTAATGGATTCTGTAACATCGCTTTTAATAGCTGCAAAATTATTCCATTGTATGTAAGTACCATAATTTATATATCTTCTCCTGTTGAAACAAATCAGGTTGTTTCTTTCTTTCCTACTCTGAGTGATGCTGAGAGGAATGTCCTTGAACATAGGCCTTATCTTGTGCGTATGTGATTATTCCTTCGGGTAAATGCCAACGTGCAGAACTGCTGGGTCCAAGGGCTAAGTGCGTTTTACAGTCTGGTGGGTCCTGCCAGGCGTCCACCCGGGCCGTCCTCAGTCACGGTTCCACCAGCAGGAGAGCACACTTGCCCCACGGCCTCTCCAGCCCTGGGTTTTGCCTGGGTTTGCCCGTCTGACCAGCAGAAAATGGCTTCTAGGTTTTATTCAAACATCTTTGTTAGTAAGCTTGAGTATCTTTTTATGTTTTTTTAATTCTTCCTGTGTGACAAGACATTTTATATTCTTTGTTCGTTTTTGTAATTCCTTTTCTCTTTAGACTGGAGAAATGAAGGCAGAGATCAGCAAACTACACGAAAAATTGTTTGAACAAGAAAAGAAGTTGCAAAACACTGTGAAGCTTTTGCAGTTGAGCAAGCACCAGGAGAAAGTCATCTTTGATCAACGTAAGTGAGCGGTCGGGGGGAGGCCGCCATGTCCGGCCACTTCCTGCCTCTGAGGACTAAAAAGCCAGCCCTAGGGTACCCACTTTGGAACCCAGACCGTGTGTCATCACGCCTCCTATTTATGGGTTTTCTTTCATACTTCACCCTTCCTGACCTGCGCAGACAAAAGAATTCACTTAGCAGACCTTTGCAGAGGGGCCACTCGATGCCCAGGACTGTCATCTCATTGGAGACAGGCGTATGGCATGCGCAGGGATGGGAACCTGTGTAGGATCTTAGGGAGCACTGAGGTGGGAGTGGGGATGGTGTCAGTCTGTCCCGGGAGGTGGGCTTCTTAGACAAAGCGACACCTGAGCTGGGTCTGCAAGGGGGAGGAGGCGTTGGTCAGATTGAAAGGGGACAGCGTGGGCAAAGGCAGAGAGGTGAGAAATGAGGTTTTGTGTGTGAGAAACCAACAACAGTTCATGTTGCTGGAGCGAGAGCTGCAAGTAGCCGGTTGGGGCAGGAGGGGTCAGGTGGACCAGGACGGCATCATGAAAGGCCGTAGGTGGCAGGATCGGGGGGCTCACCCTTAGAGCAGAGCACAGATCTGTCACTTCTGTGTGTAAGAAAGGCGTGCTGGTGGCTGCTCCACCAGAGGAGCCGATTCACTGGTCCAGGCAGGCGGGAAGGAGGGCCTTGGCTGGGCATTGGGGATCCAGAGGAGGGGACGGATTTGAGAAATGCTTCTCAAGACCGATGCAGAGATGCAGGGTCGGAGGGGTTGAATAACCTTCGTAAGGTCAGCCTGCGCCCTGATCTGGGGGCTTCCAAGATTGTTGGGAGCAGCTCTGTTTCCCAGTTTAAAGCCTCAGCTCTCATTCCCCTGCATGTTGAGAGGCACAGGTGGTCACCCAGCTGCTTCCAGCGCCTCTTGGCAGCGCAGCCCTGGCCAGCCCCGGGCTGTCGCCTGTCAGCCGCTGTCTGAGGAGGACTGCTGACTGCAGCGCTGTTCCCTCCGGAGGTGCCAGCCTGCCTTTGCCGCTCTCTTACCAAAGGCCAGCATTTCTGGGGCATTTCTGAGAAGCACAGAACATAGGTTATTGTCAAGTAGGAGTTCTCCTTAGCCCCCCCGGCAGCATTCTGAAAACAGACTCTGCGAGAATGACAGGGTTTGAACTGCAAAAGAGAGACGCTGAGTCCCTGAGCAAGTGCTGAGTTCCTGCACCAAGCCCCCATGCCAGCCGCTGGGGACAGAGGTGAACGGAACCGTTCCTTCCAGCATGGCGCCTTGGCTTAATGGAGGATACACACGAATGAGCTGTGGGATTGTGTGCTGAGTACATCCAGGCAGCCTGAGAGGTGGTTCAAGGCTCTAGACTGATTGGATGAGTAGGAGTTAGAAGAGAAGTGGTGGGAACAGGATTCTGGCAGGCGGCCCCACGGGCAAGAGCTAAGTATTCAGGAACATGCTTAGGGCATGCCAAGGCTTTTGCTGTGAGAGCTGAAGTGGGAGGGATAAGTAGGAACCAGGTCACAGGGGACCTTGTGGGCCGGACTCAGGAACGAGCAGCAGGGACTGGCGTCCACTGTGTGTTCAAAGGTCCCCACGGCTAAGCATGGAGGGCCAGCAGGCGGAGACCCCAGCGGGCAGTGGGGAGGCCTGACGTGACCGGGGCAGGGCCATGGAGGACAGGGTCTGGTTTTGAAAGGTCGTCAGGAGGTGGCCCTGACAGAGTGGTGAATGTCTGTGGGGTTGTGGCCTAGGGGTTCATGCCACTTGTAGGGCCAAGGAGCACTGGAGGGGACATCCGGGGAGAAGGGCCAGTCATGGACGGGTCTTCTGTGGCTGTGGAACGATTGGGCCAGACCCCTGGAGCAGCAAGGGGCTGGGAACTGGCGCCTTTGTACAGCCCCCAAGTCCAGGGAAGTGAGAACTCGGCATTGGCATCTTTCCTCCTTGACTCCCTAACAGTCACGGGCACAGGAAGTAACCCTGTTCACAGGGGAGGAAGTTTTGGAAGTGGGTAGTAGGTTCCGCTGGGTGAGTTACCGTGGCAGATCCAGAGGACAGGAGCCAGCCCCGGAGCCCCAGGTTGGTGAGCACGGAATCACTGAATGAGCACAGTCCAGATCTCCACTCTCCTGTGTGACCTGGAATAAATGACTTGAACTCTCTGGGCTTTAGATTCGTCACCTCTGACTGGAGACAGTAATTCCAAAGGACTTAGACTGGCCAGAGGGCCCGGGTTCTAATCACAACTTTATAACAAGGGCCTCAGTTTTCTGACCTGTAAAATAGCCATGGTAGTGAAACCTAAACTGAGCTGTGCCTTTCCTGGGACAGAGTAGATGCTCAACAAATGTTAGTTCTCCGCTGCTTTTTTTCCATTAGGTCAGACTGTGTCCTGTGTATGGAGGTGGCAAACCATTAGTCAGAAACACCTCAAGTGTGTCGTAGCATTTCCCATGATAAGATGATGTCATCCATCTCTGTATCTCCAAGGCCTGGTGCAGAAACAGGGGCTCAGCTCTGAGCCAGGTGAGGGGTTTGCCCAAGATCACACACCTGGTGGCTGACCCGGGCCTGTGACTCCTTCTTCTGTGCCAGGCTCTGCAGCCCATCCCAACGAGTCAGGTCCTTGGAAATTTCCTGAACCCTGCCAGCCTCACAGGTCTGCTTCTGGCTCTGAGTGAGAGTTGGTGTATGTAGCCTCCCCTCCTCTCCCTTCCCTGTGTGGTGACGGCTAGGAGCAAGGGCCCAGGGCACTTGAACACCACATCTCCTCCCAGTCTGCAGGGGAAGGAAGGAAAGATGCCATCGTGAGCCTCAGGAACCCCTGCCACTCCCTCGCCACGTGACCTGGAGCCACCCACTGCACTTGCAGCCTCTCAGACAGGAGTGCCTCCCGCACAGGGCTGAGGGTGTTCACTGAGGTCACAGCTGGCAAAACATTGTCACCAGCCAGACACCGCTGAGGCAGGGTCGCCCTTGCGGCCCCCACTGAGGTGGAGAGAGCCCTGTGCTGAGCTGGGCAGAGCTGAGCTGGAGTCCGCGTCTGCAGTGGGCAAGTCTTGTTTGAGACGAGCTCCTCACTGCTCTGTTCCTTGGGCTTCTTGTCACAGTGGGGACTTCTGTGCCCTGGGAGGTGGGCAACACTGTTTGACGTGTGGGCCCTGTGCCACCTGGGCAGCTGAGCCTGGGCTCTTCCACCGAGCCTTCTGCTTTCGTTGCTTTCAGTACCATCTCAACATTATTTCTAACCTCCACAGCTGTGATACGTAATCTTTTCTGGGCACAGGCCCCGTGGTGAATCTCAGCAGAGGTACGACCTCTCTCCCCAGAAAAACGCATACATCCTGAGATGCACGAAGACTTGTGCATAGTTTCCGGGGACTTAGGACGCTCCACAGCATATCCCTGGATGCAGGTTAAGAGCTCCTGGGACAGGCGCTACAGCATCGGGTTGGGAGAAGGTCAGAGAGGCAGTGGGCGCCTCTGAATTTCATTTTGCCCAGTTAAAAACGAAGCCCACACCATCTGTCCCTTCCCCCCGTGTCACAGATTGCAAACAGACTTTGTTACCTTCAGATGGAAATTTTTGTGAGGCAAGAAATAAATATTTTCTCCAGGCCACCACATGGCACCTCTTCTGAATGAGCCCCTGGGGAGCTGGCTGTGTGTGCGGACACGAGTCCGTCTCAGCCTCGGGCGCTGTTGGCCAAAAGCCCAGTTCCCCAGGAAGTAGCCTGACTGCCTGGCCTCCCCAAATGCTGTTCAGAACAGACTCTTGATCGGGCTTAGAAATCTTTCTGTGGTGGCGTTCACGCTGCCACTAGAGTTTGCTGGACAAGAGAAAGACTGAGGGAAGAAGCGATTTACTTTGCTGCCCGTCCCTTCTGTGGGTTCTGATACACTGCGGATCTGCCCCCCGCATAGCTCGGAGCGTCAGATCGCCAGGGACTTGGAAATCTTCCCGCCCTGCCCCCTCCCGGCCTGGTGGAATGCGGCTGGCCGAGGGGAACCCCACTGGGTGCTTCTCCCAGCTTAAGAGGAAGATGCCCAGAGTTGTTTTTCCTCAGTCATTCGGAGCCTGCGCTAAGAGCCGCTGGGTGAAAATCTAACTTCACAGAACTGCCCTGCATCCTTGACTTGGGGCTTCACACGTGGGTTTGCTTGGCGTGGGGCCCACCCCTTCCCAGAGCTGCTTCTCCGGAGGGCGATGCTCAGGTGCAGGCCTCCCCCACAGAGGTGAGCCCTGGGCGTACCTGGGCATCCAGCTGGCCTTGCAGAGCCTCGGTTTTGTCGTCTGTGACATGGTGTAGCATGCTTTACCCTCTGCTATCACTGGGAGGTTGTGGCTTAGCGTGGACTTGAAGAGGTGTCTGGTCCACCCTTTCCACTGGATTATTAGGTCCTGGGGTGTGTGATGGGCAGGTGGGGCCTTCACGCCTCTCTCTGGTCTGGGTGCTTCAGGGTTGTCCACACATCCAAACCCTTTGGGCCCGGGTCTCCTTCCTGCATGTGGCCTTTCCACTGACTTCCAGGGCATCTGTGTCTCATCATCCCATACTTTGCTCTCTCCTCAGTGGTCGTCACTCACAAAATCCTTCGGAAGGCCAGAGGAAACCTGGAGGTAATGTCCCTTTGAGCTTCCTCATGGAAAGCAATTTGGAGGTGGGGCATGGCTGGTCATGACTTCTATTAAAAAGCGAAGTTGAGGGTGAAACCAGGGGACGTGTCCTGCACAGTCGTGTTTTTCTGCCAGCAGTGCATGAGAAGTTTCATTTTATCATGCCATGTTTTCAACGGTTGTTCTGATTATTATATTTGTATGCTAGTTTACCAGTGAGAAATACAGCAGAGACAGTGCCTGGCACGTAGTAGGCATTTGATAAATATTTCTTGAATGAATGAGTACAGTGTGCTCCCGTTGTCACTTGGTTCTGTGAATATTTGCTGATCAAACAGTATGTCTTTGAAAGTAGTTTCAGAATAACAGTCTCAGCTTGAGTTCTGTCAGGGATCCTACTTTGGAAACCCTCCATTGGACCTAAAATTCTCCTTTTTTCCTCCCTTTTCCTAGCTTAGGCCCGGGGGCATCCACCCAGGAACGTCCAGTCCCAGCCGACCAGGCTCCTGAGGAGAACTTCCAGCCAATAAAGCTTGTGGTTCCCAACTGAGCTTGCGCTGTCTCTCTGTTACACGCCTGGTTCCCCTTATTGAGGAAAGGGCTGTCTGACCAGAGGAAATGCATGTTTCCCCATAATGTTTTCTACCCTGAAGTTGGTTTAAGGGTTGCTGTCAGACAAGGTTCGGGTCTGCAAAAGCTGTTCGAAAGGTCTGGAGCTCCCGGGCGCTGGGCGTTTCCCTCGGGGGCCGGCCCTGGAGCTGAGGCGTCATAGCCGCGCACAGGGACGGCCTCACGGCCCCCAGCCAGCCCCACGGTTGGAAGATGCTCATCACATGATTCATTTCATCTTGGTGATTGACGTGGCGCCTCAGGGCCCAGTCCCCAACTCCAGGGGGCACAGGCTGGGTCTCAGGAGGGGCGGGGCCCTCAGATATCTCCCAAGCTCTCTGCCGAGCCCTGTCGGGTGGCTGGGGCACTGGTGCCGTGCCTGGCCTGGACTCACCCTTTCACAGTGACATCCGAGAGCAGCCCCCTGAGGTGGTGCCGTTCCCAGAGTGGGAAAGATCCCGTGAGGCCTGGCGTTGCAGGGTGTCATGGTGACTGATCCTGCCACCCACCGTCCACGCTGCCCACTGTGTTTGCTACAACCCTGTTGTTGACCTCATGTTTAATTTTCCTCTGCGTTTTCCCTGAACTTTTTGATGTCCCTGAATAAACAGGGTTGGGCTTGGCTCCTTTGGCAGATGAGTCTCAAGCCTGGCCCAGGGGACCCCTGAGAGGCAGTGGCAGACTGGGACCCCCAGCCTGTCTCTGTCGTGACGCTTCCTGCTCAGCCCTGCAATTGCTGCCTCCCCGCCCAGTGCCCACCACCTCAGTGTCACCGAGCAGGCATTGGCCGGGCAGGTGGGCCTCGTGGAGCAGGCCATACTCAGGGAACATTGTGGATCCTGACTCAGTCTCCCTCTCTGTCCCATTCCTGCCATCATTCTGGGGACTTCATCCTCGTTTGCTTTCCCTCTCAATCCCTCCTCTGACATTTCTCCCTGACCACCGCCTGCTGTCCTTCCAGCTCGCTTCCTTGTCCCCTCCTCTTCTGGGACCTCTTGGAGACCCTAGTGTCTGGTCCCTATACCACTTTCCCTGTCCATAGGCTCCTTTCTTGTTTTCAATTCCTTTTCTCTCAAGTTGCTGAGTCTTGCTTCCCACACCGGAATCCCTCGTCGCCCTGCAGCAGCCCAGGTGTTGAGAGAAAGCACGCCCCTGACCAGGAAGCTGCCCCGCCCAAGACGCTGGAGCGGCTTTGCCCTAGCCCCTGACAAAGTTTATAGGGACCCAGGTCTGGCCCCTGCAGGCACGTCCATGCCTCTCTCCTCTCTCCTCTCGCCTCCTTGCACTCTGTGTCCAGGCAAACCGAACTGTCTTCTGCTCGTGGGAGGTCCCCTTCCCAGCCTCGGCCCAGGGCGCGCGCTCTGTGAGTTGCTCCCTCACCCCTTCTTTTGCTAGCTGGCTGTGAACAGTCCTTCAGAAATCTTCCCTCCCTTGGGGTTGCCGAGCGATGCGACGGCTCCATTTCTCCATCTGGTACAGTTTACAGACATTCGCCGCCCCCATGACCTCACTGGAGGTGGGGATCCTGGGTGATCAGGATCACCCCTGCATTCATAGGACAGCGGAATGACTCGTCCGAGACCCTTAGCTTATGAGTGGTGGAGCCGGGCCTTGATCCCTCCTGTCCTTCCAAACCCCAGACCGCGCTCTCCGCTGCTGCCCCTACAGCTCCCCAGACACGATGAGGATTGGAGGCGACGTGACTGCATCGGCTGGAGGCATAGGGAGTGGAGGAGCAGAAGCCCAGGCTGGGAGTCGAGGAATCGACCTCATCAGGGGCCCCGCCTCTCTGCTTCTGCTTCCCATCAGGTGAGGGGCGGGCAAGCGGTCAGTGAGGACTTTGGGTTCCTGTCATCCCAGCTGTCTTCTTGAGAATCGTTTGCACACGTGTACCTCAATACATTCCAGTGTGGGAAAGTCAGAGTGAGGCATAAAGGAATGTGGCAGCTCCTTGTTCAAGAAGTCCCACAGCAAATTCCTAAATGGAAGCTTGGATCTGCAGCCGAGATGGCTCCGCACGGTTCTGTGGAGGGAGCAGGAGGCCTGGCTTCTAGTCCCAAGTCGCATGCCTCTGTCATCTGTCTCTATAGTAGAGCAGGAATTACCCTTCTGTCCAGTCCGCACCACCGTGTGAGCCTCGACATTTGGAAGCAGCTGAGCAAGACCCTTTCCGAAAACCAAGGACTCTCCTTTAGTAGCTCTCAGCGGCTGGTCTCCAGCAAGTGTTTGAAGCACTATTTTAAGTTCCTGTGGCTGATGTGCGCAAACGTCAGCGTCTAAGTGTATATGTGTGGGGGGTGGAGCACAGTGGTTAGAGCTCAGGCTAGGGTTCAGATGTACCTACAGGGGAACAATTGCTACCTACGTCACTGGTAGTTGTGAGTATATCGCTTGGCACGTGGTTAGTGCACAGCCCGTGGGAGCCCAGCTTAGTCATTGGCAAAGGAATGAGCTGGAAGGGTAGTGAGGGGAGGTCCACTTTTGATTCTCTGACATTCTAGGCCCATCTGGGTGGTAAACCGCAGCATGCCTGAGAGCAGGCTTGCACAGGAGGGGCGCTGAGAATCCAGCCAGCCATTCGCTTCAGTGTCCCATAGCTTTTCAGGAACACGATAATCCAAAGCAAAGTCCATTTTATCCCCTAGTTTAGAATTGTGTGAAATATTCCCAACCTTGGGCTGGTGAAGGCCCTCCCTCCTCTGGGAGGTGGAGCAGCAGCTCAGTTTGTTTGGGCTGAATTAGGGCCAAGAACAAAGTCTACAAATAAGGACAATTTGGACCTTGGGAAAAGCTCCATTGTCCCTGGTGAGTTAATTTCACCAGCAGCTGAGTTCGGAGGCTCTGAAGCAGTAATCAGAAAATGCGTCAATTTCCCGGCAGTGACATTAATCACCACACGTGTCTGGGGAGCGGCACCTGAGAGAAGCAGCTGCAGGGGCTAAATATAAGAGAGAAGGCCTGGGAGAGGCACAGGGCCTCCCGCTCTCCGGGGCCTCCTGCTACCCCCACCCTCCCCGTCCTGCCCACTTCCTTGTCCTGAGCCTGAAGCTTAAAATCCTGGCCCCTCCAGGCCGGTGCCCACCTGCATAGCATCATCTCTAATGTGCACCATCCTGTCCATTTTACAAATGAGAAAACTGAGGGGTGGAGAGTCACCTTAGTAAGTACTGGAGGCGGGATTTGAACCTGAGTTGGCCAACCCCCATTCTGTACATATCCCCCTCTGGATTATCCTGTCTCCTGAAATGCTGTCTATTCCAAAAGCTGCAGCCATTACTGCCTTACAAACGAAATTATTCTCCTTCTACCCTTTCCAACAAAATGTCTCTGGGCGGCCAGAACGGGGACCCAGAGACCCACAATTGAATTCCTCAACACGGCTGCCCCCAGAACCGCTTATAAATGGGGCTGTGAATGGGAGAAAGAGTGATTTTGTTAATAAGTTCCCAGAATTGTGGAGGCCGAGAAACATGCCTGGGGGCTCCCGACCCTGCCAAATTTCCTCTTCAATCTTGAACATATTTTAAATCTAACTCAAAAATTCAATTATCAAAATTACTCACCCTGTCTCCTGAGAAGCCCAGCACTGGGCCTGAAGGGCCAGGCGTGTTCACCTCTTGCCGCAGAAGGGCTTCCGGCTCGCTCTGCTGGGTACAGGGTGGGGTGGTGGGCAGGGGTCTTGCCCTGGCCCTCAGGGGACTCCTAAGAGAACCTAGCCTCAGTTTCCTCATCTACAAGCTTATGGGATGTAGAAAAAGAGAGACATATAATGGCTAACTGAGGCCTGGATATTGCCCAAATCACTGGGGTTTGCTTGTTCTTTCATCTCAGTGAAGGTTCTGCCTCTGGCCAGCAGCACGTGCTGCTTGACACCTCCTTGACACCGCCTCCCTCACCGTCCGTATGCCACCCACGATCATGGCCACTCTATCCGCTTTATCTCCCAAGGCCATTGCTTCATTCATCTGCATCACTACCGTGGTCCAGGTTGCCGTCGTCTCTCACCTCCTTCAGATCTCCTTTATCGTACCAGTTGCTGCAATGGCTTCCCAGCTGGCCTCCACACATCCACCTCTACCCTCTTCAAATGTCCCCATACCACAGCTGGAGCGATTCTTTAAAATGTGAAGCTGATCATGTTATGTCCTTGGTTTAAAATGTTGAATGCTTCCCATCGTACTTAGCTTGACCTGTAGGCCCTCAGTGGGCTGAGTCCTGCCCATTCCTCATTCCCCTACAGCTGCCTGCCCTCTCAGCTCCCCATGCTCCAACCTCATAGGGCATTCCTATCTGGCCACAGGGCCCTTGTACATGCTGCCCCCTGCTTGACATACTCCCATCCACCTCCCTGGCCTGTCTTGCTTTTCTTGCTAGTTGGCTCCCACTCATGCCTCAGAGCCCAGAGAAGTCTTTCAGATCAGGGTGCCCTGTTATACACTGTCACAGCGTAGTGATTCCCCCTCAATAGCACTTGGCCACTGTTGGGACTTTGGATTGTGCGAGCATGATTTGGGGGGTTCTGTCTTCCCCATCACTATCTGAAGTTCCGTGAGGGCACAGACCGGGTGCCAGCCAATACATTCACTTTCCAAACATCCCCAGAGCTTCTCCCACCTCCTGAAGAACTCAGACTGTGGGAGAACAGGAGTAAGACTGCTCACAGGGGACACTTGCTCAGGGAGTCCTGCGAGCTGGGTCGTCTCTGTACCATTATCACCTGCAATCACGTGACAGCCCCGTTGGGGAGATGCTGCTTTTTTCAGATGAAGGACTGGGTCACAGAGCGACCTGCCCAAGATCACACGGCCAGTAGGCTGCTGAGCTGGATTCAAAGGGAGGCCGGCAGGCTGCAGAGTCCAGGTCCCACACCGCTGCGCTGCATGCCAGCATAGTTCAGATTGGGAAGTGCCGCGACGGCTCGGGGTGGGCTGGGGTGCAATC